CTTATTAGACAGAAGCTCGCTCTCCGGGATGGCAACCATCTTGCTGACGTACGCCACGACGGGCTCTTCGGGTCCTGTCTTGAATTCCACCATGGCGGTTTTGATATCGTCGGCAATAAAAGCAGCGCCAGGAGATGTTTTGATCATTTCTGGTAGTCGAGCGGCTTGCGCAGCGGGGGGACTGGGAAGATATTCAATGACGGAAACCAACAGGGCAGTAGATAGCGGCAGCCATTGAGAGAACAGTGTGTTCATGATGTTCCTAGGGTCGCGTCCGCGCAAGACATATACCGGAATGTTAATGTTGAGCGATTTGGTGATTTTCTCCAGTAACACTGGGTCACTAATAGATGTCAATACCAGCGTTGACACGATAGTCGGGTTCATTTTCAACTTACCCTTTGCCCTTGTCACCACCTGTGGTGGCTTGATAAGCTGCCCAAATGCTATCCAAGACCAATTGAACAAACATGGGCTTTAAAGCACGCCCCTTCAAATGTTTCGCGCCCAAGACACGTTTAGTCTTGGGGTCTAGATAATAATCACCCCAGAGCACTTTCTCCAAAACTGTTCGCTTGATTCCAAGTTTTTTCTCGTAAATGGCGGCAAATTGTCGGACTGTGAAAGCCCAGCCATCCACAGCACTGCAGAAGATGACGTTGTTCTTCTCGGGTGCAAAATAGATATCCTCGTCGTCGCGCTCCTCAAATTCAGTTCCCTCAGTGATACTTTGCGCGGATTCATCGTCTGCCAACGACTTCTTGTTGCCTTGGTCTCGAGCTGCTGCTGCGTTGACACGGTCTTCCATACGCTCACGCCACTGCAAATCTTCTTCCATGCGTTCACCCTGGTAGAAACTACCGATGACAGCATTGACCTGTTCCAACAGTCGACTAAGATGCGAGAAAGCCTCAGCGGGGCTCATCTTCAGCTCTGTTACCAAGCGGTCCATCTTGTTAATAACCAAGATCGGCTTCAACTGCTCGACCCAAGTCTGGCGCAAGACTGTCACAGTCTGACTACAGACACCTTCGACTGCATCAACGAGCACAACTGCACCGTCGCAAAGACGAGATGCGGTTGACACCTCGCTGCTGAAGTCGATATGACCAGGCGAATCGATGAGATTGATCAGATACTCCTTGGGCACTGGCGCTGCGTCCGGGCTTGGACGGCGGAGCATCGAGAAGAACAGCGAGATGGCTGAAGACTCCATCGTAATACCTCGAAGCTGTTCATCTGGACGAGAATCCAAGTAGCGGATCTTACCGGCCAGCTTGGGTGAAATGATGCCATTTGTGGCAATAAGACTATCTGTCAAAGATGTCTTGCCATGATCCTAAAGTTGCAAGAGAAATGATGAGAATTTCAAATACAGAGAAAAGATCTAAAATTGAAATTCTTTGACTTACAACGTGGGCCAAAATGCAGATCTGGTGGCTGAGATTAGTATAAAGCCCTGACATCAGACATCAGAGTGGGATGGAGGGGCACACGCACATTTCTTATATCCTCGGGCTTGCGCTGTAAGCGGACCAGCTGGTCGACATTAACCACAGGCATCTTGGCTGATACTGAGACCAAGAGCAGGTTGTAAAAGAAAGGCGACTGGATCCCGCAAGGGAAAAAAAAAGTTGCGAAAAAGTTGCTGATAAAGATGCGCCCTTGGCCGAGACCAACAGCACTTCATTTAATATTTTACTCCGATTCTTGAGCTGTTCGGATTTCTATACTTATACTGACATTAGTACCTATTCTTATACATGATTGACATTGACCTTGATATTTTCTAATCCTGTGATGCTACACTCCGTTGTGTAATCCCGGTTCTATTGACTCATTATGAGTCCTCAATGCCTTGTGCTGAGTCAAACACCCACGATCTGGAAGCTGGCGCAAAGAAATACTCTATCTCAGCTCTGCTAGACTCTCAGTCCTCATCGAACGAGAGCTTGATCTTCTTGGGCTTCTTGGATTTCTTCGAAGTAGCCTTGGGCTGGGCTTCTGAGGCTTCTGCATTGTCCTCACCCACCACTTTGGCCTGTTTTCGTTTCCTCTGACCCCCAACTTCAGTGAGATTATTCTGTTTGCTGGTGGCAAGCTCTGTTTTGGATTTGTCTTGATCGCCAGTGGAGTTGTCCTTTGATGAGTTGCCAGCCTCGCCCTCTTCTTTCAGGCCGCTTTCACCTACCAATGCATTGTATTCCTCCTTGGAAATCACTTTGTTACTTTCTTCATCAAGGTAGGTAGGCTCATCATCATCGTCATCGTCATTGACCTTGAGTCTGGTCGGTCGTAAGGCAGGGCGCTCCAGGCGACCGGTGTTGTCTCCATACTGGCCCCGGAGTTTCTGAAGAAACGCAGGCTGTTTTGCCTCTGTATATCAAATCAGAATGACACGTACCAGTTCGCTAGAGTGTGAAACAACTTACCATATTCAAACTTGGGGTTTTTAGGCATGATGGGAATGCTGCATTCGCTTGCTAGCTTTCAAGTGAAGCTTTGTACTTGTACCTGCCCTTCGCCTATTTCGTAGATATGCAGATCATTGAGAGAAAGCCATTTCGTTCAGTCAAAATAGACAGTATGTCACTATGTGCAAAGCAACAAGAGTTGGAGAACTGCTAAAGTGCAGCACGGCCAATACGGCCGGCTATTGCGACTAGCAGCTGTATTGAGTATGATTGGCTTCTTGCTTTGACCGCCAGGTTTACCGCCTTCTATTTCGGCGTAATTCAAAGTCAACGAGGTGATATATTTTCTGCAGGCAATATTGGCCAGACTTACGTCACTGCTGGTCGCAATACTCCGCCCTATTACACCGCCTTACAGCTCATGACGCTAAACCGTATTAGGACACATCGAAAAGTCCAAGGAGCCGCTCCGCGTCAAGTCCTCTCCATCAACTCTCATCCACCAATTTCAATTAACTATGCTTTGTGCTAGTGAGTAGCCTCCTCTCAATTGCAATTTTGCGCTATTCTTTGAAACAGGTTTCTGACTAACATCCTCCCACAGTCTCCGGAGAAGCACCTCAAGTGCCCGTCGTCTCTACCAAGAGCGGTAAGTCCTCGAAATCACTTTGCGCGCACGACATCAATCTCATAATTAGACAGGCAGCGTATTTGAAAAGCGCCTCATTGAGGCATACATTGCCGAGCATGGCAAAGATCCCGTGAACGGCGAGGAGCTTACCACCGACGATCTCGTTGATCTCAAGTCGCAACGCATTGTCCGACCCCGACCCCCTACCCTCACATCCATCCCGTCTCTCCTCGGTGTTTTCCAGGAAGAATGGGATGCTTTGGCTCTGGAAACATTCACTTTGCAGCAAAATCTGGCCCAGACACGGCGCGAGCTCAGTGCGGCGCTCTACCAGCACGATGCTGCGGTGCGAGTGATCGCGCGTCTGACGAAGGAGAGGGATGAAGCCCGTGATGCACTCTCAAATGTTTCTGTCGGTGCCACTGGCGAGGCTATGCAGGTGGATTCTACGGGCTTGCCCCAAGCAGTGTTGGAACGGATTGAGAACACACAGGCAGCGTACGTGGAATTGGTGCTTTCTGCATTGCATTTTTGGATTGACGACTAACTGTTGGACAGGCTATCCAAGACCCGGCGTAAGCGCACAGTCCCTGAAGGTTGGGTCTCAAGCGAGACTATCTCCACATTTAAACCAATTGAGACCTCCGAACCTCTTTACCCCGGTGGACGCACTTTGTCAATCAACTCAACGGGTGACTTGGCTCTCGTTGGTGGTGTTGATGGCGTGGTCGGTGTCTACTCACTCTCACAGAAGAGTGTCGTACAGACCCTCAAGACAGATGGTGCAGTCACCGATGCGACATGGGCAGGAACAAAGGCTGTTATTGGCTCCTCCACTGGTTCCGTCAAGGTCTTTGAGAATGGTGCTGAAGTTGCAAGTTTCGCCTCCCATGCTGGTGAGGTAACAGCCGTCACAGTCCACGCTACTGGTGATATTGTTGCTTCTGTTGGAGTTGATAAGAGTTATGTGCTTTATGATCTCGCCACGAACACTGTGGTTTCTCAGATTTTCTGCGATGCAGGTAAGAGGTCACCCTATGAAACACGTATCCAAGCCCGATGCTAATTGTTCTTACTCAGCTCTACTGTCTGTCAAATTCCACCCTGATGGTCACTTGATTGCGGCCGGTGGCGCAGATGGAAAAGTCAAGATCTTTGATGTCAAGACGGGTGCCGCTGCTGCGGACTATGCCATGTCCGGCCCAGTCAAATGCCTCTTCTTCTCCGAGAACGGCACTTATCTGGCTGCTGTGGCCGCGCAGTCTACCACTGTATCGATTTGGGATCTCCGCAGCTCCAAGGAAACCAAGGTACTGGACACAGGAAGCCAGATTGAGTCGATTTTCTGGGACTACACTGGCCAATTCCTCTTGACTGGTGGGCCCAGCGGAGTGACTGTCCAGCAATACTCTAAGTCATCCAAGGCATGGTCCGAGCCCCTGCGGAGTGCGATCCCTGCTATTTCTGTTGCTTGGGGATCAGCCGCTCAGAGCATTGTGGCATTGAATGAGGCGGGTGTGGTCACAGTGCTATCGGCACAGTCATGATCACCGGGAAAATACTGTAATATTAGAGCATGCTATACTCTGGACTTTCAATGGTGTTTGTTTTGAGAACTGCAGCTCTTGATGCCACGATATTCACAGACAATCCATGGATATTCACAGGGAACCTTATGTTGTACTAGTCATGAATGAAAAATCATCGTGAATTCACATTTCTAATTGACCCAAGTCCTCCTATGGAAACATGTGAAATACTAATAATGAAGAGCAACAAATATATACAGAAATGAGTTAAATATCTGTTGCTAAACAGCCACTTTGATCTCGCCAACTTGGACTGCTCCTTCACCACATCTCGGGCTGGAATCGGGCAAATTTGACTAATCTCCCATACCGCTCGAAAGCATCGGCAGAACCCCGACCGCCCTTGGCCTCGGCCTGGAAACAAAGATGAATTCCAATCTCACACTTTCACCTTGCTGGTGGCCTTCAATTTCCTCTTTTCTAGCAAAATACCACTTCTTGACTCCAGGCTTAGGTCCTGAAATGAGTGAAAACTCTGGCGTCCAGTTTATGGGCGCCAGAACCAAGGTAAACCTCCATCGGTCGTGGAACGGGCGGGGCACCTGATCAGATCACCAAGAACACAGCTAACAAGATTCCTTTTCCTCGCAGCGAACACATCGTGACATGGAAACAGAGGACGATACAAGCGGCGATGCCGCCTGGGAACAGCACTTCCATCCCCCTCGCTCCGATCACGGTAGATCTGAATCTACCCGGTTGCCACCCAGAAGACGACGAGATGGATACGACTATCGTCGGCCGGTGATGCTTTCGTCTGGGGATAATGTCGTGATTGACTTGACTGAAGATCCGGACTCTCCTCCACAACGTGATGCGACACAATTCCCCGGTCCTCTACATACCCCACACCCGCACCGTTCGAGATTGCGATTTCCCCGAGATCTGATGAACCACATGTCCCCTTCAGCTGATCACCCTACTGTGATTGATCTGGAGGCCGAGACAGCGGTTGATCCAGTAGACCTTTCTCCGAACAATGAGGATGTTCAGATTGTTGGGTCTTCTTCCGTCAGACCAAGACCAATAGAACCAAGGTTCTTGGACAACAATGGTATTCCAATGCATTTTCCTCCTCGCATACAGCCATCGAGAGTATCGGAATACGGGCGATCGAGAAGCGATGAGGAAATGGCGATCAGGCGTGCTGGGAGTAACCTCTATTCGTTGATGACAGAAACGTTTCATCTTGGAGTACCCGGCTTTGGCTATACTCAACCTACTCAGCCTGCGCCCCGCCCTCGTCGATCATCTTATAAAGGACTCAGTCCAGCGCCGGATGGATTTACTCGACTTTTGGCAGAAGATGACGTACCTGTCTGCCCGAATTGCCAACAAGAGCTAGGAACCGGAGAAGGGTTGAAACAACAGATTCATATTGCAAAACCATGTGGCCACGTGAGTATTGTCCATCTTGACTTTATCAAGTCCATTGCGAAAACTAACGATATTGCCAGGTCTATTGTGGCGAGTGCGCTGCGAATCGGTCCATCTCCAAGGCGAAGAAGACAGCTTCAAAGACCAAGCCGTTCTCAAAATGCCAAGTTGCAGGTTGCGGTAAACCTGTCAGCAGCCCCACTGCTATGTACCACCTCTATCTGTGATTTACCCTGGGATTTTCTTTTTGCGGGCACTCATTTGCATTGTGGTGTTGTGGCCATATTCTTTCCTCATTTCGTCGATACCCAAGATGCATGGAACTGGCAGGCGTTTATCTCAATATATCCAATTATGATTCACTCGGAGCTCTTTTGACTTATGCATTGGGTTATTAGTTTCGTGTCTCGTCTCATGTAAATGATTTCTTTGTTCAATGAACACAGTACCTATGTAACTGACTATACTACCTATCCACTCTCTGGCTTTGATAAAACCTGATTTTTATTGAAATCTCGGGTCGAAACTAATTGGGTGAGATTCTTACTATCATTTACCTACAGTACGGGAGGAATGAGGTTTCACGATGACTGTTTAGGGAGCGCCGTTTTTGACAATTCAGTAACCATATAAAACCACTGAACGATAGAACTTTGAAGTATCGAAGCTTATTCCAAAAGCAAGCTTGATTAGGACATAATTCAAGACAAGTACTGATAAATTTCCTATCCCAGGTTATACAAAGAGAAGAAAAGTTGTCTGCACAGCTTATGTTTCCGCTTTTGTATGCCATCTACTTCATAAAACCGAGAAGGGGATGTTAATGGACATATAAAAGCACTACTGAAGGATTACAAAAAAGACATGGTAAGCCTGCATACGTAGACCGCATAAGCTGCTGTCTATCCTTGCATATATAGTTGCATATATGCAGCTGGTAGTTTAAAAAGGTTAATTGATGGTTGATCTATCTCTAGCGCCTCTTCAGAGTTTCTTTAGCGGTCCCTAGTTCAGGATTTCTCGTAGAGGCATAATGCTTCGGGCATTCACAGAATCCCCCCAAGCAAGCATACCTATGAGTACCAGGCTTTCCCCGGGTCATTCCTATCTTACTATCTTAGGCGTTTTTATGAGGCTCAGATTTTAAGTAGATTCCTGTCCTGCTTATACACCTCGCGTGATAAGTATACTCCAATGGTTACTAAGTATATGGATGCACCTGAGGGCAGCCTAGGGTGCCCAACTGACTGCCGGGGTCTAATTGGATGCTTTTAATTGCAGAATCCACACCCGCCTAGCACCCCTGTCCGCAAACTGTGTTGGAGACGGACTTGAATATTAAGCAACATGTTAGTAAGTTCGCCGCCAAAGCCGGCGAGCGATACTATCTACAGGTGATGGGCCATCAACTTTTCAAGCCCTTACCCGTGCGGGCCTATGACCGTCAAGTTGCGACCGGGAACTAGGACAGATTATTAGCCGTCTTTAGACAACTAAATGAATTTTGGGAAGATATGGCCCACGATATGAAGCAGCTCGAGTTCTCTGCCCATCAAATTGTACTTGTCTGTAGGGCTGTGCTCAATCAGTGGGCAGACAACGAGAGAGATTGAACTTCGGGAAACCACACGATGGGGGCTTGCGCTTGACGATATTACCCTTAAAAGTTAGGTCGGTCTTGGTCAAACTCACAAAAAGTGAGATCAATGGATGCATGGCAGACAGGGGGATAGGATACCAGGGTTGCATATGTCAAGCCAGATGAATCATGAAGCTTCGCTCCTGTCACAAGCCGGGTGGTCCTTGTTAATTTGTGCTCCGGGCATTATGGCATGGTCTTCTGCAACTAGTGTTTCAATGTATGATACTCATCCAGTAATTTTGCTGTATGTATGTGGTGAAAATGCATCTGAGAACTGGCTGCCAGCACAAATAAATTTTACGACATGTGTATGTATCATGTACCATAGTCAAAATAATAGACAAGAGCCTAGATTATCTCATGTTTTTTACTTTCTATGATGTGAACATCCAATTTTGTACGGAGTGCACATGAGGTAGGGCCAAGATTAGCCCACAATACAGAGTTGTGCGGGTCGGCCCGATGCCGAACTCAGTGTGGGTCCCCGAGGTTATTTGAATCGATTCTCGCTCGACATACTAATATGTACATATAATGTTCACCAATATAATCCCTTGATTGGCTAACTGCACGAGGTAGGAACACTCGAAAATTACATGTCAGTGCCACTTCTACTCTATCCGTGCTGCTTCCCTAGTTGCAGTAGATCAAGGCCACTTGGGCAATCAAAGCCAAGAAAGCTACTGAACAAGCCAGTATTCAATCATTTTTGACGTTGGCGTAAAGAATATTCGCACTAAGGAGTGTTGTGGCAATGTCAAATGGAAGCTGCATGTCGAGAAGAGACAATTCTTGGCTAAATCTGTGAGATATTCAAACATATTGAAGTTAGTAGCTCGGTATATCCACTGAGTTATAAACGCTGAGACGTCTCACACTTGTGCTTTATCTGATGATCAAATTTCGTATATCTATTTTGGCCAGGCTCGGTCAAGGTGATTCGGAATCTCTTTGGCAATAACTTCTGTCTAGTGTTTCAGAAGTCTCCGGTGCTAACTCATTATCGTGTCTAGGAACATTATGCAAGTGAACGACCGATCTGGGAGCTGGATAGAACATGATCTTATGCTTATAGTTTATTAACAATTTAAAATGTTTATTTGTAACAATTCTATCTATGGCAAATCTTCAAAACACCTCTGTGGGTATAGCATGCATTGCCATCCACTTGGTCAACTTATCGAATCGGCGACATTTATGGTGCGTGGAGAAGTCTACCTCGGCCCCAAGCAAATTGGAGGCATCTAGCCTCAATAGCACGAGTATCACACCCCCTACACACATAATATGCATACATAGTGTCTCAATGCAGTGGTTAACATGGCTTCTTGACATAACAAATGTAGTTGATGGAATACCTCCACGTTAGCTTCGGCGCCTCTGCCATATTGTGCGGGTGTGGGCTTCCAATTTACATTCGTCGATCGATTGAGCGAGGCTAGCTTGTTCAGAGGAACGTTGATATTGTTTTCTATAAATCTCTAGCAGCTTGGCCAAATTCTCAACTTGACAGCAATCCCTACGTCTCCAAAGACGATCCCATGCGAGTTCTAAGTTTGCAGTTGGCATGCCTCGGTAGACGGACTCTTGGTGGAAGTCGTTTGCCCAGTCGACCTCATGATATTCCACTGCCTCTTGCATCAGAGCTCAAATCTTGCAACCAACAAATGGTTCACAGAAGGCTAGGGTCTTTTGGCCAGGCGACTTAGGACCCACAGTAAGATGACAACTGCATTGCACATTTTTGGTCACTGGGTGCAAGGATAGTGAGCGATGCAGTTGGCAGCAACGTCGATAGATGTGGGATTTTTCTATCCCGATAAGAGGGAATTTATCGTACTCTCTATTTTCTCCTGCAGAAAGGTTTTCTTGAGAGTGCGATACCCTCATATTAGACAGTTTGATGGCCATTCTTCTTCTTCCTCAAGGATTAGACACCTTTGTCCTCTTCTGAGCAATTCCAGTGTTTTGAGAAGCACGTAACTAGAATGGGGTAAAAGCAAGAGCCGAAAGGTTCGGCTGATTCTCTAGCACGGTTCCAAATTCGGGATAGATACGCATTGAAAGTCGCACATGGGTTGCCAAGTCTAAAGCTAGCCAGATATTCCATTACAAATCTGGCATTCATTGTTGCAATCTATACCTGCCACTATCCATACAACCGAACGGCATATGGACTCAACTCACAACTAACTGTATGACTGTTTCCCTTACCGTTTGGAGGCAATGCTGGCTTATTGAAGTCGACTCCCATGCATTTTTACATTGGTAAAACCTGAAAATATGTCCAATTAGGTGTTACTAGATCACTTTGGTAAGTGTAGTTGTTTTAGGACTTGTCTGCTTCCAAATCTCCTATACATACACGCTATTTCCTACAATCTGTTCTTTTAATCTTGTGCAATTTACAAAGATATCGAGGGCTAATCTTTCCCTCGCACCCTGCTAAAATGAGATTCTCGCCTGCTTTGTTCGTTGCGCTCTCTGCCTTTTTTGTAACTGCGGTTGCCGTTAGCCAAGGAGCCTCGGCTAGTAGGAGCTACGAGGAGGAACACTTTCCCAAAGGGAATAACGCTGCCGGTCATAGGTTTGAGAAGGGCTACGAGGAGAAATACCCTCATAAAGAAAACGGCGCTACCAGTTTTCGGGACGAGATGGCATACGACAAGTCGAAATAAGTCACAGTAACGGTCAGTCCCCTCTATGATCTTTCACTAACGTCGGTCACTGACTGGATCCCTTAAGCTCACTCTGTTGGCACTGTGCAATCATATTGACACGTGTGGGAATTAAAGAGCCTTGCATGGATATGAGCCCTCATTTATGTAACACGTACAGATTGAAACTTGCATACTTTGAGCTAAACGTAACTCATAAATGATGGTTCAAAACGGACAAACCCATTGCTATGTCCTTTGGCTATCTCACATATCGATGTTCAGATCCAACAGTCATGGCATGATGACTTTCTAATGGGTATTTGAAATGGCGCCTCTCTGATTGTAGTCAACTCTAGACCAAGTCTATTACTCTTCTAGATCTCCTTTTCAGACTCCCTCCGGACCCCATACTTCTCTTTGGTTGTGATCGCCTCGTTATCTTCCTCCTCACATTCAAGCCGCCGGTTCGCCCGTAAAGCTAGAGGCCTCCCAGCACCAAGTCCCAATCTGCCAAGTGGCTTCTCCCTTTCCAATATATCACCAATCCACCTGGGAATATCACCCTGGGCCTTTACCGTGATTTTATTCTGACCGACACTCAAAGGCAGGTTTTCCACAATGGAACCTCTAATCCTCATTATGGCAAATGAGTCAAGCTCTGCAGTTCAACGAGGCGTCCAGGTGGCGTAGATGGCAATTGGGATGAGCATCAAGAGGTGCAATCCGAGGGGGATAGAAACAAAGATCGATTATACGCAATGGGATCGGTCAAACATAAAACATTCAATTGCGAAGTTGCAGAAAATCGGTACAGAGATACCTACATTGTATATACATGCAAGTACTTATGTCGAGCAAGTCTTGCAACATCCAGGACTTATGACAAGACAAAATTCAAGGCTGACACTTGAATATGGATATAGGTGGTTAATCTTGGACTTGTCTTCAAATCGATGCAGGTTCGGTTTTGGTATGCATAAAATATGGGTTTCAGAACACCATTGGCTTCCAGATAGCAAATAGACAAGAATGAAGAAATAAAGCAGAACCCAGGTCAATAGTACAGTAGATTGCAGTGAGGACACCTGATAGTCACCACTGCTTGAGAGAACAAGAACCGTGAAAATAAAATATAACAAATCCGTCTAGACACCCCGTAGATCGCCGTGGTATGGTGACCAGATACCACGCACACTCTCATTCAAACTTGTGACCGGCTTCTTCACCCGCTTCAACTTCTCTCCACTGGCTTCCTTCAGGAGGTTTGCCTTCTTCAGGATTTCGCTGGGTTCCAAGTTCCGTACACATACAGGCTTTTCGCGGCCGTTGATGTAGAGGCCCTTAATCAGAGGGTGCTTTTGGGGTCGGGGAGAGACACGGATTTCAATCTGAGGGTTTTCGCGGGCGAAGGCGGGGAGGTTTTTCTCTAAGAAAGCACTGTGACGCTCAATGTCAGTCGGATAGTTCTGGAAAGCCAAATTGCACCATCTAGTATAAACCTACACCATGCCCTTTGAGCTGCCCGCGAAGTTGCAGTAATGGAAGTCAAGGCGTTTGCATTGTAGGATGAAGGCACCGGCGCCGTTCTAGGCAGATAATCAGGGTCAGTCCGGCAATTGAATAGCAGAAGTCTGGGCATAACATACCCTGGCCGCCGTCGACGTTCTAATTCCACGCAAAGGCATCTTTTCAGTCGTCAAACAATTATCGTCGTAGTTTACGAGTCGCGATGGCTGCCCGGGGCATTTTCTGGTGCACGTGATTTGCAAGGGCGGTGAGTCGCGGCACCAATGGCGTGTGCAGCGAACTTCCATCATTTGACGCTAAGACCAGGATTGCGACGCGAAGCTCTCCCTCCTGATCGACTTCCACACATCATCTTTACTCCACGTCCTGACTTAGTCTGCATTGGGTTCATAACTCACTATGACAGATAAGCTCCCCCCGCCACTTTTGGCGCTATTTCAGCCTCGTCCACCCCTTCGATACCTGCCCCCAAGCGATCGCGCACCAGATGACTGCCAAAAGAGCGCTATCTCTGGAGTTGCCCAGTTCCTTGCCGACGCTAAAGCTTTTGCCGATGAGGTTCCTTACAATGCAACTGAAAGCTGGGTGCAGCGCAAATTGCGTCAGAAGACTGAAAAGAAAGAGCGGCTAGAGAAGCAGATAGCAGATGGACTGCAAAACTGTACGCCTTGTCTTTTTCTTACTTTGTTTCTATTTAATGATGCTAACATGGCTATGTATTCTAGTCAATCCAGAGAAAGATCCTCAAGCTCGAGGTGACCCATTCAAAACTCTCTTTGTTGCACGCCTCAGTTACGAAGTCAAAGAAGCCGATCTGGAACGAGAGTTTGGCCGATTTGGCCCCATCGAAAGAGTATGTATCATTTTCTATATTTTTGTTGAAACTGCAAACGCTGACATTGTACTATAGATTACCTTGGTCAAGGACACAGTATCAGAGAAGAAAAAGAAAGCTCACCAAGGCTATGCATTCATCGTGTATGAGCGCGAGAAAGATATGAAAGGTATCACCACCATTGCCAATTTATCTGGCACTAATCCAAGTCGTGTGTTCTGTCTTGCGGTAAGAAACGTTGCTGACCCCAGTTATTTCCCCAATACCAGCGGCCTACAAAGAAACAGATGGCATCCGAATCAAAGATCGACGAGTCCTGGTAGATGTCGAGCGTGGCCGCACTACCAAAGGGTGGAAGCCCCGTCGCTTTGGTGGCGGTCTCGGAGGGCGCGGATACACCAAGGCCATGCCGTCTCGCCCCGGTGGCCCTGGTTTCAACGCACCATCTGGACCGGGTGGGTATGGAGGCGGATTCCGCGGAGGCTTCGGTGGCAGAGGTGGAGGTGGTGGCTTCCGTGGTGGAGGCTTCCGCGGCGGTGGTGATCGCTTTGGTGGTCCTCGCGGTGGTATTGGATACCAGGGTAACCGTGGGGGCTTCGGTGGACAGGCTCCCCCAACGCCCCCTCCGGCCCTGGCGGTGGACGCAGCGGAGGTTTCAGAGGTGGCTACGGCGGTGATCGTGGTGGTGACCGCGGTAGTGGTGCCGGCAGATTTGACCGTGGTGTAACCGGCAGCAATTCAGAGCCTGTGCGCCCCCGAGACAGCTTTGCTGACCGTGACCGCCGCGATTATGACCGCGATGACCGTTACAGGGATCGTGATCGTGACCGCATGGGAGACCGAGGCATGGGAGATCGAAACGGAGGAGACCGATACCGGGACCGGGATCGTGAGCGTGGTGGAGACAGGTATGGCGGCGGTGGCAGCCGCGATGGTGGCCGTGATGGCGGCCGGGAGGATTATGGACGCAAGCGAAACCGTGAGGATGAACCTGGACACGATGATCCTCGTTCCAGGAGAAGGTATTAAACCTTCACTTATTACCCGGATCTTACCTTTTTCCGATCAAAGTCTGGGTTTGCTGGTGGGTATAACTGATCTACCCAGTTTTCATGGCTCTTTTTCAAGGGTAAGAGGGTAAATCATGAATTTGGCCCAGGTCCAATACCGTCCATTGTAACGATCACAACCGTCCATGTTTTCCACCTCATGCCGCGATACCAGCATCAAAACTCGATGCCAAAGTGGTTATTCTCTATATCCCCTGCTTGGTCCACTTCAACTCCCTGGCAGTCGGAGATTCTCATGAATTGTGCTTGTATTCCCCGTTCTCTCTATATCTGTCTCCCTCGGTGTTCTCTTTCTTCACTTGTGTTCCAATGCTCTTTCTTTTTTTTTTCCTTTCATCCCCTCGGCCCTAATGAGATTTCGTTTACTCTGCAGGGGTAAGTATTTGTATTTTAGTTGGTCCTCTTCCGTGCGAAATGGAATCTGGTGAACCACCAGGTAAGACCAGGTAAGGACCATGTGAAATGACTGAAGGCAGGTATCTTGCTAGATAGATGAAATTCTAGGCAATACAGCTAGCGGTTCTGCACTACAGTTGATCAATGTCCAAGAACGAGGTAAATTTGTAGACTTTTTTTCAACCTGGTATTCCGAATCTTGTCATAGGCTCATAACCCAGCAGGAGGGAAAGCCCTCCATGTAAGGATGAGAGAAAGAGAGATAAAACACACAAGTCTTCAATATATTTGCAAAGAAAGCGCCCTCACCAAACTCCATAAGATGCCCAGCAGAGTTCTTTTTCTCGGCCACACGGAAGCCGAATGGGAAAGAGAAGAAGTAATAAAAAACGGAAAAACATGAAGATCCCATCTATGCATCAACATCCATTCCACCCTCAGTCTCGAGAAGCTTGACCTCCTCAGTACTCCGCGTCCAGTACGCCTTGAGATCGACCTTGAACTCGGACGAGGTGACACCGAACATCTTCATCAATGTAGTCTGTCGTGAGTCCAAAGTCTCTCCCTCTTTGCATACGGGGTAGCCTTCTTGGCCCTCAACCAGCTCAAGCATGACCTTGCCCTTCACCAGACGGGTGGGGACACCGAGCTTGCGGAGCGCGGGCTCAATAGTGTGGCTGACAGGCTCGTCCTGATCAGCAGGAATCTCGCCGGCCCGAGCGGTGACCAGGCCGTTGGGGATGGTGAAAGAGCGGGTGGCCACGGTTCCAGCGCGGGCAAAATCCTGGGGGCGGAAGTTCTCGAAGTATTCGATCACTGATTCCGGAGTGCGGGAGGTGAAAAGCAGGCCAACAGCGCCGGTGAGGAGAGGAGTGAGTTTGCGCAGATTGGGAGCGGCTTCGCTTTCGACATCAGAGCCAAGGGCCTTGCCCATGACCTTGGTCTTACCGAAGAAAACTCTGTGGTGATATTGTTAGATGACTGATCTTGTTTGAAGGATTTGCATATCAATATTGGATAACAGATCCACCGCTGATATTCAAGCGCTTTTCCCAATGCAATGTCTCAAGCAAATTCGAATTGGAGTGATAATGCTTACCGGCTGTCGGCAAATTCAGTGCGCACATCCTTCAAATAGGTGTTCCGCATGTTATCGACCGCAAAGACAAAAAGGTGATCATATTCCTCGATACATTCCCGAATGTTGGCGAAGAGACGGCGGGTCTGCTCCTTGTGATCTTTCTTGGCAGTCTTCGACTCGTGGACGACGCGCGCACGCTTTGAACGAGGCATGGTGAATTATGATTTAGAATTGGTGGTTCAATGAATTCAGACAGAAGGTTAGATGTTTCCCCCACAGACATTTTTTCTTCGCTGATAACCGGATTAACCTCCCGCCGGGCTTATCCAACGCTAACCTGAATGGGGCAATCAGCTGTAATCTCTCAGGGTGATTCATTTCGATTGCGCTTGCTCTAAACGCTCTTTTCTTTGATTCGACGGCGTCAGTCATACCGTGGCCTGCAGGGGCTGAGTCCGGACAATGCTGGACTTTATGGACTACATCCAGCTATCCTTCGCCGAGGCGACCCACTGGAATCGCGACAACTCGTACTCGTCACTCAACACCACCGCTCAATGTATGCGATTGATTTATCCTCAAAAGTCTTCGTTTAGTATAGGGAGATGATTGGGCTAACTTATTTGGCACAGCGATTCTCGATTTCTCGACCCCGGAACGATTGCGCGTTCACCTTTCGTCGCTGGCAACTCCCCATTTTGCAACCAGTTATACACTCGGGACTGTTGGATTACTCGATGGATCTGTGTCATACCTATTTAGCACAGTGCCATTTAACAACCTACCAAGTGGAAGCGCATCAATCCCGCTTCGAAAGATATCCCCGGGATACCGCCAAGTGCAGGCCCCCGCGGCCCCGATCCAGATATGGGGATCGGACTCGCTATTAGACGGCGTGGGCATTCCCGGGCTCACCGGTGGAAATCGTCCAGGACAATCAGAATCTAACAATGGAGAAAATAACAAAGAGAACGAGGCGAAGCGAAAAGCTACTCTCCTCCATGCTTCTCTCCATCTCCCACCTCCCACCACTTTATATGCGCTCTTTCTACGCAGAATTTCTACCAATATGCAGCTGTCACTAGCAGTCTGTTCAACTCAGGGTCCGCCGCAATCCAAGTCCGCGCCACAGGCTTCAATGCTCACGCAGTTATCCCACGACACGGGCAAGTACAGCAACGAGTATCTCTTCAGCACAGACAACGCCCTATTCGGTTGGCGTGGACTCTGGAACTTCGGCCCAGATCCTCGATACACTCGCAAGGATGTCCCGCCACCATTGTCCCTCCTTTCCGCAGGCGCAGAGGCATACTATTCCCCCATTTCATCACTGATCGGCATGTCCACCGGCCTGCGATTCACCACACTACCTGCAGCCACAGAAGTGCCGCCATCATCAACATCTTCCAGCATCCCAACGCCCATATCAACCTTCCCCTATACACTAACACTAACATTGGCTCCGATTGTGGGCTCTTTATCAACAACCTACTCCCTCCGCGCCTCACCCAACCTCGCCTTCAGCTCTCGCTTCGGCTTTAACGTCTACAGTTGGGAAAGTGAGATGGTCGCTGGCTGCGAGCTGTGGCGTCAAAACAAGAAATCCAGCTCGTCCAGCGACGACGATCTCGAATGGGCACGTCGCAAAATGCGCATGTATGACTTCGGCGCTTCCCTGCCTGGCTCGCCTGTTTCTCCCCTCCTAGACGACCCGGCTCGTCCCGAGGGACTTGTGGGTTCCAATGTTGTTCGCAGTGAGGCTGAGACGAGTGACTCTGTCATTAAGTTGCGCATCGATCAGTCTTGGAATGTGCGGCTTCTCTGGGAAGGCCGGGTGAAGGAGCTTCTGGTGAGCGCGGGCGTCGGGCTGGGTCCGGGCTCGTTCTCATCATCGCCTTCTGCCTCTTCGGCATCGGCCAGCGGCTCTGCCCAGAGTGGGGGCGGGAGTCCTGGAATGTCGTATTGGCGTGGGGTTGGGGTCTCGGTATTGTATTCTTCATAAGTTACGTGCTCTCCAAGACCACACTTATTGTCTAAGCCTATATCATTGGACAGTCTGATTGGCTAGGAAATAACTGCTCCGCTGGGTAGCAACGATTATGTGTTATCGAAATATACTTCAGAATTGTACATAGATTCATGATAAATATACTTGAAATTCCAAGCTTTTGTCTCATATCTCTCACGCCTACAAGTCAGAGCTATTTACTCTGATGATAGGGGCACTATGGGGGTATTGGTTTCATTTGGAAACCCCTTAGATGCGGGCGTTGATGATGTCGACGACTGCAGGCGTTGGTCAGTACCAATCTTGGATGAATGGTTTCAATAGATGGGGCATGTGCTGAGAACTTACAGGCAGGCTTCAAGCTGGCACCGCCAACCAAGAAACCGTCAACGTCGGGCTGAGTAGCGAGCTCGCGGCAGTTCTTCTCGCTGACGGAGCCACCGTAGATGATACGAACGCTCTCCTGGGCGTGGGCAGAGATGGACTCGCCAAGCCACTTGCGGATGGCGGCGTGGACCTCCTGAGCCTGCTCAGTGGTAGCGACCTTTCCGGTACCAATAGCCCTATAGATAGATGTCAGATATGTCCAGAGCTATGCTGGTATAGAAACAAGGGGGTAAGTTCATACCAGACGGGCTCGTAGGCAATGACGACCTTGTCCCACTGCTCTGGGCTCAGCTCCTTGGCAGCAGCGTTAAGCTGGCGGGTGACGACCTCAATAGTCTTGTTGGCCTCACGCTCCTACATAAGAGATCGGGTGTGAGCGGGATGCATTCAAAAAACATATAGCCGGTCTTGACCCGACGACCCACTATCGGGACGAAAATGGGGAATCCGGGTAGGAATGACGTACCTCAAGAGTCTCTCCGATGCAGAAAATGACAGCGACACCTCCCTCAATGGCGGCCTTGGTCTTGCGGGCAATGAACTATTCGGCGATAGTTAGTTTATGTTTCATCTAGCTGTAGTGTTTGTAGATGATAGGGAAACTGCGGGTATGCATACCTCATCAGACTCCTTCAGGATCACACGGCGCTCGCTGTGGCCGATGACAGCCCAGTTAATCTTGTTATCGCGGAGTTGCTCAACGCTGATCTCGCCGGTGAAAGCACCGTTGGGCTTGTCGAAGACGTTCTGGGCAGCAACACCGATCTTGGGGTCGGCGAGCTCGCGGGTCAGAGCGAGGTAGATGGCGGGGGAGAGATGACGACCTCGGTGCTGTCGTCGAGCTTGGCGGAGTTGAGGTTCTTCACGATGTCGGTGATGCTCTGAGCAACACCGTTCCTTCAAAGGGTCAATTGCGCGATCTTTCATGGAACGAGTAGGCGAAGAATAGAGGGGCTTGAGACCGCGGGGTAGCGAAGCTCGAGATCACATACATCTTGAAGTTACCACCGACGAAGAATTGGCGAGGCATATTGAATGATTATGTAGAGAATTGGAGAGGAAAATAAGACAGTTTGAGGAATGGTGATAGCTATGGAAGAGGAAGAAGAGGGAAAGTAAAGTGTAAATGGAGGGGCACGCTGATTTGCTGCCTGAATTATTAGGTGTCAATTATGACATCGGTCACCCTCGGGGCTCACCGGGGAGTTTTCTCGTAGACATCATATGTTGGGATTTCCTCGGGTTTCATTATTCAATCTCTTTCTTGTCTTGAAACTTCAACTGCAAGACTTAATACGTCGGCATTTGACTAGGCTCACTAAACTAATTTTCCAAATCTTAAGATCTAGGAACTAATTCTTGCATGGCACCAGGACTATTAGTCTACCAGAAATAGATATACAACATATTTTATACCCGCGGCTATATTCTTGTCTCATGAATTGGATGTATACCATATACAGATATAGAACAAAATCAAGACCAACATAAGTGCAAGATAGAGAGAAGGCAAAAGGGAAAGAAACCCATTGATTAATGTGAGCTAAGAAGAAAATCAATCAATAATAAGGATTGGCAAAGGAGAATGGCGTTTTTAGCCCTGCAGTTCTATTTCCTTTGGTAATTAAGATGTCTTATACCTAGCACTGATCAAATTCTGTTTGTATCAATCTCCCTATTCCAAACTAACTGCGCAATTGAAAGCGATTCTTCTGACGGTCAAAAGGTCCAAACTCAGTAGCAATATCCGAAAATTACCCAAAGCGAAAGGATATATCAGTCACGCATCTTCTCTCTCCTCCTTGATCGCGCAGCGACAGGTACAGCGACACACTGTTGGCTGATCCTTCACTGGTTGACGACGCTCAAGTTGACGCGCTTCAGAAATCGTCTTCTTCAGCCATTTCTCTCGATGTCCGAGACTTGCTTCACGGTGGTCAAGCATTCGGCTTCGAATCTCATTGTCAGTCATCAGCTGCATTCGATATCTTTTACCGGGCACTGAGCCTGATCGAGCATTCTCAGTCCGTCTTGGGCTAAAACCCTTGGCTGGAGGTACCTCAAATTGGTCGCGGAAATGGGAATTCCTGTCATGTCTTCGATCAAGGCTACGGCTTTGGAACTTTCGGGGTAAATGAGGCCCATAGATTGGCTCGCGACGATGAGGACTGGGATTCTGCTGTCGGAAAGGGGCCCGGTTTAGTTGTGGCTCTTGACACTCAGTCTCTGTCTCAGTCTCCATGCTTTCTAGGTCGTCTGTTGCGGTTGTTTCATCGGATGCGTCAGAAAGCATAGATGCATCATCTGAGTCGCTGTCACTTTCCGATGAATAATCTTGGCCATCCGGATAGGCAGGGCCCTGAGTGGGATTGATATTTGCAAAAGGAACCATCGCTGGAGTCAGCTTGGAAGGCAGCAGTTGAAGTACAGGCTGCAAAATATTCCCATTTCGATCCGGCGGCAGAGGTTGTTGTCTGTGATGAGACCACATAGGCGAATTCCTTGTATCCACCCAATAAGGCTTTCGAATAACTTCTGCGCTATTCATAAAGGCCCTGGAATATGTATGGGTCTTTGTGGGCGTTTGCATGATTATAACATCCATGGTGACCGTTTCATGATCACTGCGACAAGCATGTCGGGCCTTGGATAGCTTTTTATGCTCTTTGACATAGACGAAGCTCCACTCAACAAGTGGCTTATTGTGCTTTTGTTCGTCAATCAGTTGATTTATATGAGCACGCTGGGTATCAGAAGATAGGCTCTGGTATTGCTGCGCTGTCGACTTCTTGTTTGCCCTCTTCTGGACCAGTTTGGAGTACTCGTCTTGATTCAGATGCATGGGCGTTCGTTTCACGCATTTCCAGGTTGCACTTTCTTCGGGCATAGCCTTGGAAAAGCTGAAACCCTCATAGATCGGAATTGGTTCGAATTCAGGATCTTTCTGGGCATATTGCGAATGGCCGACCGGCGACATTGGATTTGTGTTTGGGGTGTGTTTCGAGATTGGTAAGGAATCGACATTGAGGGCAGACATTGGAAGAATTTCTTTGTTTCTTTGATAATGAAGTCACTTCTAGATAATCTGATTCTTTGGCTTCAAAGTTGATATTTATACATATCCAGGAGTTCTCATTTACCCGGGTGGTTTAACATGAGGCTGAAAACGCCCCATGATATGGGGGCCGAGCCCAACCAGTCCAGGAACGCCTGCTCAGCTGCATACCACCCGGGTACCCATCCACGACTTCGGGACTATGACTCGTATTCGAGACGTCATCTGATAAGACAAAGCAGTTTTAGCCTCACTGCTAGGCAACCTTCCATTGTGTATTTTTCTTTTCCTTTTATAGAACCTTTGTCTATTTGGAGAACAATACATTGCGTCATTCTTTGACGGTGGCGTATAAATGAGCCTCTTAAAGCTGTCCACAGTGTCCATAATTTTCTCAGATAATTCGATACCATGACTGAAAACATGAGCATTAATCCACAGGATCCTTACGCTTTTCAGTACCTCCTAGAAAGAGACTTGGGGGCAATCAGAGGAAATCATAGCTTGCGGTGTCCCTTGCTACATGTCTATCCACTTTCTTACGAGAATAGCTTTCCTCGCAGTGCCGAAGGTCTTTTAGACCCCTCGAGTCCACTGTCCGAAAAATATCCCCAATTAAGTCAAGTTTTTCGAGAAAGATTAGGAGTAGCGTTTAGCAAACGGAATAACGAGGAATTTTCGAGGTGTAATTGCCCGGATGATTCAGGTCACAGGTGCGACAGCTCAATGTTCCAAGACTGGAACCACACTTCTTATGAAGAGTTCGTCCGGTTGAGTGCGGCGGGGAAGACCACTGCCAAGGTGGTATGCCTGTGTCCGGACCTTCAAGAGCGAGTGCAGATATATGGATTCATAGGCCAAGGAAGTGAGACCATTCTCTCCCCTCGAAGTAACCCTGTATACATTGCTAACTGATCACAGCATATGGGGCCACGTTTATTGCACGCGAGAAAGGCGCTGCTGGTGTTTCCCTGAAAGATCTTGAACAATACGCAATCAAATCCCAAGTTCAGAAAACAAGGTGGACGGAGACGAAGACCGGATACTCACCTCATATGGTACCATTTCGTGAACCCACCGGAATCAAACGATATATACCAGAAGAAGCTCTCCTCTTGATCTATCTCGACGATAGCAACAGGTTCCCACGGCTCAACTCTGTCTACACTCACGGTATGCTAACAGCTATTCTGATGACACCCTGTGTTGATCCTAGCTATGAAGCTGTTTCGGTTATTGATGAGGGTCATTTTGACAGGATCAAGTCAAAGGGGCCCATACCACGTATCCGAAAGAGATATCCCCCGTTTCCAGCTTTTGATGGCAGCCATCTCATGTCCACCACCAAAGAACCTCAACTGGGGGAAATAGAAGGTTGTAAAGTTGCTTCCCAGCTTCTCCAAGCCCTGGTAGAGCTGGCCGACATGAAGGTCTGTCATGGTGATATAGCGGTGACAAATTATCTCATGGATCCAAATCTGAATGTCCAGCTGATCGATTTTGGAATTATTAACTTTTCACTTAGGAAATCGGGCTTCGAATCAAATTTGGATCACTTTATCCCTTACCAGGAGTACCAGATGATGCCTGAGCGAGCCGTGGAACTAGAGAAGTACGACACCTGGAGGGACCCATGCCGTGACGATGTCGGTATTGAATCAGTCCACTTACCTATAGATGAACGGGAAATCTGCTTGTGGAAATATTCAACTCTAGTTTACGGGTTTCTACATGGTTTCTGGCCCTGGGATGAGCCTGAACCAGCCCCGAGAGGCTTAGCATGGTCTGCTGGGTATAATGGTTTATATAATGACCCATTCTATCCAGCAGTCAAAGGCAGACGCAAAAGAATGATTAATGAGGATGTAGCAATAAGTGAATCTCTCTCACAGGACTGCAGGGATGTGTTACAAGTCACATTGTCTCGAGACAAATCCGACCGTCCGTCGTTGGAAGAGTTATCATCATTTCCTTGGTTCTCCCGTTGGTCTGCTGAAGAACTTGAGTCTGGTCGCCCTTTGAAAAGACCCTTTATCAAGGAGTTCCATGATAAAAACCGTGAGGATGGCCGAAGAGGTTTCCCTTGGCCGAGTATATCAGTGGACGAAGGTATGTCAATCCCCATCCTTAATAGCCCGGGATACAATTCTTCTGATTCATCTGTTTATTCTTCGGATTCTTCGGATTATTCTACATATTCTGATGAATCCGATGATTTTCAGTATGAGGAAGTGCCCTCTTCTCAATACGAGGAAGACTCGCCCCTTCAAGAGGTATCACATTGAGGCTTATAGTCTGAGATCCCGAGAATAATGTTTTATATAAGTCATAAGGATGCGAGTTAAATTCAATTTCATCACCGTAATTTTGATATGGGTAGGATTTGGTTTTGCGTACTCCATAAAGCTAAAGTCCACGGGTAGAACTACTATATAACTTCCAAGGTTAGCTTATGGGTTGATAAAATTCCGCCTCCCTGCTTGAAGGAATACTATACTACTCATTGATAGATACTACTTCGCACTTGAACAGGCAAAAACATGTAACCTGTGGGATTCAACCCTACGCCACTTTCGTGGCCAGAAAATGGCCATTGAATTCAATGAAAGAGGGTCTCTTGAGTCTGTGCTCAAGTCAGTAGAGATCTGAGCCAAGAAATACTACTCATCTGGCGCCTTGGACTAACTCGGCCGAGGTTCCAACGGGTTGAATCACTTAGCGGGTCGAGCAGATCATGGGATTTCTCTGTGTAGTCTATATCGACCAGCTACGGCATGAACCAGAACGCTCACTTAGCTTAACAATCCACTAAACATCGCGTTTAGTAGAAAGATAGTTTTATTTTTAGTGAGCATATGGTTACGCGAGTTAAAGACGCTGATGAGAATCTGGCACTAAAGTTTCGACATGTTCACTAAGTCTAATTCATAAGACGATACACTATGTAAGGCTACCCATTGGTAAGAACATCATGGCTGAATGTATTTGTTTGCTACCGAATTGACTTGGAACTCAAGAAAGCCCTAATGGTCACGGTCGAGCCTCAAAAGGACTGCATGGATGCATCAGGCAAAATATGCTGCATTTGTAATTTGGCTGAAGCTCAAAAGATTTGATCTTCTTGCAAACTTGGCCGAGAGGTCTAAGGCGCCAGATTTAAGAGAGATAATCTCAAAATCCCTGGTCACGAGAGTGGCGTGGGTTCGAACCCCACAGTTTGCATTTCTTTTTTTGTACCTGAACATTTCAATCAAACTAGGGAGTATTCTATTTAATATATTCTTTTGTAATAAACCCGACGCTGTTAAGAATTCCAATCAATCTAGTACGGATTGCAATGGGTTCGAAGCCTCATTCATGCAGTTCGACACCTCCATCACCTATTCATGCACATGCAATACATCCAACCACGTCAGCTCAGTGGATCTTTACACTTGATCACTCATGCTAGCATGCAATCCTGAGTGAGCATAGACTCAACCGCCCTCGAGATCAGAGAGGAACCGGGGATTCGAATCGCGACCACCATGAGAAGTGGTAGAGCAGCCATCCTTCTGCTGATGAGCGGTCACCCCTATATTCCACATCCCCGCTTGCAGGCCGTGAGGCTGAGGGTAGCCTCGCATGTGCTCATGATGAAGAAAATGACGGTCTAGATGCTTATTCGACTTGAACATGGTTCTATAGACGTTGTTTACCAGTTCCACACCCTGGTGGGCTGCAAGTGCGCGTACGTACGTCGTATTGGTGCGAAACTCACCTTCAAGGGCAAAGATATGGTGTCCGCCGAAGTCAACACCTGGGCTCCCATCATGTGTTGCAAGCACTGTGAGTCGAGATATGAGCTTACACCGAGATGTTAAGGAGACCACCGGGCTGCTGACAGATGATCATACTCCAATCGGACGTATCGCCGTGAAGTCGGATCCGGACACAGAAGTGGTACACATTCTTGTAGTTCAGACTGTCATGAGCACCATTGAGGCAGCCAATGGCCAATTCAATCCGAGCTACGAGAGCTTTAGTGGCAAGTACGTGTTTCGAAGGGGGCCCCTCTTTTAGGATACGGGGTGCACATGAATATGCAGATGATGGTGATAGAGCAACCTGAAAAATCACCTGAACAGGTCTCATAGCTCATTATGAGAACGAACACGAATACGAATATGAGCCAACCAATGATCACTGCCTCTGCCACCCTGGATACCAGATATCCGAATTTGCCCAGCTTTGGTTTATCTCTAGGTTCTATTTTATCTCTATATCATATCGTTTAAAGCTAGAGTGTATGACATATCAATTATTTCAATGGAAATATGTAGCAAGTGATTGCTTTATAGCCTACGATCAAGTTCAAGGGTTTGGGTTATGAGGCTACGTCGGATCATATTACAGAGTATATCATCCGTAGATGGACGTACGTCGATGATGATACTACTACAGTCTGGTCTTAGAATTGACACCACATTATTGTTAAATCAGTATCCTAGTCCTCTGAGAAGGACTAAGAAGGCAATGTTGCAGCTACATGGTCTTTCTTTTTACTCGGCCGTTGGCTGGTCAGGATCAAAGTATTAATGTGAACGACTACTAAGACTACTGAGCTTTTGTCATTCTCCATAGGATGTGACCAGTTTGATGGTGCCTCCTATGTCGGCGATGCAGACATCAACTACTGACCCCAACTGACTACATACTTCTTCTCAGCCTATCACCATACAGTTTGTTGGTCAGTCCTTACAATCTATAACCACTTCAAGCGAGATTACAACATGATGTTGGGTGGAGTTAGCCGGGCCCATAATTCACTATCTCGAATTCTTCAATGTTTTTGACACAGAAGTATATAGAGAAGCCGGGTCTAAGATTGCAAGAATGATTTGTAGGGTATGCTAATAGTAACAGTAAAGCAGGTAAAGTCAATCAGGGCTCAACATAGCAGGTCGCATTAACACTGTCATCAATGGCGTGTAACAGAATTAGTCGTAATCATCGCCGAAGGCTATCCAATCTTGCTTGGAGGTCATCGTCACTTGTATTGCCTCCCCCTCCAATGGCCTGTGCAACTCGGGTTTCATTCGCTGGTGCTTTCTGTATGTGTTCAGGTGTATCACCAAGCTGTAGATGGAATGTGTTAGTCCGCAGGGTCCGCCTTTCGATGTCTGGGGGACAAACCGCTTGGTTCAGATCGACACCAATCTCGTCCAAAACCTCCTTCAAAATATCTTCTCCTTCTTCTTCTTCGCCTTCCATGCCTGTGGCCTCGTCGATCGCATCATCCATCATTTCTTGCCGTTGGTCCATAACGTCATTTTCTCGTTCGAATTCCATCGCAATCCGTTGCAGCGCTGGGAGATTCATCTGTCTGTTCATACTACCCAGAAGCATTGTGGCTCCTTTCATCGACTGCATCATCTGCTCATTGCTTCGGACAGTCTTGGAAGCAGCAATAGTCAGCGCATTGCATAACTAAAAGGGGTTGCGGATCACAGCTTGCGCGTACCTGGATGCGTAGAGAAATGGCCTGTAATTGCGTGCGCATTTGATAGAACTTTTGAATATATCTGTTTCCCGCCATAAACTCAGTCAATGCTGCAAAGTTCAGTAAATAACCAAGAGAAACTGACCTCCGTGTTCGAACCAGGTCCTTGGCCTGGATCTTGCAGGCTCCTACTTGCCCATTCTTGGCACTCTTCTTGATGTCTTGTACCAGCTTCTTCTCTTGGTTTTCTAGTTTCACTCGCTCTCGGTCAAGCTCCCGCTGGGTACGGTCCAAGGCACGCTGGTGTTTACGCAGGCGCTCTGCGGGGGTCATGCGCTTTCCAAAAGCCCATTCGACGATCTGATAGCCCTTGTGTAAGTAAAGCAACCATGTTCAACAATCTAGTATGTGACTTACATTCATGATTGCAAGGAGTAATGGGCAGTCAGTTTTGAGGTGAAAAGTGAATCCAAGTACAACGTAGGAGCCTGAGTAGAAACGGTGACATCAATCGCGGTATGGTAAGATTACGGGCGCATTACTTCGATACCGGGTCACATGGACGCTAATCCCCATTTGGCCCGACGTCATCTTTGAAACCTTCCAAGAAACTGATCATCTCATAATCAAACAACCAAAAACCACAGCTTGTCTTGGACGGATGTCGCCCCCACTTTGAATTCTTTCATCCGCCATGAGTCAGGAATATCACCCCGGTGAAGGCTCGTCTTCTGGAGCCGGCCCGTCCAGGTTTTCGGGCGAGGAAGAATTTCCCGAGAAGAATCATTTTTTCCGTCCCCCGCCGACTTATATGACCGTGGGCAGCGGTTCGACTTCGGACAGCGCGACGGCCTTGATGACTTCGCTCAATCAAGATTCTGGCTATGGAGGCAGTATCGCCGATACAGAGGAGGATCCAAGTTCTGCTTGGCGCGCAGGGTTGATGGAGGATAGGCCGACTCCGGTGCACACTCCAACGCGCCCTGGAGAATGGAATCCCGCAGGTAGGTGACTTGATGTCACGCAGTGGTGCTTGATATAGGGGTGAACATCAAACTAATCGTTCTTGGGATACAGCTGAGCATGAGAAGCAAATTGTTGCCAGTCATGTCTCTCAACTTCTCTAGTATGCCTCGTCTCCCCACAAACAATCCATTATCGAAGTGCAAGGCTTACATTATTTTCAGCAACTCAAATCGAACCAAGCTTGCTCGCGCGATCTCCCGGACTATTGACACACTGAAGGAGCTCCAGGACATGAATCGCCAATGGCCCGCCCACTATCCCTCCGTGCAGAGCACACCCTCTTCTACCATGGACCGACGACCATCACTGCATCAGACTCAATCCGAACTTGGTGGCAATGATGGCAGACCCAGTACCCCGCCCCGACCAGATCTGAGGCGCGCAGCTACTTTGGCGGCTAGTGACGAATTGGCAGAATCCAGTGCCGCGGCCCAACGTCGCGTCCCGTCAGAGCCTCCTAGATTGATGACACCGCAAATTGCGCAAGAATTTTCTATTCTTAAATTGGATCTAAAACTTGGCGCTCTTTCACAGGCAGAGCTAGTGCATTCGTTGGAGAAGGCATCGATTGCCGCCCTGTTGGATGGAAAGATCAGCCAAAGCATGAAGCATCTCCTCTCGCTGCGGGACAGAATTGAGGATACCTCAAGTAAGGTCCTGATTACAGGTGACTTGAATGCAGGCAAATCGACATTCTGCAATGCTCTCCTACGCCGAAAGGTGTTGCCAGAGGATCAGCAGCCTTGCACCAGCATCTTCTGTGAGGTCCTCGATGCACGCGAAAATGGCAGCATCGAAGAAGTCCACGCCGTTCACAAAGACACGCCATACAACCGCAACGACGAAAGCACCTTTGATGTCTATTCTCTCGCGGAACTCGAAGATATCGTCATCGACAATACTAAATACATGCAGTGCAAGGTCTACGTGAAGGATGTACGGTCTATCGATGAATCACTGCTCAATAATGGTGTGGTTGACATCGCTCTGATCGATGCGCCTGGTTTGAACTCGGACTCGTTAAAAACCACAGCCGTCTTTGCTCGGCAGGAGGAGATCGACGTCGTTGTGTTTGTGGTTTCGGCCGCAAATCACTTTACATTATCTGCAAAGGAGTTCATCTTGAACGCTGCTCATGAGAAGGCATATATATTCATGGTAGTCAACGGATTTGATCAAATTCGCGACAAGCAGCGCTGCGAACGTATGATCCTGGACCAGATCGGCAAACTCAGCCCTCGCACATACAAGGAGGCTTCTGAACTGGTTCATTTTGTTTCAAGCAATGCTATACCTGTTGCACCTGCTATCTCTCAATCTGGCTCCGGTAGTGGTGACGGTGGTGGCTCGGATCCCCATGATGATGACGATGATAAGGACTCCAAGGATAAGGGCAAGGGCAAAGAACGGGAGAAACTTCAAGACTTCGAGAACCTCGAAGGAGCCTTGCGACGGTTCGTCCTTGAAAAGCGCTCCCGGTCTAAGCTTGCGCCTGCCAAAACATATCTTCTCAATCTTTTGGCTGACCTTGGCTCCCTTGCCACAGTCAACCGTGATGTTGCACAATCGGAGCTTAAGCGAGTGACCGATGAATTGGCGGAGCTAGAACCGGCGTTCGAGAACGGCAAGAAAAAGAAAGGAGAGATTGCAGAGGGTGTCAACAAGGCTATCGACGACTCATGCGACGACGTCTATGATTACACTCGTTCGACAATAAATAACACAATCACGCGTGTTTCTGATGCAGACCTCGGTGTCGAATATCACGGTCTCTTTTCGGCATTCCAGTATGCCGAGGAACTCAAGCTAGCAATGTTGGATCAGATTGCTTCCTCTGTCAACGACTGCGAGGACTACGCCCGGGAAAAGACAGTACAGGGAGTCGGTTTCATCCAAAATATCGGGCTTCTACATATTGGTGAAGACAAATTCACTCCACTCAGCTTCCGCGCGGATGCGATGTTCCGCCGTGGCCGGCGCCACACATTTGCCCGACAAGTCGACACTGAGGTCGAGCTGTGGGATTTCTTTGATGTCGCCGGTCTTTGGGAGCGCCAAGAGAAGGTAGCAGGAACAGGTGTTGCAATGACTGCGGTCACTGTACTTGGCGGTAGGGCATTGGGTGGATTCAGTTGGGTGGATAGTGCATTGAGTGCTGTTAAAGTCATTGGCCCGAACAACATGCGCCGACTGTTGTTGCCTGGCATTCTGGCTGCTGGTGAGTTTGACCCGTTCGTTCTCACAAAGAAGAAAGTATACTAACTTCATACAAGCTGTCCTGACTACAGCTTATGTGCTCAGTTCTATCCCGACCACCCTTCCCCCACGCCTGTCGCGGAAGATCGCCGCCACTCTTGCTGAAATGGACTACGTCCACTCAAATGCCAATCGAATCTCGACTGAGGTTCGCCGCATGCTGCGCATGCCTGCCGGAAATCTCCAAACCTGTCTATCTCAGGATATCGAGGATCTCGGGAGACGCAAGCAAGAGGTTACCAAAATCAAGCAGGAGAGCGATGTCGCCACCAAGTATTTCTCTAACCTGCTACGAGACAGCAGCGAGAACCGCCGTTCTATCGAAAATCTCGATCTTGATGCTCCTTTGCCTGGCGGAATGGCTGCAGCAATGCAAACATAAGCCTAGGTCCACCTTTGTACAACCACTCATGATTCCTACGATGTTTTCTTTTTCTGTCTTTTTCATTTACCTCCAAACTTGTACAGATTACATCCTTCTCTCGCCCTTCTCTATATCTTACTTAACTCTTCCCATGATGTTCCTCCACCTCGGCTTTACAGTCATTTCTGCCTAGGGCTTTCTTGCTCCGCTGGCTTCTGTATTCCATGGCGTGTTAGTGTCGACCAGAGGAGTCTAATCCTTTATCCAAGATTCCCCTTGAATTCAGATTGCATCTAGTTCAAAATTTCTCCTGTTAGTGACCTCAAGATCGAAGGGTTTCTCTTCGTTGTTCTTTTTGTTTATAAAATATCTGGTATCAGAATGCACCTTCAACTGGGCTTTTCAAGATAACTTATTATCTATCACCTATCGTACCTATGCCTAAGGACATACAGCTTGGTATCAAACCAAATCGAATTATCATTGACAACATCTAGATATCGCTCTTTCCAAACAATAGATGGACAAAAGAGGGCGCCATTCGCAATGCAATGCCATGCCTTCACCGATGAAGGGGAAAAAAACCAAAAACCAAGACCTCCATCCCATGTGCAACAATAATCATTCATCGTCTATTTTAGCAGGTTGTTTCCTCGTCCTCCGCCCAGACCCCCACCCAATATCCTCCAGCTCCCGGACTTCACCAACAAGCAGCCCCGAGGGATTGGCCTTCATCGTCTTTCCACTCAGCTTCCCGGCATCCCTTAGGAGCTCAGCCCTCATGGCAGCCGCGTCGGAATCTTCATAATCCAACTGAGTCATCTGCGGGGCCTGGTTTTCCTCATCTTCGTCATTATGCGCTGGGAGTTTATCATTCAGGAAATCGAATTTACCGCCGCTGAGCATGGATGACAGACTCTGTTCAGCGCGACTGTTACTGCGGGATATGGAGTTGTCTCTAGTCGGATGGGCGCTTTCCAAAGCGCTGCCGAGGCCGTCGTCGTTGAGTGTGTCGATCGAGCTGGCGCGGGAGACAGGGCGCGGGCCTTCAAGCATTCGGGTGGAAGAGTGGGATGGAGCACGGCCGAGGAGGGGCTTGCGCTTTCGTCGGGGTGGATTCCCGTCATCATTGGTTGTAGTATTCTCGGATTGCTGTCGTGACTTGGCAGCGCGAGCTTGCTGTAGGAGTCCGCTTAGAGCTGTATCTAGTGCGGATGGAGCAATTGATGGTATCGGGTCGGTGCTTGGGGTTAGCTGTTTGCTATTCGGTTCCTCTGGGGCCTGTTTGTCGAGTATTCTGGCCGGGCTTGGAGATCGTGACTCCGGAACGGAGGGTTTTGGTGCATCGGCCTCGAATCCATCGCCAACGATGGGAATTGTTCGAATTATATTGCTGTTCCCTGAGGTTCGCTTCTCGATCCTACTACGATTTGTGGACTCGGTAGAGATGTTGTACGGGGAATCCGCACGCTGTTCATCACCAGAATTTTTCTCGGACTGCTTTCGCTTAGCAGACAAAGAGCCGAGTTTCTCTGTGCTGCTAGCATTTTGGGATAATTGTCGTCGGACAATATATGGCTCAAATGACTTCTTCTGACCAGTTTGAATAGATATCCAGAGCCAGTCAGCAGACACTGCTGGAACTCCCCACTCGGCAGTATGCCGCAGTTTTTCCACGCTGGCTGTTTGGGGGTCATTGCAAATCAGAACGGATGCTTTCTGCGTCAGGAAATCTCCATAAGTGGCACCCATCAACTCTACCAGTTTGCGTAGGTGTAAAAGGTCGATACGACCAAAGCCAGTGGAACAAATCCGCAATTCCGGAAATCCTGAGTTCATTAGAGAAAGCTTGAATCTTACATTTGATGGGATCTCACCGGGTATAGGGAACCTGGGAAATGGAGTGCTCGCCACATGGGACTCGGGCGGAACAAAAGCTCGAGCATCAATGCACCTTTCCAGCCACATCTCCGTCACAACCTCGCATTCAAAGGCCATTTCATCCGTTGACGGAATCTCTGACCTGGGAGTCTGATAGGGCACCATGATGAACAGTCCATGTCCTGTTTTGGGGATAGTAGGGCTAGAGAACTCATTCAGTGATTCCACCAACTTAGCTCCATTATAAGTAAGATGTTCACGCAGAACTTTGGTCTAGAATATGCATTAGTCTCAAGTAAGTGCAGGCAAGAGCATGATCACAAACCTGCTTGGAAGAAAATCCATTGATGAAGAAATAAGTCGCGTGTAGAAATCCATTATCTTTCGGTGGAGCAGTCGGCAGCGGAAGACGAGATTGAATGCTTTCAGAAAATGTAGTCTCGCTAGCGAATGACTGATATGCTTGTATGACAGGCTTTGAGGCTTCAGGTGGTTCTTGTCCTTGTAGGTTCTTTTGGGCTCCAGTCGTCTCTTTATTTTCGAACCCCGTTCCGACGATATCTCCCCAGATGTTTTCGTTTTGATCTACCAGCTTGGTACTTGCGATCCTGCGTAATTTTCGAGGTCGTGGGTTCAAAGAGTTCTCTTTGTTAGTGCTGTCCCTTCGAGAAGGCTCCCTCTCTGATGGTGAGGATCGATTCCATGCGCCAACTCCTTGATCTGCTGGTGGTACTAGCGGGTGATATTTCTCCTCGTCCAGGATCATCCCACGCTCAATGCTATCCGTAAACCATTTTACCGAAACAACCGTGATCTCCCATTTTGTCGCGAACTTGTATTTCTCACCGTCCGGGGTGCGCGCAATAAGATGTGTCACAGATTTGGTCAAATCTTTCCGGTATTCGGCCCCGTTCTCCTCTGTTGTCTTCTGCATGTAGGCTCGGAAAGGAACTGCGGCGCATTTGTTAGCTCTCTCATGCTCAGTTGTGGAAACTAGCTAACTCACGGTCCGAGAACCCAGTGATGCAGATTTTGACGCCATGCAATGCTGCCAGTCTGAACTGTTTCTCAAGTGCCTGTATGTCTATGTCCTCTCCCTGCGTCCATGAGTGTCGTACGGCCTCGATCCATTCCGGTCTCATTGCCACCACGTCATTCCGTTCCCTTGCAACGAATTTGTACTTGTCGCTGTTCGTGTCACCCACAAGCAAATGGGTTACGTCCGAAGTAAGGTGGATACTGTGCATCGCGCCCATTTGCTCCGCCATTTGAGTCAATGGAGTCTGCGCGATAGGAACGTAAGTCAGATTTTGCTTGAGGCTTCACAAATCACTGGGTTCTATTTGACACATACTCTCTTCTCAACTTGTACATTAGTGAAGCAAATGACTACACCCGTCAGAGGGTAGTCTTTGTCTATAATATCGCCGGTTAGCAATTCAAGCTCGAATTCGAAAAAAAGAGGATGTTCCACGTACTTGAGACAGCCATCCCCGCCATTCCTCATGGTTGCAGAGTGCAAGCCGCTTCAATATTGAGTAATTGGCAAGGTACTCTCGTGACTGGTGGTTGGTAATATCTCGATTGCGCATTCTCGTCGCCCGTGTTTTGCGGTAAATGACGATCACGTGATATGGTGTCTCCTCGCATATCCTTGACTATACTTGGATGTAGGTACAAATTGCACTTGACTACAGTCCATAATCTAGCTTCTTGTATCTCATTGCATGTAGAGCGTTGTAGCTTATATTTCGAAGTTGTCTTGAGCCAATGTGTTGAGGGTATTGATTATCATGATTCTGAACTATATATTTAAAACGACGTCTTGTAATATGGTCGTTAGTTGCCAGAAAAATCCCAAAATTTTTGGATTTTCTTAAAGAAGGAATACTCTAGCTAGTGTCAAGAGATTCCCACAGAGCCTCAAAATATACGAAAAGTACAAACCCAGTGAGACAATCTATATTCAGTATTGTTTGCACCAAGACATCGGTGGAGTTGTTGTCCTTATCAGTGGCCTGTCACGTGTAGATAATCGCGTCTGTAACGCGTTATGGAAAATCGATCTGCGTCCCTATCGGAGTTGTCTGGCGCGACCTCGTTGTCTTGGTTTGCATTTTGCATTTTTTTTTATGCATGTTGCCAGATTGAGGGCGCGGGGCATACACATAATTCGATTGGTCTCTTTAACTTGCCCAAAGAGCCTACCGAATTCTTTTGCGTATTCATCCTCCTCTCGACCCGCCGCAGCCTCCGAGAAAATGTTCAAGAAAGCACTCCAAGACCACCCAGGCAGTGGCCCAAAACCTCTCCACCAGACGGACCTATTGCGTACCAACGCAACGGCACCCTCGAAGCCACAATCCCAACCACAATCCGGTGGTGTCAAACGAAAAATCGAGATCGCCGGGTCTTCCTTAGGGTCCCTCCATAATGCGGTTTATTTCGACGAAAATGACTTCGATGATGATCTGGACCTTGATGAGCCACAGCCATTGATCGCGCCGAGCGTCAATGGCTCCATCATCCCGAAGACGGTCACATATCCAAGTCTTGACACATCAAGAACCGGTCAGTCTGTTTACGGCAACGAAAACCTAGCAGACGTCAATTACCCCGATCTTCCATCCATATCCCAAGAAGCAGCAGTCCCTCCCAGCAGTATCCAGTTACCGTGGTCATCATCGCCCCCCGCTCATTTCCAACCGCCCGTGAAGAAACCTCGTACTCTCCCGTGGACTAAAGAAGAAGAGGAACCCCGGGAAGACAAGAAAAAGAGCCTTGTGACGCCCAAACGTCCAAAGCCCGCAGAGCCCTGGAATAAGTCCGAGAGTACCATCAAAGCGGAGCAGAAAGAATTGCGACAAGAATACAAGAAGACTCAAAAAAGCGACGGGAAACCGAAACAACAGAATTCGAAGATTGCCCGTGTTTTTCTGAGTGACGAGCAAAAGGCTGTTCTAGATGCTGTCGTTGACCGTGGAAAGAGCATGTTCTTCACTGGCTCTGCAGGCACGGGAAAATCGGTACTCATGAGGGAGATTATTGCGAAGCTCCGCAACAAATATCGCAAAGAACCCGATCGAGTTGCAGTCACAGCATCAACAGGTCTTGCGGCCTGCAACATCGGGGGTGTGACTCTTCATAGTTTTGCCGGGATTGGTCTAGGAAAAGAGCCAGTGCCCGAACTAGTGAAAAAGGCAGGGGTTTCTCTACTCATTCAAAAACAGGTGATGCTAACAACCTCCAGATTAAGAAAAACCAGAAAGCTCGGAATCGCTGGCTGCGTACCAAGGTCCTTGTTGTCGATGAAGTCTCCATGGTAGACGGGGATCTATTTGATAAACTCGAAGAGATTGCCCGGCGAATCCGCAATAATGGTCGTCCTTTTGGAGGCATCCAGCTTGTTGTAACAGGCGACTTTTTCCAACTACCCCCTGTCCCAGACGGAAGCAACAGGGAGGCGAAATTTGCATTTGCAGCTGCTTCCTGGACAACTTGTATTCAACACACGATTCTTTTAACCAACATTTTCCGTCAGCGAGATCCAGAGTTTGCTAATATGCTGAATGAAATGCGACTGGGGAAAATCACCCCTAGCACGATTGAGGCTTTTAGACGGCTCTCTCGGCCCCTTGATGTTAATGACCAGATTGAAGCAACGGAACTGTATGTCTTATATGATAAGTATATTGGTGCCAAAGCTGACTTTTGATAGGTTCCCAACGCGCGCTGAAGTGGATGGTGCCAACTCGGCACGGATGGGGAGACTTTCTGGCGAGGTCATGAGGTTCAACGCAGTGGATTCTGGGACAATCCAGGACCCGCAGCATCGCGACAGACTGTTGTCAAACTGCATGGCCCCTCCTATGATTCAGTTGAAGAAGGGTGCTCAAGTGATGCTTATTAAGAATATGGAGGATTCTCTCGTCAATGGCTCTATTGGAAAAGTAGTGGCCTTCATGAGCGAAGATTACTTTGATTCCTACAAGGAAAATGACAAGAATTTTACTGATGATGCGACTGCAAGCGATGATGAACGGGCTCACCGAGCTCGGAAAAAGCTCAAACCAATGGGGTACAAGGAGGGTCCGGCGTCAATGGCTCGGAAATGGCCGCTGGTATCTTTTCTTCAGCCTGATGGGTCAGAACGTCATCTATTGTGTCAACCGGAGACGTGGAAGATTGAGCTTCCCAACGGAGAAGTGCAAGCCCAGCGCCAACAAGTTCCATTGATATTGGCGTGGGCTCTTTCCATCCACAAGGCTCAGGGCCAGACTCTTCAACGCGTCAAAGTCGATCTGGGTCGAGTGTTCGAAAAGGGTCAGGCTTATGTGGCCCTGAGTCGCGCAGTGTCACAGGAGGGACTTCAGGTTACTCGATTCGAGCCTCGTAAAGTGATGGTGCATCCGAAAGTGGTGGACTTCTACTCCAACCTTGTCTCTATCACAGAGCTCAACAAGCCCAAGACGTCACATGTCTTGAACCCGGATGACTTTGATGACGAAGACTTTTGATCCATATATAAGATTGCGAGGTTACCTTTCCTTTTCCCATATCAGAAATAACATCGATATCCAATTACTTATAAATTTTTGATCATAGAAATTATACAGATTGCTCAAAATGGGCATCCATGGATGTTTACTTACACATGTAACTCCTCAAGTCACCAAGCTTCTATGGTTGACATCTCACCTGGGCAGCCCCAGAGGCTTCCAAGGTTGCCCAGGTGGTTTTATATTGCTTATCTCCTATCGATAAGATAAATCACGTGCTTCACGATTAGCTGCCGGTGTCTCACAGCTCTTTCGTCCTGACTCCGTAGGGTCACCTCAAGTTTGACGCGCTTTGCAAACAGATAAAATTGCACACCCGATGGTTGTTTAGCTGGATTACGAAAGCTCACAATCATCATGGCTTCTGAATTCATTGGCTATAATGTGCTGGTGACATTGCGAGAGCCGCAGGGTGGAAGGCTGGTGGGCCAGGTCGCCAACGTCTTTGGGCAGCGCTTGCTGCTCCAGGATGGTGAGCTATGAATGATTCCAATACGTACCCTAATAATTATTAACCTTTTGATGCCTAGTCACATTTCTCTGGAACGGTCAACGCCTACCTCAATATTCCATTGATGCCTCTGCTATCATCGACCTGTCTCTTGAAACCAATACACAGGCTCCTACGAACCGTCAGCAAATACCTCAGCATCAACCCAATCCCAATATTCAAATGTATCCAGCAATGAATATACCTCCAGTTCCCACTCAATCTACTCCAACTCAGCAACAATTTACGGACCCGGCTATTCTGAGTTTTTCGAAAGCCCCTCTCACATCTAAAGCGTTTGCTGAGAATGTTCCGACAGCTGTGCCCGCCAACCAAATCCCCGCAGCAGTATCAGCCTCTTTGAGTGAGCCATTCAGCAACCTGGAATTGAATGCAGACAGTGGTAAGATCGGAACCCAAGGGATGCCCCACAAGACAGTACTCCAAAGCCCGCAGGAACTGTCACCTTCCAAGCAGACACCAAAACGGACCCGACGTGGCAATCAAGAAAATTTACGGGAAGAGAGAGGATACGTTGCTAAGCATGGCGCCGCAGCAAGCACCAACCCGAAGAGCAAAGGCTGGCGCCAAACCGCATTTGTGGAGCCAGCCGCCCCTACATTCCAGGGCTCACCTGAAGCTATGAGCCGGTCTGGAACTAAACTTCGCAAAAAGAAGTCGCGCCGTTATGCCGAAGATCCAAGTGGCTGGGCAACTGAAGATGCTACCGATATCCAGGAACTGGGCGAATTCGACTTTGCAAGCAACCTGTCCAAATTTGACAAGCGAACTGTATTTGAGCAAATTCGAAACGATGACACTACCGCAGACGAAGAGCGCCTAGTGAGCTTCAACCGAAAAGTCAAGCCGGGCACCAACGGCGGAAAGAACTTACACTGGACTGAGAATGTACTCGATAGCCCACTGAACAGTGACACCGGGGATGATATTGAAGGAATTAGTGAAATCAAACTGAGCAGCGAGACCCTTTCCGGACGTGAGCGGTCAAGAGCGCCTGCACATGCTCAGCCTGCCCGCAAAGACAGCACGATACAGGCCCCGCCAATGGTGCCACAGCTCAGTGCGCTTGGCCGCAGCCAGCTTCACGTCAACATTTCTCGTACAACCAGCCCTCGACCAAGCCGATCGTCAGTATCGCCTATGGTAGCCCCCAATGTCTCTGGCGCTGGATCTCTTCGGCTCACAACCACCAATCGCAGCTGTCCCACAGTGAGCCCCTTGCAGACTCTGGAGATCGAGCAAATCTCGGTCGCCGAGTTTGGCTTGGCCGATGAGATCATTACAGAGAACGCAGGCCGGGGAATAGCGGAGGCCGCTGTGGCTCTTCTGTCCAACGACGCTGCTGCACCCACCATGCTTATCCTTACTGGCAACCATCGTACTGGGGCAAGGGCTATTGCAGCTGCTCGCCATCTGCGTAACCGTGGCCACCGGGTTACAGTCTGTTTGCTCGGGCTCGAACACGAAGCTGAATTGCTAGAGAACTGCCGCAAACAACTTGATATTTTCCGCAAGGTTGGGGGACGCGTGCTCAAATGGGAAGAACTATCCGCTCGCTTGGCCACCTCAGACCTGGGCCCCGATTTGATTATTGACGCCTTGTTTGGCATGCATCTGTCCTTTGATGACCTTCGAACTGACGACCAAGGTGTGGCTTTTGAGATGATTTCGTGGATGAACCGCAGCAATGTCGATGTGTTGTCTGTAGATGTCCCCTCCGGACTCAATGCTTCTACTGGTATGTCTTTGCGAAAACCAGTTCAAACCAGTGTGACTAACACAGCAAAACTTACAGGCGAGGTCACTCTAGTCGAAGGTGGCCGGCTTTGCGTCAATGCCACATCTGTGGTGTGCCTCGGAGCGCCCAAGACTGGTGTGCTGAATGCTCTTCTGTCTGGCGAAAGACTGTCCTGGAATTTGGCAGTTGCCGACATTGGTATCCCTCAGATCGTCTGGAGAAAGTACGGTACCCGTCGCCGCCACGGCATTGACTTTGGGAACAAATGGGTTGTGCCATTGAAGTACCAACCCATGGCTTCCTAAACACAACAACCCTTCCTAATTACATGAATTACCACGATCTACATTGTCATCAAAGGCGTTTCAATTTGCGTGATGATTTAGACGGAGCTAGAAGCTCCGTCCACGGCGTTTGTTTTAATGATGTATGGGTTCCAATGGGGAGGTAGCACTTGTACATGTATGATTATTCACTGGCCTTGCTCTGATCTCAAGATCTGGACAAGATAGCTCCAAAACTCAAAATGTCGAAGTAGGATAACAAAAATGCAATTTGAAGCTTACATCTCTCCCCTGTAGAAGCTGGTGATATACGGAGTACTTGTAGATTGATTCAATGCCTGAATCCTGTTCTTAGACCGCTCTCGACATCACAAGTGCACTTGTAAAGGGAGGCTGTTTCTACTAGTACGTCCATGACGATCAACCTAAATATGTTTATTTCTTACCATCAACTCCATCCTTGTGTTTTAGGTTGACTGTCGAAGTGTTCGCGATAAACCTAGGTATGGGATTTCTACTCCGTACTCCGTACGGGATATACTTCTGGCAATATCATTAGTCCGGTACTAATCTCAAAGCGGTAAGCGTGCCGTCATTTGATCGCTGCACGAAAGTTGCTACAGCGTAGAACAGCTTGATACTCAATTATGGGAAAAGGTATGTTTCGCGCGTGTTCATGGCTTGCACAGATTCAAACTCACATCGTTGATCATAGGAACCGATAAGCTTTACGTATGCGACACCCCCATTTTCTGCATTCCACCTTTCTATCGCATCTTGAATCTCTGCTGATAGTTGTATTTCCTCTAGATCACACACTCTGAGTGGGCATCGGAAGATGCTTTCTCGGCCAGTGCTGGCGCTGGAGTCTCCAAAGCCAAGAAGGGTGGTCCACACGCCGCGTTCAAGCGCTTGCCGTTCAATTTCTGCTCTCTCTCCCTCCAACCCTTCTCACACCCAGTTTGCACGCCCACAGGAACGCTCTTTGACCTCACAAATATTCTGCCATGGATCAAGAAGCACGGGACCAACCCCGTCGACGGGACCCCGCTAAAGAGCTCGGACTTGATTAAGTTGACCATCGCGAAGAACGAGGATGGCGATTACGTCGACCCGGTGACCTATAAGGTTCTGACAGATAATACACATATCGTCGCGTTACGGAATACAGGAAATGTTTTCTCCTGGGATACGGTGGAGCGACTCAACATTAAGGGAAAATTGTGGCGCGACTTGGTCACGGATGAGGAATTCAGCCGAAAAGATATTATCACCTTGCAGGACCCGCAGAATATTGAGTCGCGCAACCTCAGCTCATTTAACTACATCAAGGAGGGAGAGTCAGGAATCGTGGAGGGCCAAGACACCTCCGGGAGTGTCAACACCAATGCGCTCGGTAGCGCGGCGAAGATCCTGAAAGCGAAGGAGGCGGTTGCAAAGGCACGGGCAGAGCGTGCTCAGCAGGCTGGTTCTGCTGCGGCCAATACAAAAGCAGTTTCGAAGACCGGAGCTGCAAATGTGACATCTAAGATGCAGCCAGGAAAGCCAACACCCTACAACGCTGCACGTTTCACGACGGGCAAGGCGGCTGCCTCATTCACTAGCACAGGACTGACACCACACACATCTGCCGAGCTAGCGGTACTATCGGAGGAAGAATACATGCTCAAGCGAGGTCGCGTGAAGGCCAAGGCTTACGCGCGCATCGTGACCACCGCCGGGCATCTTAATCTGGAGTTGTATCCTGAACATGCGCCCAAAGCCGTGTGGAATTTCCTTCAGTTGGCCAAGAAGGGTTATTACAGAGATGTACCATTTCACCGCAATATCAAGGGCTTCATGCTCCAAGGCGGCGATCCAACTGGCACTGGACGAGGCGGCGACAGTATCTGGGGCAAATACTTTGCAGATGAATTCGAGGGGCCTCTGAAACACGATGCCAGGGGGACGCTGAGCATGGCCAACAAGGGCAAAAACACAAATAGTAGTCAATTGTAAGTGGTATATTGTGATTCCCCTGGATCAATGAGCGCTAACATGTGATTTCAGCTTTATCGCCTATCGAGCTCTACCCCATCTCAACCTCAAGCATACTGTCTTCGGCCGTCTCATCGACGACCCAACTCCTTCATCAACTACCTTGAATAAGCTAGAGGTCCACCCGGTGGAACCAAATACGAACCGTCCTACCCCCGATATTCTCATCAAGGACATTACAGTCTTCGTTGATCCATTCGACGATTTCCTGGCCCAGAAGCGCGCCGAAGAAGCGCGGGCCTCAGGCGCCACGGGTCCTTCTGCGGAGGAGGAGGACGAGACTGCTCGCCGTGCAGACGATGATCGTGTTACATGGACCGGGAAGCGAGTCCGTGGTACCGACGGGGACTCGAAAGATGGCGGTGCATCGGGGATTGGAAAGTATTTGAAGGCAGCACTGGCAGACCGGGAGGGACGGGAAGAAGATGAGATTGTAGAGTTCTTGGACGATGAGCCTGCGCCTGAGCCCGCTCGTAAAAAGGTCAAGGGGACTGGAGGCTTTGGAGACTTTAGTTCGTGGTCATAGGTCTTATTCCAAGTCTTCTGTTTTTTTCTCCTTCTATGTGTGATTTAATATGAATATGTATGACCACATCCTGTTAGGTTGCAATCACATCTCATTCATCCATGTCAGGTATTAGGCCGCTCTCAATGGTACATGGTAAAGGTGATTTTGAATATCGCTGTATGACTTGCGCATATATTAACACGAGACTGACGCAGGAAACAGGGATTATGTACAGTCTTGTTATAATACCGACAAGTGGATGATTTACTTGAATCTTTGAAGACAACGAAGATGAAGATCTAACCTTCCATTACATTAAGTCAACAAATCTATGCCTGGAGATTTTAAAAAAGAAAAAGGAAGGTTTGAGCCTCGAAGCACCACTGGTGGCTGTAGTTGAAGTAGTCTCCGAGGCAGACCGAACCGGCGTGGTTGTCACCGCTGCAGTTGATGTTGAGGTCGTAGAGATAGCCACTCTGGAGCTACTTGAGCTGGTCGATGATTCCTTGTCAACAATATCGGTATTCGTCGAAACATGCGCCGTGCTAGAAGAGCTTACATCGCTCCCACCCTCGCATTGGACCACAGTTTCCCAACCCCCGGCAAATCTATCCTCCCACCATGAGGATTGGTTACCAAGAGCGAAGTAGCTAAAGAAATAGCCCGAGCCAGGCTCGTCGTGTGCGTTTTGGAAAAATTTGATTGCACACTCGTCGCTACATGGGAAGTCGGTTTTGGCCCAATCATCGCTTCCGGGGTACGTCAAGTAGCAGTAATCAGATCTGCGAAAATGTAAGCAACTACACCCGGAGCAAACGGCTACAGATCTCACCCGCTCTTTGCACAAGATTTGCGGTAATTGTACTGGAAAACCTCGCCTACGGTGGCCACGGGAGCCTCATAGACATAGTGATTCCCGCTGGAAATCCCGGCTAGATCCCCATCTTTGCTGCATGCAGTCTTGACGTTTTTGATGTACTTGGACAGCGACTCACTGCATGTCGTAGTGCACATAGCTTGTAAGTCTGGAGACTGTGGGTGGAAGTCGGGATCCATAGACGCCACGATCTTGAGGAGGGTTTCATCACAGTTGATACTGGCACTGTAGGCGTCCTTGCAAGCCTGCGATGTCGTGTCTGCTAGATCCTTAGTTGTATAGTCCCAGCTAGGACCAGAAGTATTAAGGCTGAAGGCGGCAGTCGCCTGGCCCAAAGCAGCAGACAATGCGAAGAGGCGAATGACAGTGGAGGCCATTTTGCTAAAAATTGGAAAAGGGTAAGAATAGTTGATATTAATTCTTCCCAGCAAGAAGTGAGAGATTAAAGGGGTATATTTCACAGAAAAAATATACAGGGTCTATTAATACCCAGAATTATTCACGTTCCAGGGGGATAAGTAGAATAAGCGAGGTTTTTGATATGAATCCGGTCTAGTATCACGATATGTTCAGGGGCAGTCCCGAACCCCCGACACTTAAGCCTCAAGGCCCACTAAAGATCAGCAGAGATGCCAAGTGATTAAGAGTTGAACGAGAATGAATTACACAACCGATGAATATCACATCTGGGTGTGTAATGGCTAATTGTGGCCTGAGAGTCTGAAGCCTGTTTGCCCTAACTAGCTATCTACTGGCCGTTCACTCGCCAAAACATCACACTTGATTAACGAGCCGCAACTTACTGATGCCACACGTACCCCCGAGCCTACGTAGGTAACTCTGTAGGCACTGCACGGGCTCACTGATTTAATTACTATGGTCTATCATGATCGGTGTTTAATTAGACCGCTCCGGATATATACAATGCTCCTTGTAAAAAAGGCGCGGTAGTGCGCATTAAGGGGAAAGAGAGAGCCACAGCCTTGCCAGAAATTATCTTGTATATCTGTTCAGTATGTACCTATTGAAAATCACCTAGGGATGAACCTATATGCAAGAGCTACCATAATGTACAATATAAAAGCACCGATCTGGACACATGAAAAGGCGTTAACAATGCGATTTAGAGGATAAGCAAGACCAAATTGTGCAGGCCCAAAGACTGAAAAGACTGCAGTGAGCATAAAGAAGGAAATGTTCACAAATTGTAGAAGGAGACGCAGCCACCGGTATCCTTTGAAGACTCCGATAAGCAGTGAAAACAAGACAACTCCATACATTCCAGTAGTCATGAATATAAATGCATAGGGAATGAGTATGATTCCATACAGTGGACTTCTAGACCCGGACAACCAAAGTACAAGGCCTGCCCCCATGACAAGGGAAAAAAAAGCATAGAAGACACTTGCTTTCAAGATGATTACATACGAGCCAAAGTCCCCGTCGGGACTTTCGAGATCAATTAGCTCTTCATGCATTGACATGGGTATCAAAACGGGTGTTTGAGATTCATGTAGTGTGGGTTGATTGGAAGTACTCTCCAAGCCTGCTGTGGGACTATACGTGACATCTGCCTTGTTAGATTGAGGAACAGAGGGAACGGAAGCATAAGCTTACCTTTGTTGAAGTACTGCATCATTGTGATCAATGGGGCTGCTAGTAACATGACAGCCACAACCTGACCAAATGTCCAATCACTTATAAGACTTTCTGACGTATAGAGGTCGGCTGATACACGCCATATACCCCATAAAAAAGTGAGAACTAACCAGCTCACCTGTTTCAAGTTAGGCATGAAAAGACAGCATTTTCATAAGCAGCGTACCTCGAATAAGACTGAGCTCCATCCATCGCAGACTAAACGCGCAAACAAGAAGATAACCAGAAGGGGTCGATAGCAAAGCGAACGTCTGAGGCTGTGCGGATGCCGCTCTTTACAGGCCCACTCAAAGATGACTCGCAGGATTCGTCGTGCTCGAATGCTAAGCCAGCTTCTAGCATGACCAAAAACACCCACAGAGAGAGCTTTGTGTAGTTTGATAATCCGAGAGACAAACGCAATGATAATCAAAAGTGCAGAAACCAGCGCTGACCAAAACGCGATATCAGATGACTGCGACCCTGGATATTCCCATATATGGCAAATCGCGGGACTACCCATACTTCCATTGAGATCCAGCTCTTCCCACCATCTATTTGCTGTCGATAAGAGTCCAGTAACCAGGAATGTGGCAAGCCCACCCATAGCAAGTAATCGCCACAGGCGCTCAACAGAATATTTATAGAGATGACTGCGTAACACCGTTAAACACGACAAATGAGTTAGACAGGAGAACCAAGCCAGTTTGACAATGAACAGCCAATGATAGGCCGCAAGGCCACATCGAAGTTGTACAAATCCACTGATCAAGATCGAGAGCCCTGTGACGATCTGGAGGTCGCTCATAGCCAGAAGACACTTTGGCACGTTAACACCCAGATTATCTCGATATATCCATTTAGTCGGGAGATTCGGGGGAAAAACCTACATTGATAAAAATCTGTTGAAGTCGAATACGGAGTTTGGCGCTCATTCGGCGAGATTTGAAGGTCCATCTTAGAATATATTTTGGTCCCCACCGTACTGCTCGTAGAAATACCTCGTCCACGGGGTTAGGGCGAAATAGATCATCAGCTTGATCATCCCCGCCGAAAGGGTCATGACTTGGTTGATATATCCCGAGGTAATATACTAAAATGATTAATACAGCAATGCTCGCAGTGGCAATATAGTTGATCACTATTCCAATGCCCGTAATGTCGCTATCGGGGGACAGAGGAGAGGGCTTCGACGACGGCGAGCAGCTATAGCCACAATATGACATGGTAATCTGTTGTGAAGAGAGAAAGAAACAAATGGGGTTTGATTATTGGATTTCTATAGCATGTATGCGATGCGATGGATGTCGGAGGGGAGGACATTCTATTTGAGCCTCAAGAAAACAGAGAGGAGGCTGAGTATAACTGAGACCTGGGGGCCAGAAATCCGGGTGTCAATAGGGCAGTGGGACAAAATTTTCTGTCTTCCTCGATTGGTACTTAAATTTGCATATGCTTGATCATATCCTGTAATTTGAGATCACAGGAAGAAAACACTGAAAACACATATCAGATCTATACTAGACCGCGCTTGATAGCGCATAGTAAAGATTCTTTGAACGTCACTATATGACCTCAACTGACCTCAATCATTACAGGTGTTTTTTTTTCTATATTTTCTGCTTCCAAGGGGACTAAACAAACTGGGCATTCCATGTTTGAGAGATTTCTTCGCTTTTCTCCCAAGCGACGTCATCGTAGCCCATGCGTAGTTGCATCTCTCCCATATAAAAAGGGTGATATTAGGGGCCCAACCTCAAAGCAGATTGTGAAATCCCGAGTCGAAATACTCCGTACTCAACACCCCTGTAGTTTACCCGGAATAACAATGGAGCCAAGAATCTTTGGGGCCTGATGATGTATCACATAGCTTTCTCTTGGGTGATCTTTTCAGCGATCCCCTCAGGTGGCTTATAGTTTTCCGCTGAGGGAGAGCCGAGATATCTTCGATTTCTTGAAGTATATTGCTTGTTGAAATTTTTCGAAATAAATTAGTCAATTTTGTACTGAGCTTCAGTAAATAGAGCTCACCGGTATGTACAACATCATTTCCATGTACAAAGACTAAAGAGATCAAAGTAAGCTGGACACTCTTTTGGAGCAGGTCATGAGGTAACTTGTTGCCAGGGCATAAGCTCTGGAATTCATCAAAGCTCATGCCCAGAGGCTGATAGACTAGACAGATATGTTTTCCATAGGGGGCGGGTCTTTCAAACTAATCGAGGAGAAGGCGAACAAGTCGCTTACCAAAGTGGTCGCTCGCGTTCTTCAGGCGATTAGACTGCAATCTCGTTAACTGGCTGTTAGTCACGGACGCGGATTTTCGATATATGGAAGCCATGATTACTGGAGATATTTAGACAATGCCTTTTGCTTATAATGACTACTTACTCACATAAGATCGCGACAGAGCCAGGTGGTAGAAGACATCCCGTAACCAAGCTGAGAAACAATCTGGTATCTGGATGCAAATACTTCACCAATGTATGTAGGATAGTAGCTTTCTGCAACATACTGAGGAAGCTTTTCTCCTTCGATATTCACCATTTGGTCAACCTTAATGAAGCCTGATGCTGGGAAATATTGAGGAAGGGCCAAAGAACCCGATGCCATGGCTCTTATCAAATGGGTTTGCAATCTAGGGATTACACCGGAAGGAAGGAGAATTTTGAGATGGGAAATAGCTCTTGTAAACTTCCCAAAAAGTACTAGCATTGTGGTTGATGAAATAAATCGTGAGTCGAATGACGGGCCAGTGGATATTCCTTCGAGGCTTTACCGCTAGAAGACATGAAAAGATCGCTGAGTAGATCGCCGAAAAGACCTACAAGATATCACGAGGCCATCTAAGCGGCTGTCTCCTCCTACGTGTAGAGACAAAAAAAAAAGTAATAACAGTAGATGGTCGGTTGGGGGAGATGGTGATCATGCCAGGGGCCTGGCACATCCCGCGTGTTGATAGTGGACGCCCCATGATAATTCACTGGGTCTTCACAAGTTAAGTATCTTTTGTATGTCATGTGAGTACAAAAGGTACAAAGGTCACACAAACCGTTACATGCATCTTCCTTAACCCTCGAAGTGATTTACTCAAGAGAATGAGAAGCACTAACATGTATTCCAAGGTTACAAGTATGATCATACTATCTCGCTCTACGGAGTGCCCCAAATCAATCCCAATGATCAACATGGTACTATGAGAACATTGCAAGCTATTAGATACGTAGATAGTTCAACGTACTATTGTACAGAGTATCTATTTTAGTCTCCTATGTATGTAACTCTTCCTTGTCCCCAACTAATGCATCTTATTGCTTAGGCCGTAAGAACTTAGTGCAACATCCGAAAGTGGCAAGATAAGCAGAAACAAGATCATAGCGTCATCGACCAAATGCGGAGAGTAAGAGGAGATTCCTAGGATTATATACAGACCTCCAATAAGTCCTTTGGCAGATGAGACATACAATATTCGAGATAAATAAGGATTAGATAAATTACCCCGTATATCAGATTTGATTTCCACCCCGACAATCTTGGCTCTCTCCGCCCAGTGCCGCCTAAGCCGTCAGCGGAGTTGGTTTTCCTCTTCTTCCACCTCTCATCTTTCTTCACTTTCTTCACTTATCCCAATTCTATCTTCAGTAAGTCTCCTTTCATTGATTTCATCTGATACTATGCTATCTGGTGCCTTGGGAATGTCCACGGTCCTAGACCATCAGACGCGATATACCCCAAAAGCGCAATGTGCATTGTACCTGTTCGGAGGATTGATGGGTTTCATATATTTGATTTACTCTGATTGGTCTTTTTTGGGCTTATTGTGTTTCATATTTCATGTGGAAGAGAACACTTCCCCTCGTGATTCTATCCATTGACGCCTGTGCCGCTCACTGCCTAAACCATCTTCCTTTACTTCGTACCTCCTCTCATCTCTCATTTCAGCCTCTTTTTTAAATGCCACAAACTCATCACTAATTTATTCAGCATTTGCAGCCCAATTCCTCCCACTTCCGCCTCGATTAACCGATCCCTACGTCAGCCTCCCCCCCGTGTTTCCCCCGCCCATCACTAAACCACCATCCCGATCCACCAATTCCTCTTGAAGGGATACAATCAAGCTGGCAGGAAATAAGCGCCGCAGTTTTTCTTCGCAAGGTGGGTTACTGAGCAGAATGTTCAGTGGCTCCTCGAGCCCACCTAAAGATAAAGTAGACGCACTCCCAGAGGCCGGGCTCGACACCAGCAACTTGGCCCTTCAAACCGATTCGACCTCAATCGGCACCAGTCCACGCGAGAAACGGTTCTCTCCACCTAGCGCTGGACTTTTCAACCGTCGACAAAGCGAAGAGCAGGGTACCGCTACTGATAAGAAGCGCAGGAGTAGTACCGTCACCAAAGCGGCCAACTTCTTCAGCAACGCCAAAAGCTCCCTGAGCTTGAACGGTCGGGACAGCTCGGCTATCAGCACCAGCCCTTCCATCGCGGAAAGTCCGCTACATAAGCTTGGAAAGATGGATCCTGCTCTCAGCGTCCCTCAAGGGTCGTTCAATAACTCCGCCGGAGAATCCGCCCCGACTGCTCGATCATCCTTCCGCGTTGGCGTCACCGAAGATCGAAATCGCAAATGTCGTCGGACAATGGAAGATACGCATGCCTATCTTTACAACTTTCTGGGTACTCCTTCCCCGACCGCACCAGAGATCAATGGTGTTGGTTCTAGGGCTAGCCCGTCGCAGTCATCGGAGGATCCATCTACTATGGTAGAAACAGACAATGGCTATTTTGCAATTTTTGATGGGCATGCTGGGACTTTCGCCGCAGAGTGGTGTGGAAAGAAGTTGCATTTAATTCTCGAGGAAGTAATGCGCAGAAGCCCAAGCACCCCGGTTCCGGAACTCCTCGATCAAACTTTTACCAGTGTGGATCAGCAGTTGGAGAAACTACCCGTCAAGAACTCTGGGTGTACAGCCGTCACGGCCGTACTTCGGTGGGAAGATCGCATACCCAACTCACAGTCGGCCACCGGTTCTTCTGCCCTTGGCCCAGCAGCTGTCGCGGCATCGAAAGCGGACACGAATTCAGAGAATATCGAAACCCCGACTCAAGCCACCTCAGGTGCTTCTGCCGTCCTGCCAAAATTACAGGATAAGGCTATTCGGCAACGAGTTTTGTACACAGCCAACGTTGGTGATGCACGCATTGTATTATGTCGTAATGGGAAAGCACTCCGCTTATCCTACGACCATAAGGGTAGCGATGAGAATGAAGGGAGGAGAGTTGCCAACGCTGGCGGATTAATCCTGAACAACCGCGTGAATGGAGTCCTGGCCGTCACCCGTGCCTTGGGCGATGCATACTTGAAAGACCTTGTGACTGGGCATCCCTACACAACAGAGACAGTAATCCAGCCAGATGCTGATGAGTTTATCATCTTGGCCTGCGATGGTGTAAGTTGATATCCATTCAATGCTGATGATACAAGAACGCTAATTTATACTCCAATAGCTGTGGGACGTCTGTACTGATCAGGAATCAGTTGATCTAATCCGGAATATTCAAGATGCTCAACAAGCCTCAAAGATTCTTGTCGATCATGCACTTGCACGGTTCAGCACCGACAACCTGTCTTGCATGGTGATTCGCCTCGACACCAATCGTGTGAAGGATGTTGTCAACCACAATATAGAACCGATCGGAGTGGACGGGGATCCACCTACGAAGGTAGCCCGGGGTGTGAGTGAGGCTGATAAGATTGTCGAGAGAGCACAGCAGAGCATCGTCTCTTCCGGTCTTGCAGACGATCCGGTAGCGGCAGAGAAGGCCAATGAAGAAACTCTTCAGAGAATGGCCAGCCAAAACCACAAACAAGAACCCGGGCCTGAGGTGACAGTTAAAGAGAGTAACGACCTTCCCTCTGTGGACATCCTGAGTCCGAATAGGAGCCCGGATAAGCCGTCAGGCTCGACTCAGTGATTTTACGACATGTTATGAAGCCGAATCACCATTCTGATACTGTGAAAACGAATTGATAGAACGTGTCCATTTCTTTCTTTTCGTCTACTATCTACTTCTGGTGCTTCTGGGAGCAATGTACCCAACCTGGAATATCTTCCGGGGTTTCCCTTTCTGTCGCTTACTTACTACATTGCACATCCATTGGCGTCAATGGGGCACATTGGCTTCCCCGTTATCCTCATTTTTCAACTTTTTGTTTGTTAAGATATCAGACTCGGTGGTCTTGATGCCTTTTTGTTAGCATAAGTCTTCCATTATTAGGATATTTGACCTGAATTTGGCCTCTATGAGATTAGTCTCTTTTGTTTTTTTTCCATCGAATGACTGTTTAAACCAAAGAGATAGTTCATATGTATTTGTCTGTTGTACCTGTTGCCGTTGCAGGTGTACTCCGGAGGATGATTATGATCAGTCGATAGGTATGGTTTACTATGTTGTGTAGAATAACAATCGCTTGTGGAAGGTAATGAACCGAATCAAGATCTTGTTTTGGAGCGCAGTAATTAGTCGCCGAGGTCTTTCGTGTTATATATCCTTTTTACACTGCCCACTCAGAAGACGAAGACGATACCAGGATGTCAAAAGAAGAGACCACTAAGAGGTGGCCGTACTTTCTTGTGATTTGAGATATCTAAAAGTACAATTTATGAATGCTAGTATAAGCTAGACAGAAAGACAAGAGAGAAAGTACAAAAAGCACCAAACATCAGGCCAAAGCCAGAGAAAAGTGGATATCAACACACACAAAACATCCCACCTTGCTCTAGAATGAGCGAGAAATAGGAGAGAAGAATCCCAATGACACCAAGCGTCTATGCTTGCTCAAACGAGCCATCGGCGATGATTTCCTCGCTAGGAATCGGAAGGTCCTCCTGTCCAATTATGTGGTTTCGAGTCCAGCGCAGCTGACCGTGCTCAATGTAATCGGGCCAGGTCTTCGCAAACTGCGCATCGTACGTGTCCTGCCACAAGATCTTGACAAATCCGTCCTTGGGGGCGTTGTGATCCGTATTAATCTCAACCTGGAGCTGCTCCTGAAGCGAGGCAACTTCGCCCGCGCGTGCCGCAGCCTGCTCAGCCTCCTTCCGGAGAGCCTCACGTCTGCGCCTACGGGCCTTGACAGTCTTGTATCCAGACTTGGTGCTCTCCGGCACACCCTCCACGATATGGTCGCGGTGCTTCTGCAAAACGAAAGCAATGTCGGCAATCGCGGTGGCCTTCTGGTTCATGAGGGCGTAGGCACGCTCCTTTTTCATCATGATCTGGCCTACTCTTCCCATGTTCTCCTTGTCCCATTGCTTTTGGTCCCGTAGGTCTGTTGGCCGCTTCGAATCGAGATATTCTTTTGTCACGGTGATCATTTCCTTGGGCGGGGAGAGCTGGCGCAGCAGCGCGAATTGTCGCAGGTGGTTATAGACGTTCAGTCCGACTTGCGCCTCGTTGAAGTGCACGGAAAAGTATGGCACCCACATATCCTTACGGACGGTGGCGGGAATGGTCTTCTTGCCGTGGTTGACACATTGCTTGATAAGGTTGGTTTTCTAGAGGCCCGACAATTTAGAAATTTGCGATATGGCGGGCTGGAATGGTGCGGCAGCGTAGGGAGTTTTGCTAGACACAAGGGCTTCCAATGCTGCCCACCCACCGGGCCAGGAAAAGAAACTCACCTCCAGATAGCGGGTCAATGAGTACACGACCTGTTTCGTGCGGATGTTGTTGTACACGAAGATATTCTTGCCGTGGGTGACAGAGTTCAAGGCCTTCTGTAACCGCCGACCTTCCTTGTCCTGATGCTCTCTGAATGCATTTGATCCCGGTACTCGGGGCTTTCCTTGAATTGGTGTTGTCGGATCAATCGGTGGCCGGCGGATGAATTTCGTGGCCGCAAGTGCTGTTGAGTCCAGCACTTTCTGGAATGACTTTGCGTTGGAGGCCATTACGGCCGGACCGGAGGCTGCGTACAGTCGATCTGAGAAAAATTAGGGCAGTGAGAGGTGTGGGTTTATTGCATTGGTGGGAAGCGCTAGACAGTGTTGATAGAGAGAGACGGGAGGTCGATTTTTTGACGGGGAACGCTGAGGTCTTGGCACTTGCTCTCCGCATCGTCTCTTATCAGCTCACTACGCTCTCTCTCACCAATTCAATTGCTTCAAACTGCGTTTTGCCCATTGATTGTCTTTTTAATATGAGTGGCCTCGATTATTTGTGACGCACTATTTAATCACTGCGCTTCCCCGCAGGGCTGGCGTTATGGATAAGGACACGGAACATGATACAGGCGCCCGCAGAGAGCGGCCATGGCTCTATGCATGGGTATGTATTGGAACTAGAAGATAACATGGTGGCACGGGATGCTGACAAGCTATTAGAACCGTAGGCTTCGACATTTACAGGGAATTTCTATACGCAACTTGGTTGTGACGCCTCCCCCGACTCGAGCTCGCGGCAAGACTATTGACGATGACGATATCCCGAATACCTTAAAGACGCCTTCGAAGATTCTATCGCAAAGCGAAAATCACACATTGCATCCCTCGCGATCTTTCACTGATCTTAAGTCACATTCGAGTCAACATGACAATTCAAAGGAGCCCGCAATGCCTTCGTTGCGTCGCAGAAGTACCTTGTTCTGGAATGACCCCAATCCTCGAACCCGGCAGGTCAAGTTAGGAGATATCATCAACAGTCGCATGGCAGATACATTCTTCTCACTTCATTGCGAGGGCCTTAACGAGCCGATCTATATTAGCGAAACGGTCGACCGGGCAAACAACCCAAACTTCCGATCTTTCGATTTAAATCTATGTGGCCCATGTGTCTCTCGCAAAGACGAATTGACTCTGAGGCTCTGGACAAAGACTGGTGACATGTCTGAATTCATTCTGCTAGTTGAATTGCATCTGCATTTGCGATCACTGCAGTTCTTGGGGAAAACATTGGAGAGCTTCCACCAACCACTTGCTGCGAACTCGATCCTTTTTCACTTCCCAGATGGTGTGTACTCCAACCTCACTGACCTTCCATTGGTCGAAACACCGCTTCAAAATCCAAGGCAGAAAGCCATTGCAGACGGCACCGCTTTACCATCCTCGTCCTATGACGCTTTGATGAAATTGGCCAACTTGGACGAATGTGTACAGGATGCATTGGCAACCAGGGAAAGATTGGAAGCTCAGATTAGCTCAATTCTACAGAAGAATGAGCGCTCACTAAATGTAGCGAGCGATGCAGCTGCGGCACAAGAAAAACTTGCTCTTACCAAGCAGTATGTTGCCATGGAGCGCAAACGAGTCCGCGCCGCAGTCAGGCGCAAAGAAGAGCTTATTGCCAGTCTCAAGGCCCGGAAAGAGGCGATGCAGCAGGGCCGTAGTGCCCAGGAAAAGACACGCAGTCATCTTCCCGAGGCTCAGGAGAGGTTGATCTCCAGCGAGAAATTGCTAGATCAAAATGAGGAGGATACCAAGGGCCAAATCCGACGTATTGCTGAAGATCTTCTCACGATCTACCCTATTGACCCCATTCCCGACAAACCTCTGGCATTTACTATTGCCGGGCTGGCTCTCCCAAACTCGACCTTCGATGATATCGACCGTGAAGTAGTCGCAGCGGCACTGGGATACACAGCCCACTTGGTCTATCTGCTCTCATTTTATCTGTCGGTGCATCTCCCATACTCGATCAACGCGAACGGGTCAACCTCATTCATACAAGATCCCATATCTGCATCACTCCCACAGCGCACGTACCCTCTCTATCCAGTGAGTGTCCAGTACCGCTTCGAGTATGCGGTCTTTCTACTCAACAAAGACATCGAATACATCCTCATCAAACAAGGATTGCGCGTCTTGGATATCCGCCACACTCTTCCCAATCTCAAGTACCTCCTTTACGTTCTTACTTCTGGCGACTCGGTGGTTCCCGCCCGTAAATCTGGTGGCGTCCGGGCTTTTGCTGTTGGGCAGTCCACTCCTAATCTTTCCCGGCGTGGTAGCGTGGAGAGTGGTGCATCTGGTGAGATGGTCCATCCGCGCAAAGCTTGGGAGTCAATGTCCCGGATGAACGTCAGCCTCGCTTCACACAAAGTGAAATAGTCCCTGCCGACAAGTCTTGTTCTTTCTTCCCTTGATACAGATGATTTGCACAGGGTTGAAGCTGCCGGCCATTTTAAGTGAACATTGGCACCAATTGAGTGGCACCCCCTTGTTTTTGGTTGATTTCAGTAGCATTGTACATTTACATGAAGATCGGGATTGTAATTATAAGAAAGAATTGCACTTGCAAAGTTATGGAATGAAGGTGTAGATATATGCAAGCCTTCATAGTAGCATGTAGTATCGATATATATCCCTTCCGGTCTTACCCCGCAGAGTTCTCATTATACAACGAAAACTACGTCCAGAGGCAAACTCTGACTTCAACGTCTTAACATCTCTGGCTCGACAATTAATCCAATCCTATTCTCTATTCTATTTTTGCTACATCTTTTGTCCGAGTCGTCGGAGTAAGAACACCCCCCACCGCCTTTTAAGGCTTATCTCGCTTTCCATCGCTTTGTGTCGGAGCCTTCCCCATTGTTATCCACGAGATGGGGGACAATAATGTATACAAGGCAGAATCGGATGCACACCACCGCCGAGGATATCAGGCCTGTGATCCATGTCGCAAACGCAAGGTCAAATGTGACCTAGGAAGTATGGGCCCATTCCCTTTTATTTTGTGGCCTGACTGACCAAAAAACCCCCGAAGGCGTCGATAATCCTCGCCCCCCACCCTGCGTTCGATGTCGCCGCGAAAGTAAACGATGTGAATTTTCAGCGACTCGCCGAAAGCGCAAGACCTCCGATGCTGAGGAAGATGAAGTGGAGGCAGCGGCGATCCTCCATCGCGACAAGCGAATGATGATCGGGGAGGTAGCCAAGAATGAACCCTTGGAAAGTCCTGTCGAAGGCCCAACGTTTCCTTCCGATCCACCTCGGTTTGATCATGAAGCTGTGCGTGCCCAACAGAGGTGGTCCGAGGCACCCCCTGCACCTGCATCTACAGCCCAGCGGTACACGCCCAGTGCGCCAATATCACGAGCTCCCACTTACCCCGTTAACGAACGCCCCGCACCTGGCTATGGAGGGCCCCCGATGATGAATCGGACTGCGGTGGAGTTGTTGTCGCCTGCAATTACAAATACCCACGACGCTTTACATCTTCTCTCCGAAGCTGCGGGTAGGACGGAGGATCTCAACCGCCAGAGCCTCGAGAATCGGTTTGCTACACGGCAGTCTGTGTCGTCTTTCAACTCGGGGCCTTCACCTCTACCACAAGGTAGCTCGCCTCGGAGCTTGGGTGGGTCCTTTGTGAAAACACCTCGATCAGGAATGTCCATGGGTGGGTCTACATACTACCCGGCTGGTGCTTCAGGGCCGGTAGATCCCCAGATCGCCGACCCCGGCCCTCAAAGGGAAAGCTCAGCCAACAACCCTCCTGCAGAGCCGGCATATCTCGATGCACTTCGGGCTTGGTCGCGATTACGATTTGTCCGGGCCGGCTGGCTTACAGTAGAAGAGGGTATGGACTATGTGGAGTATTACTATGAACACCTCGCGCCGATGAGCCCTGTTGTAATCCCCGACTTTTCTCATCCCTCTACGCACCGCACAATGCTCACTGATGAGCCGGTGTTGGCGGTCACAATTCTCACGATCGCATCTAGGCATCTGAAGCCTAAGGGCGATGGTGCCAATACGCGAGCGTTCTATATCCACGACCGTCTCTGGGCATATCTGCGTAGCATGATAGAACGCCTATTCTGGGGTCAAGAGAAATTCGACGCTGGGACATCAGGCATTGGCCGACCTCGATCACTTGACTTGAGTTCACCAACGTCAGGCAAAGGGAGTGCGAGTGGGCAATTGAGGTCATTGGGCACTGTAGAAGCTATGCTACTTCTTACAGAGTGGCACCCACGAAACCTGCATTTCCCACCGGGCGATGATGAAAATTCCCTTTTGGACACAGACCCCCAGACGCACAGTCGGGACCATGACGGCGAACATACCAGCAAAGGCTCCGAGGGAAGGGTCGCGTTTCAGAAATGGCTGGAACCGGCTTGGCGATCGGACCGGATGTCATGGATGCTACTGAGTACAGCGCAAGCTCTGGCTTTTGAGCTTGGCGTCTTCGACCCTAAAGGAGATGCCAAGGCGGCCAATGAGCCGCTCTCTGAGCAAACACGGAAACGTCGATTACGGCGTCTGATTCTTGTGTTTATCACTCACAGCAGTGGACGTCTAGGGATTCCTTCTATGCTCCCATTGCCTCAATGGGGCCAGGATATCACGCCGACGTCTGCTGATGCAAATGATGCTGATGCCAATCTTGATCGGATGCAGGATTGCTGGATCAGTATTTCAAAGATTGTCTATCAAGCCAATCATTTGCTGTTTGCATCCAGTGAGCAAACAATGGAATTGATTAGGACCGGAAGATATCGCGAGAAGATTGACCGCTTTCAACCATATCTACGGGATTTCCAGCAGCAGCTGGACAGTATTACTTGTAAGTGAATTACCCGCTGGTAATGGACAGAAAGCTAACGAAAGAAGTGTCACCGGCTATGCGGAGCGTTCTACTGATTGAGCTTGAGTACACCCGTAAGTCGACGCAACTGGCCTCGCTGAAGGATAGCAGCTAATATAGAACCAGGTCTTTATGTCAATTCCCTCGCCCTACAAGCGGTCGTTGATCGGTGGACTACCATGTCCAATGAGTCCGCCCAGTGTCATAATCAAACCCAGAATGGCCAGCCAGGATTGGGACCGTCTAATAGCAGCCAAAGCTGGTTCCAAACTCTGAATGAGCTCTATCGTGTCAATGAGCATTATATCCAGGAAGTCATCGATTCCTCACGCAAAATTCTACAGACAGTATTGGAAGGCCTTGTCCCCGAAGGTCGTCTCAGACACGCACCTATTCGAACCTTTTTCCGAATCTTATCTGGAATGATCTTCATCTTGAAGGTATGGTCTCTGACGGAATTTACAGCAAGCACAATACTAATCTCAACCATAGACATTCACATTAGGTGCCAGAGAAGACGATGTGCGAGTCTCTCTAGACCTCCAGGACCGGACGGTGGAGGCACTGCGCAATTATGTTGTGGATGACGTGCACCTCAGCAACACGGTAGCCCGGCTTCTCGAGCTTCTCACCAGCAGCATTCGAACGCGCTTTCTGCGCTTCGCACCGCACGACCGGGGCGCAGACGGAGAGGGGCATGATCGCACCTCGGCCCCAGGCTCTCGGCCCCATTCACCATCACGCGACCACCCAACAGCTCGTCGTGACGGCCCGAATGCTTCTTGGTCCGCTAACCAGGGTCATGATACAACGTCAGGCGGGTCGGGGCTAGGATATGTGGATACCCCTGGCGCCGGGGGTCACTCGATGGGGTCTGCGCACGATCCACTGGCGAACATTCCTGCCCAGCCGATCAACTCGTCTAATCTCAACGTTTCCTTCATGCCGCCCCCGCCGTCCGTGTACCACAATTACTACGACTCGAACTCGACGTTCCCTGCCAATGATATGGATAGGTCATCGCCAAACCATGTCTCATCACAGAACATGGGCGATAGCCACCACCACTCTACCTCCGGCGCACTCCCGGATTGGTTCGCTTTACCTCTTGATCAATTCTTCAATAGCTCCACCGCAGTTGTTGACCAGGGTCTTGGTGGGACTGGACCCATGCTTGGCGAGTTCGACATGCTTGAAGTACTCCTCAACGAGGGGTATGATGGAAACACTAATGGAGATGGTGAGGCCGGGGCCGGGCTATCGTCCCAGTACCTGTGACGAAAATAATGATTACGAATAATCTGGTTGTATTCTTTTTAAGTCTGACGCTTTGACTTTTTGGAGTTTTGGAGTCTAGCTCATGATGTGTACCCCTTACTTTTCCCATGATGCTTGAAATTATATACCCCTGCGGGATCCGCTCGATGTTTCTTATTTTTATCGGCTGTATACGACATGATTTGCCGTGATTTGTTTGAAACGGATACCTGGAAAGGCTTGACACATTTGCCGATGTCAATACAATCTTTATGGCGCTATTGCAGCTTTTGGGCTCTTTCGTATTGCGAATCACTATCACTACCCGCCGGTGTCCGTCGGCATGTTATTAGATTGCGGGGTCTTTTGTTTCATGCAGAAATCAGTGCCGAATAGCATCATACGGAATAGACTGGCCTGACTTTCACATGATATCGTGTCTTGGACCGCGGAGGTTGAAGCTTTCGGGTGGCTTTGGCTTGTCTGTATTAGGCCTGACGATACGGAGTACTATGATTTAAGATGAGGATAATATAGTAACGGCCGTCATGATTACTGTATCTAGTATAAGTGATAAATAAGTGACTCTCTCATAGTCACTTCATTGAAAGCAACAATGTAATTGATGGCATGTTTAGTTCGCCAGGGCTGCTAAGCATTGCATGGCACTCAAGTAACATAATCTCTGCCAATGAGGATCTGCTGTTTGTTCTTCCAAGACTGTCGATCCCACGATGAACTGATCAGCACGGCCGCTAGATCCTTCGATGGCTTCGGCGCAGGCGATAAGAGCCGCTGTTTGGTCTTTCTCCGTGAAGGGTCACATCGTCTGACATCTGGACTCGACTTACTCTTGTGGGGGTAGTATTCATACGCAATGCAGGAACGGATGCCCGTCGGAGATTATACCTGTTCTCGATTGAGAGCGCAATGGACTCGAAATCCCGGTGAGAACCTTTTCACCAAAGTCAATCCCCAAAGATTCACTGGGAATGTCTAAAATACCCGAAATGGAGCGATGTGACCCAGTTGGCGCTGTGAAGTCGGTGATTGGTGGACGTGGAGATAACGGGATCTTCAGGGCTCTTTCTGGTCTCGACGGTCTCACTTCATGTAGCGTGACTCGCATGTCAAAAGATAATCTAATGCACTTTACAGGGTATAGGCTAATCCAATAGCAATCGATCATCCTCTTACACAAGGATGGCCAAGTATGGCGATCGACCTCCCTTCACCCAATGAGTACCAAGAGACAGTCTTACAAGACAACCCCTGGTCTTGGCCGGAGTTCCCCGTTCTGCATCTTAGATAGCTTGTCACGACCAAGCTCCCTGGGCATTGTGCTTGTGTTGCATTCTAAACTCCTTTCACTCTCGTGTGCTGGCCGCGCTAGTCCCATCATGTCCAATCGATACGATCTGCCTTCTTGAAACCCTGTCGCTATATTGTTTTTGGCCTGACCCCTCAATCATCTGCTTGGCGGACTCCGTCGCGTTATCCTGGATGGCTGATGGCGTCCGTGACGATCTGGAAGTTTCTCCTTGACCAGATTGCATGTTACTGGATCGTCATGATTCCTTCCCAGAAGGGCATCATCACCTTCTGGATGTTGCGATAGACGGCCATTTTGATGTCCTCTACTCTCGGACGCCGGCGGATGATGTCTATCAGAAAAGCTATAAAGGAGGTCTTGCCTCCAGCTGTTTGTGAAATCCATCCTCTTCTGCATCGCCTTCATCCACTCTATTAGATCAATTCATTGTTCTATAGAACCCACCATCACTATGGTTGTCTTCAGCAAAGTGACCGTTGCTCTCGCCTGCTTTTCGGCCGTTGCCTCAGCTGTGCCGACGAAGAGCCCCCGTAAGGGCTTCACTGTCAACCAGGTGACAAAGACTCCTACCGGCACCCGGACTGTCAACTTGCCTGCTATCTACGCCAATGCACTGGCCAAGTATGGTGCCACTGTCCCGGCCAGCGTTCATGCTGCTGCTTCTAGCGGTTCTGCCGTTACCACACCTGAGGACGGCGATGTTGAGTACCTCACTCCCGTCACCATTGGCGGCTCCACCTTGAACTTGGACTTCGACACTGGCTCTGCCGATCTGTAAGTTGATGAAGACCACATGTCCGGCTAGACCGATAACTGACATTTCATGTAGCTGGGTCTTCTCTAGCGAGCTCGCCTCCTCGGCGCAGAGTGGCCACGACGTCTATGACCCCACCAAGAGCGGCACTAAGCTGTCGGGCGCTAGCTGGTCAATTTCATATGGTGATGGCAGCTCTGCCAGTGGTGATGTCTACAAAGACACTGTATCCGTTGGTGGAGTCAAGGCTACTGGCCAAGCTGTTGAGGCTGCCAAGAAGATCAGCTCCCAGTTCTTGCAGGACAAGAACAATGATGGCCTGCTGGGTCTGGCTTTCAGCTCTATCAATACTGTCAGCCCCACGCCCCAGAAGACGTTCTTCGACACCGTCAAGTCTGGGCTTGACAAGCCCCTGTTCGCTGTGACTCTTAAGCACGGCAAGCCTGGCACTTATGACTTTGGCTTCATTGATAAGGCGAAGTTTACCGGAGAGGTGGTCTACGCCGATGTTGACGACTCCCAGGGCTGGTGGACTTTCACCGCCGACAGCTACAAGGTTGGCACTGGTTCTGCTGGTCCCTCCATCACCGGCATTGCTGGTGAGTTACATCTTTTTGTGTGTGGATACCCATATTTTGTGCAGCACTAATCCCTTGAATTATATAGACACTGGAACCACCCTCCTTCTGCTCGATGACACTGTTGTCTCGGCCTACTACAAGAAGGTTACTGGCTCCAAGAATAGCAGCTCCGCTGGTGGCTATGTCTTCCCTTGCAGCGCCACTCTGCCTGATTTCACCGTGACCATCAATGGCTACAACGCCGTTGTTCCCGGCAAGTACATCAACTACGCTCCCGTCACAACCGGTAGCTCTTCTTGCTTCGGTGGTATCCAGAGCAACTCTGGCATTGGCTTCTCCATCTTCGGTGACATCTTCCTCAAGAGTCAGTATGTCGTCTTCGATGCCGAAGGACCTCAGATTGGCTTCGCTGCCCAGGCATAAGTGTTTTCATGAGACCCATGGAAAATCACCGGCTCCTATGGGATGGATGTTGTACAGCGAAGAGTGTGATACATGAATAGATCTGCTGGATAAGTTGACATAGTAATTTCTGGCTCTTAACTCAGCTTCTACATATCAATACAACGGACATATAACATATAATGGCGAAACCGTAGAGAACTATAAGCAAGAAATGTGGCGAACAGGAATTTGTGGAGGAGCCAAGAACCCTGCGGATCATCTTCACAACTCCAGTTTAATCCCTCCTACGGGCTAGATCTCCTTTATGATCTCCAATTTTGACATTTAAGAAAATAATTCTTTAACACCGTCATTACTCTTATTCCTCCGAGCTTTGGACAACGTACGCGTCAAGAAATGGAAGTCTGAAGTGTCTCACGGGCGCATCGGTGGAAATCGCGCGATATATGAACTGTTTCAAGGCGATTCGAGGTCGTTCATCTTCCGATCATGGAAAATGACTTCCACTTGCTTCCCCGCCAGATCTGGGCAAATCCAACTCCGACTACGACGAAGACTTATTCACCAGGTTGTACGCCTGTCGTCTTGCCCAGTAATGGTATGTCTCCCCCTTTCCTCGACTTGGGCCTGCAGATCGCCGGTCGGAGAGTGTCTGAACATCCCTAGAATCGGGTCTAATGATTCCTAGGACTCATATATCTCAACAAGTCATTCGCTATTACCCTCAGTGAGAACGCCGTCTTCGAACCTGTCTGCACAGGCTCCCCCACCGACGAGGTTCACATCTCCGCCGTCCTCGATACCCGCGATCCATTCTATTCCTCCATTACCCCACAGCTCTATGCCATCGGCTGTGCTACCGTCGTTAGCTACCTACTCGTCATCATCCTTCTCATCACACCGCGCACATTCTATGTTGGTGGCCCCGGCGGCGGTGGCGCCAATTTCCTCGGCCGCCATGGGATGATCAGCGGCTCATATAGTGGAAATTCGTCGGTGGTCGGAGTCGGCGGGCGACCATGGCTACAGAAAGTGGCTGCGATTTTGGTTGCGATCTCACTGACGATCGCTACGGTCGATTCTTTCAAAGTCGCGGAGCGGCAGTACAATTATGGGTTTTCCGATGCGGAGGCGCTTTCCCAGGAGGTTATTGACGGGATGGAAATTCGCATTGTGCGCGTCATATCAAGCACTTTTCTGTGGCTTGCACAGGTTCAGACGCTGATTCGATTGTTTCCGCGACATAAGGAGAAAGTCATGATCAAATGGGCTGGGTTTGCGTTGATTGTGCTGGATACCACTTTTAGTATTTTGGACAACTTTTGGGCGAGGAACTCTTCACCACGACCCAGGCTATACGAGGATGCTATTCCTGCTTTGAGCTACTTGTTCGAGTTGTCGCTTAATCTTCTCTATGCCGCTTGGGTGATTTTCTACTCAATATCGAAGCACCGATACGCATTTTTCCACCCCAAGATGCGGAATATCTGCTTAGTGGCTCTTCTCTCGCTATGCGCCATTTTGATACCCGTCGTCTTTTTTGTCTTGGATATCGCCAAGCCGGAAATTGCTGGCTGGGGTACCTATATTCGATGGGTTGGCTCTGCCGCGGCCAGTGTGGTGGTTTGGGAGTGGGTGGAACGCATTGAAGCGCTGGAGCGAGATGAAACCAAAGACGGGATTTTGGGGCGAGAGGTTTTTGACGGCGATGAAATGCTTGAAGTTACTCCGTCCGAGGAAGTTGACTGGCCACGCTTCTCGGCCCAAGGACCTGACCAAGGCGGGAATGGCGGATCTTCTGGATGGGGCGGTGTGATGGGCTTAGCCCATCGACCTCTACGAGCCCGGGCTGGATTGCCTCGCGGCAACCGAAGGAAAGGAGCCGGAGCACCACCAAATAACCAAGCGGCTGCCTCCGCGCCACGGGGCCCAGACGATAATAGGCCCACACCACCCCAAGTGGTGACCACACCGATTAGCCGAGCCGATACTACTAGTGCAGCAAGCACAGTGTACAATGTCAGGTATCATTCAGTGGCTAGCCCTACGCCTCCCGCCGCCATGCCAAATATGCACGAGGAAGAGGAATTGGACGAAGCTAAAGAGGTGGAAGATAGGGGACCACATACTGTTGACACAAATAGTCATGCTCTGTCTGCTCAAAATACCCGCGAGGAGTCGCCGCAGATTGTCCCAGCCGATCCACGATGGCATGTTCTCTTGCACCCATTCAGGAGACGACGCGCATCTTTGCCGAAAGAAGTGGCGTCTGCACAAGCCGGCGAGGAACAGTCAGAACACAGACCCTCTGCTGCAGCGGAAGAGGCCGCAGAAACAAATGCTGCCCGATCTCGAGCCGATCACTTCTTTTCTCTTCATCGGAAAGCCCGACTGGGTAATGGACCACAAAACCCCGATGGCTCATTACCCGTCACCGTTATTCCAGCACGTCGCCGTGGCCAACACACATGGTCACCACAGAACCGACTGCTGGAGGATACTCGGCCACCAGGAGAGAGCCGACCGATAGAATCACAACATCACGAATCGGCCTCTAATCGGCCCAATTTGCCTGTACGGGTGATTCCTTCTCAACCCCACGCGTCTGCTCCATGGACGGAGGCAGACATAGAACGGGGAGGCGGGGATTATGTTCTGCAATATGACCCAGAAGCTGCCGCATTAGTTAACGAAGACGTGGCCCATTTGGATCGTGCCAATTACCGACAAAGTTGGACAGATACGACATGCTCGGAAGAAAGAAATGATGTGTCAGCGGAAGAGCCATCTCACGCCGAGCACGGGCCTAACGAAGGCCGGCACAGCCACGTTTGAGGTTGTGGAATGCAGATTTGGTCTGAGCCCCCTGATGGGTTGATGTTTTATACCTCTCGGTCGTTTTTATATGGAGTTCTAGGATGTGATATTGGCCAAAAAGGTGGGAGAGAATCAATTTAGAAGAAAGATACCCAATTTACAATAGTTTGTTTCATATCAGATCTTGGTATAGATGAATATACATATATATTTAGCTACCTTTAGGCTACTATGTCATCAATCTCTGAGTGGCTTACCAACCTAAGATCAGGCTTACGGGAGTGGAGACAAATTTTCACGGGAACTCACAATCCCGGTGCCTTTTCCCCGTACCCTTTGTATCCCCCATGTGACAACTTACCTTGGACGTCGCATCATGGCGACCGTCAATCGAAATATGTTCGGTGCGAGCATTACTCAACCGCCTGGCGGTGCCCAGTTGATGGTTTTGCCGTTGAACCTCATCGCGGAGATTGTGTCACATGTAAGATAGCTCCGCTCATCGCATTTCCATATCTGACACGTTTGTAGGTCGACGACACAGGCGATCTTGCCCGGCTATGTCAAACATGTCGCGTCCTCAATTATATGGCGCTGCCGCAGCTATACCGAAGCCTAACGCTGACTTCTTACGACAAAATCCGTTATCGTGGCGAACAACCAGAAGGAATCGGAAGCGCTAGTCCCTTCACGATGGGGTTGAATGCAATCATTACACGACCTTATGCGACACTAATACGGTCGATAACATTAAAGGGGGAATGGAAGGAACATGAAGTAGAGGAGCATGCCCGAGTTGGCCGGGTGCCCGACTCATCGATGTTGTTGAACATCGCCGCCCGCGCCGCCATAGATCGCATGACCAATTTGGAAAGCTTTCATTGGGAACTGAATACCAAAATGCTTGACACGGTTTATTCCGGGCTGACACAACTGCCGAAGCTCACCTCCCTGACAGTCCGATTTCCTTCCAGTCGTCATCCACAGCCCACTTTCGTCATTCCGGGCATGCCACATCTGCGATGTCTGAAAATCACCGATATCGACCCGCTATGCTACCCTGATGATATTGCGACTCTTCTTTATAAAAGTAGGAAATTGCGCGATCTGAGATTACATTGGTCGCCACGGATGCGAGATGCTCACGAGCCTAGTGTCTCTCTGCATAATTATTTCCGTAAGCTGATCGCCGCCAAGCAGCCCCTGATGGTTCAGAAGATGTCATTCCAAAATCTGTATGCCTTCCACACCGAAGAGTTCAATTTCGCCTTTGATCCGACCACCGTCGAAGATGTCACATTTCTCACTGGTGTCGAGGGCTCTAGCCTGGTCAACACATTTGTCGAGAGCAGCTGGCCGACAGTCCCGCCACATGTCAAGCTCCGCATGAAATCTGTTAGGATGGATGCAGTGTCAAAACGGAACGCAGAATTCATTGGGAATTTCTCTGGACTCGAGAAGCTCTACCTTGTCAATGTCACCGCCGACTCAAACGACCTCCTCAATAGCCCACGACCCGGAGGAGGCGCGGCCTTATCCGCCCTCACCCCCCAACATCCGAACACCAGTTGTCAGGTGCACCCAGCGGAGCTACAGTCAACTCCCCTGTTACTTCTGCTTCTCCAGCTAGCCAGCTCAATGCTACAGCTAGTATTCGAGACACATACCTCTCACATATTACCACAAATCATGGCGCGACATTGCGCCACCTTCTTCTCCCTTCTAAATGGCCTCTCTCCACTGGGATGGTCGCGCGGCTCGTCCATAGCTGTCCAAACCTGGAGCAGCTCGCCCTTGCCACCGAATTCTCCAGTATGGACTCATTAGCTCTACTGATACCTTTCCTACGGAAGTTGAAAGCCCTCCGACTTCTCATACCCCAGTCTCCTGGACAGTCTTCAAATGGGCCTGGGGGCTCCACACTGAAGACGTGGCAGTCTACACGAGAGCGAACTGCCTTTGATACGGTTCAAAAAGTGCAAGAAATTTTCGCAAATGCCAAAAATCTTGCAGAAGTGGTGGATATCGACGACTCGATATTGTCCGAAATGTTGAGTTACGACCTGGGCAACCAACAAGTCTACGGAAACGTGAAGATCATCAGCATGGGCTGGAAAGCCTGGGAACTAAGAGGCTTCTACAAAGCCCCCATCCCAACAGAAACCAACGAAGGCTCCCCAACACCAACGAATGGCGTCAATGCATCCCCAGAAACCACCACAGACAGCCCCGTTCCTACACAAGGTACCAACGGTGTTACCACAGCAGACCAACCTGCTGTCGCGCATAAATCAATCGATACACAGACAACACATATCCCTTCTTGGTCGAACCCACCGGCCACAAGACTGGGCGTACCACAATCAACATTAGGGAAACGGTCACGCGATCAAGATGATAGTGACACTCCCAGACCACCACCCAGCTTCCCACCGACCTTTAATAGACGCGAAGACTCCGAAGACCTGACAACTTTCTACCCTGGCTGCTACCCGTACACCATGTCCGAGGATGGATTTGTGTGGCGACGGCATGTGCGACGGGTTGGATGGGAGGCGTTGCAGCATTGGGAGGTTTGGTCATTGGATGCGCAGGAGATTTGAGATGGGTTGTTCCTTGCCGTCCACATACGAAGGAGTTAAGCATACGAATGAGCGGTGTTGGTTTTTTTAACCCAGGGCCTGGGTTTTTTGGGGGGCTTTTGTTTAGAGTCAAAGGAAGCCATGGCTTCACTCTCGGCGTTCGAAAAAGTATATATACTACATTTGGAGGTATTCTCTCCTCTCTTTTAAGGACATATAGTCGATGGGGATCGTGTTCTTTTTATTTGTAAATTGAATTTCGGATTCTCTAATATGGAGCTGTTCGGAGTGACAATTCCTTCAACTTAAAACAATATCTTTTGACCATGTCCATGTTTTCGGTGATTTCGATTGTATCAATCCACTCGAGAGATTGGGTCTCCTCGATCTACGTACTACATCAGGAGGACGTCTTAGAATCGCTATATCAAGTCTACAGTGCAAGCCAACACAAAGAATAATTCAAGTACCCTACTCCTAAGAACCAGCTTAATGGTTGATACACCTATTGGTTTTTGAAAGGTCTTCATTCCTGGTGGGCATGAACAGCGAAAGAACAAGCTCTTAACAATAATAGGAAGGCCATTGCTGAGGCGGCCCGACATGGGGGCGTTGTCCCCGTTGCGGGCACCAGCGCTCTCTCCCTTTACAAGAGCCACGGAAAGCACCACAGAACCCTTTGCACCGCGACGAGCCGCGACGAGTGAGGGCAACGAATGTAGGCCAAATGGCCGTAACCCCGAACTCCCATCACCATACTTTGGGAGGGGTCCGGGGTCCCCTGTGTTCCGCTATTCCTCGAAAAGCCTGATCATCTCTGATATACTGTGCTTGGCCGATGTTCCGTAGCGAGGGGAGGTCTCCAATAGCCCCAGCACATCTACACTGCGTGTGCAGAGTCTGGGTGCTATAGAGTACTGGACATCGTGACTTTCGGGCTTCCGGAATATCAAGGATTTTCCCATGGTTGTCCGGAATTTGACGGAGAGTTGGGATATTAAACCACCCCTGCAGCTCCTTCGCATCGACATTGTCATTCAAGGTTCTACTATGGTCTTGGACTCACAAGCCATAGCGGGTTTGTGATATCCTACCTTTCCTTCTCTGTCACATGGTATTGTATTGAGCCTGCATGTAAAATGTCGCCCCAATTTAGACATGGGGGACTAGCGGAGGGAGAAACCAATTGGGAGTTGGTCTCTGATTGGGAATCCTGATATATGTGATATCGGCTTTGAGCGTACCATCTAATAGTCTTCGGTATATGTGAAGGAGATGGCTGACAGAGCCATCCCCCAGCGGCGGGAATGACGAAAGGTTGCTGCCCCGGAACTTATCGGTATTATCGAACATGAATTGAAGGACATGATAGAACATCTCGTTTAGACCGGAAAAAAAGCAACGAGACTTCATGTTTCAGGGTGTCTCTCTGGCCGACATCATCATGGTAGCAGTCGATGGTAGAAATGACGGCGGTGGATTTGTAATGAATCCAGATAGCGCTTTGCGGCCGTAATGAGAGGTTCCTCTGGTTCTCGCGAGCTCCATTACATGCCCAGGAGGGCCCTGATACCTGATTGCCGCGTATCACGCTATCTCTGGGCCGTCTGCTGGGCTCAACCCTGTAGACATTAATCGCCCGCTTGTGTTGACTGCGATGTTGGGAAAGCAGGTCTGGGCGACAGGCTCTGTCATTTGAGAAGCCGTTCAAAAGCTTCGAAGGGAATAATTTGGAATGATTTGACTCGCATTCTAGTTAGTCTTTGCGGTCTTCCTGATGTTATATCCGATCCCCTATTTCTTTCTGAATACACTGTTGGGCATTCGGCAGCTTGGTGTTTGGATTCAGGGTCGCTTTGCCCGCAAACCACCCCTGCGCAATTTGGCCTAGTGATATTCTCGAAATAAGCTCCTATCAAGATAGTTAATATCTGCAGTCATTGATATCTGCAAAGAGATCCTAGAAACTTACGACTTTTCATGAACATGTGAACTGTCGAAGAAGAATGGCACAGCCATGTGCCATAGCCCATGTTGCGATGTGAGGGATACTGACAGAATATCCTCCACAAAGGGTAGTGATATCGATGTATCTGCTCCTATTTGGCCTCAGCGGAACAAGGTGGGGATGTTCGAGCCTAGGAGCAAAACAATCGGAGTTCCCAATCTTGTTGGTCCATTTCCATTTGTCCGGCACGCTCACCGAGAATACATGCACCGGCTTGTGGACTCTCGTTGAGTCTCTTGAGATGTGAGGGACTCATCGATGTTGTTTTGGTGGATGGAGTGGATTGTTGATAGAAGGACAATTTGCGGAAAGAGCGTGAAATGGGAAGGCACGTTCTTGGACAAACATGAGGTCATCATACCGTAAGCTCTTTTGATCAACCTTGGAAGATATTGCTTCATGATACTGTCCTCTATCCAGGTAGGGATATTATACCATTCATGAGTATTGTATCTCCTTACCCCCCCAGCCTTTCTATATAATATTTCTAAGCAACGCTCACGGCAACCCACCCTCGGAATGTCCCAAATGCAGCTCAAATCCGAGAAGGCTCTCCGAGAAGATCGAAGGCCATGATTGAACGCTCGAAAATGCGCCGCTCAAGGGTCCGTAGGGCTGGGTGCCGACGAGCGAAGCTTTTGACAACCTTGTCGGCGACAAGGACATAGTGTCCGATCTCGACTTTCTCGAGATTCGGAAAAAGGACCTATAAGAAAGAATCAGTATCAAGAGATTCCCAGAAAGAGCTGTCGTAGAAACATACCGAAATCCGTCGGAACAACTTTGCCCAATCTTCGGGCAACCCGTGGAGAGGCCATCTCCATTCCGGCTGGCTTCCACCATAGCTACTGATGGAGAGGACGGTGACAGATTTGCCCTGGAGGCGCGGGATATGCACGCCATCCATAAGGGTCCGAATGTCAGAGTCGCGACTGCTCCCTCGGATGCACAATTTCAGTACCCGCAACTTTGGGAAACGAACATCCCGCAGCACGGCGTCAGCAGCACGGGCATCCCCGGCGTCGACGGTGACCAGCGAGGCCAGCTCAACATGGTCAGCGTACTGTTGGCGGAATTGGGCGGGGACCTTTGCAAAGATCACGTCTAGTGAGCGAGGCACGGCCGGCGTGTCCATCGCACCCATTGTGTTCTTCCAGGTCCGTTGACGGTCGATTATCTCTGTGTACCAGACCCGGTTAAGGGCCGAGAATTGCCAGAGATAACCCGCCTGGTCCTCCACATAGGGCTCCCGCTTGGTTCCCAGGCCCATTCTCCATGGCCGAAACTTCGTTGGCCTCACCCACTGCTTCTTTCCTCCAATCCTCCGCGACTTCTCGTAGATGAAGTCGTCAAGTCCCTGGACCTGCCAGTGGACAATCTCAGAGACCAGCTCTGGGATGTTGAAGACTCGCTCAGCGGCGTTTCCTTTGGAGATGCCACGCGACCAGCGCGGGCGAAGGGTTCGTCGAGAGCGAATCGGAGCCATTGTTGATGATAGACCAGAAAGGAAGGACTGGAGGGGACCTGAATGGGAATTTATACATTTCTTCGAGTGTCTACATTATGAATAGTCATTGTGTTTCAACGAGATATAGCAGAAGAATAGCGAATAGAGAATGGGCGAGCTTACAAGAAATGAATAGAGAAGTAAGGTGGAACTGAGAGTATACAATGTTATTGTGAAGCTGTTTAATAGTTTCAATTCAATTCAAGTACAATTAGCCATTGTATGGTCTAGTAAGTGTAGAATGAGATAGAAGTGCAGTAAAAGTGACCGAGTACTGAGAGAACATTGAACAATAGAGAAGAGATCATTCAATATGCTGCCTATTCGATGAAAACAGTTCACTCTCAAGATATCAATAACCCTTTCTCCCTTCCTTTCTTATGGCATGAACTCTACCTGAGAATCATTAGATAACGTCAAGATGAGTCTCTACGCTTGCGAGCCGTGTGACTATGTGGGGCGTAGAGGCTTGCAAAGATTCTGGTCAATTTAGGAAACACAAGCCCGTGGAGCAGACCATTCTCCACATAGACGTCCGTCTGAGGCTGAGCATGATAGACTATCAGTGCCGAAGTCACATAGTTGGCGTAGTATTGGCGACGGTCAGGTCAAAAATTTGCCATGATTACATCGAGGGGAAAGCGTGGGCAAGCCCAGAGTAGGGGAATAGCGTTGCTATACCAGTGGCTATTCACTCATGCCAATTTCAGCAAGTTGGAATGATAAGACATAGCTTCCTGTTCGCTAGGAGTGTCTCAAAAAGAATATCATACTGAGGATCTAGCCAAGTGCGAGGGCTCGCTGGGATGCGGTCTCAGGCTTGGTGGAGGATTCCATTTGATAAGAGAGGCTATTTCGGTGTTGACCAAGTAAAGAATACTGCATAAGATGGATGAAACTTAAGTGTGAAAGATTTGGATGGGAAGAGAAGAGTACATGGGGAATTGGACTCGATAAATGAAGAACAAACAATAGAGGGTTTGTATTGCTATTGGCTTGGATGAAGGAGATGTCCAATTAATAGTGATCAAAGCCCCTCCTTCATCGACAATGAAACTTCATGAGACTGCTGGCCTTTTTCAAATGATGTTCTGGATGTTATGTAGAGTCCAGCACAAAGGATACCCCGTTATTCAGAACATCATCCTGTCTCGCCATCTTGCAAGTTCACCATCTCAGGAGTCCTCACCAACTTTGGTTTACGTCGAAGCATTCATATCAGAGTCCTCAAAAATATCGTAATCGTAGATGATATCCTCCAATTTGAACCCATCTGACTCATCGGAGCCATCAGGTAGAAACGTGGTAGTCCAACGCACCCGGGGCTTGTCAAGACAGTAAAGAAGATTGGGGTGTCGTGCCTTCAAGCGTCCAAGCGCATGGGGATACAGACCAGGGGGATATATAAATCCCAGTTCTTTCAAACTAGGGTACTTGGTCTATTAAGAATACTTAGCAAGGCCTGTATTGTGAAGTGTTAAGAGAAGTACATACCGGGAGGTCCCAAAAGATCGATTCCCAACCCTGGGCGCCAATGCGACCACTATCCATTGATTTACCCCAGCTCGCAAAGGTCATGCGGCGGAGATTGGGACAGTTGAGGTTAGAAAGAGAGCATTCCCCAACCTTTGCGTTCACGAACACCAAAAGCTCTGTCATTTTAGGGAACACAATCCCATTCAAATCGCAGGGAGAATCTTGAGGGGTGTGTAGATCATTGAAGACACGTGTGTGCGCAAAAGTCACAAAGTTGGCATAGAACTGTCGACGGCTGGGATCCAGACGGGAAAAGATCTCCTGGACTGTGCCGACGTAGACCTGCCTCCATATCAGAGGAAGTGCCTCGGCGAGCCAGAAATTGCTCACTAGAGCGGAAGATATCAAGTCCGTTTCGGGTCCATAAAGCTCTTGCGGCAGAAACGAGATGATATGGCCCACGATCTCAGCGATTCCAAGTGCTCGCTGTGTGGCAGTTGTGGTCTCATAAAAGCTGGCGCTTTGCGACATTCTCACGGTGTGGTAGTTGGGAGTGGAGAAGATCAAATTTTTGTTAAGAGAAAGAAAGACCTGAATAGAGGGAGAGCTGTAGAGCGATGAGGAGAAACAAAGAGATATGTCTGAAATTTCAATTCGGGAGTTTGCGCGCAGAAGCTTGTGAGATTGCGTTGGTCACTATACGTAGCAGGTCTTCAATCTCACAACTACATCTTCAGAATACCTGATACCTTTCCCACTTTATTTGAACTTCAAGGGTGCTACAAGAGAAGACAAGCAGGGACGAAGCCAGGATGCCAAAGCAAAGGTCAGAGATGCCAGGCCATATGAGACATAAAAATGAGACATTTCAAACATGCGTGGTTTACATCCTTCAGTTCACAAAGTCATCTTGGCCACCGACATTGCTGATCAGGCGTGAGACACGAACTCTACCCACCATACTAGCAACGCTACAACTGGCTGTGTGCACATGGTAATATATTAAGAGTTATCTTTTAAACATAGACTAAGAGAGCCACCTAAGTGTGACCGAATCATGGTTGTAGGGAGATGGGTCGTGTCCCAACCTTGTTGATAGGATGATCCCACAAAAGGTATTCGACGTGTACGACAGTGGTGTTATTGAGAGGGATAAAAAAGGGAAATTACAGCAGGGTCTAGTCTTATCTTGTGGGCTTAGGCAGGTCAAAGATGGTAGGGAGTGAGTTATGCATATTAATACTGGCGACGACCTACATGTGGGTGACCACCTAAGGTAACTTGCTAGAAGAAGAGGCGATCAGACAACCCCTCATGTATTCTGTGGGACCTGTCAATAGCTACCGAGCCCGTAAGGCTCAGCCATTGACTTTGTCAATAAACTTCCACGAGAACTACCAATTTGCTGTATGTGCACACCTACATGGACCTCAACAACTTGGTAATGTTGATGTCCGTGTGTGTAGGCAAGGCACCCTCTGCGCCATTTCGGGTGGGCTACGGAGAGATAGCGGTTGAGGGCTGGAGAGAGGAAGAAGAGAAGAGGAGGAAAGGTGGTGGGTGGCCTTTTATATGGTCAGGTTCCACGTACCTTCCCAAAATGGACGGCCCTCCCCTGCACCTTCCCTAGTTGTTCCATACCACTTGGTATCTTTGAAGGGTCTTCTATAAATGCAGATGTGGTGAAAACAAATACTACTGCTCGACCATAAACACCTTGTACACACTCCTTCATTTCGGCTTCTTCGTGTGCTTGTTCTTCTCCTTGCCTACCATACCGCCGGTCACGCCCGGACATGTTCAGCACTTGTACATATCATAAGTGAACAAGCTGCAATGGTGAGCTTCAGCGCGGCTATTCCCTCTCGCAATTTCCCAATGCCAGACCGATATGGCGACCAAGAACTTGAGCGTTTGCTGAAGAGTCCAATTGCGTGGCCACATATTCACAGAGCGTTGTTTATGCTCTTATCACATGGAGATATATCCACACCCTCAGTCTGAGCTTGAGGATTCCGATAGAGCTGGAAGGACCTTTGAGCGGTTGAATGTGACGTTCAGAAACGGCCGTTGAGAACAAGAATCGATCGACAATGGGACGGGACGAGCCGAGACCCACCCGCATAAATGGTACCTTGAACACTTGCACGTCTCTAACCCTCACAATATCAGGTTCAATCAATGTGCAGACAGAAAACGGCTTGGCTCCTCGGGCCTTTCTAAATTCAGTCAAAAGAACTAGGGACAATGATCACTCTCGATCTGGATCGTCCCTTCTTATAGATATGTGCCTGGACATGTAGGTCTCGTGTGTAAAAGTGAAGATGTCAATCGTGTTGTATTGGGTCTAGGAATCCTGGTGTTTTCAATGATCAGGTATTGCCGAAATTAACGGGAAGTGTCATAATAATAGGCTCTTAGATCATCATGATAATTGCCTTCATTCATGTGCCCACAGTATGTAGGTTGACTATGAGAAAGGGTCGTGGGTCGTGGGACCCAGAACAGAAGCGAAAAAACAAGTCACATACTGTGTCATTGCTGCTTCTTAAGCTAAAAAGCTTACTTTCTATTCATTGCATAGAATGCAGTCAAGCTCACTGCGTAAGTAGTTATGACTCATGGGTAACTGCTTGTCGAGACAGATGCCGATGTTAGCGGCCTTACAATCAAGGCACTGCAATTGACTCGGGAGCTACGTAAGTTAGTTTCGGCCAGCCTATATCGAATTTCCTCCGCCCATGAACCCTCTAAAACCATGCACAATGTTGAAAATGCAATGGCGCGCTCTTTCGAGACCAGGAAGGCGTCTGATCCGTAATGTCGCTTCGATCCCCAACGGAAAACTTCAAATGCCTGGTTTCAATATGCCCCTGAACAGCTTACCTGATGTAAGAGTTACCCCTTTCAGAACACAGCAAATGCTAATTTAAGTAGCCGAATGATTTAGATGGATATGACGGCGAGCTATTAGGCTTTCCGAATGCCTTAGACCCGACTCACACGGAGAATATGTAGTGAGGGCTGACCAAAAAGAAAAGCGCAGCAGCTTTACAGCTAACGCAAGTTCTCCAGTGACATCGTGACACACCGAGAGATTTTGATGATGCGAGTAATGAATAACATTACAGACAAAATCGATTGGGATAAAAAGGTATTCATGTTCCATTTCATAGCTTTCATGGTGTTGACTTCTTTCAGGTCTTCGACAAGCACATCACTTCCAAATGGCGCAATGAGATCACCGAGAGTGGGCAAGATGTGACTCCAAAGATGATGGATTGGATTATCAAAGAACTGCAGTGGAAGGCTGGTATGTTCCAAGAGACAGGTTATGTCACTGTTTTTGATGTTGGAGTCGTCAAATCCGACAACGCCATTTCCAGTGAACTGCAGCAGGAGTTGAAACAAGCTGCATCTCTTTTTGAAAATGTTCCTGAAACCCAAAAAGACTACCATCCTGGATCCGATCAGAAAGTTGTGAATCTGGTCCATCCCTCATTGTTTCCAGTCGTCTATGGTCGAACTCGTGTTCTCCCTGACCAAGTCATCGGGGTCGGTGATTGCCTGAGCAGGATGGGACAGGGTACTTTGATTCCAATTCCCTCAGAAGAAGAAAGCCTCGGCGAGGCTGCTTCAGAGCGTGGTTTCACGATTCATGACCGCGACCGTATTCAACCGAAATTCAGTCGAAAATTCCAGTGGCTCCCATGTGATGTGGACATCAAAAATTCCAGGTGTGAGATCTTGTCTTACATCAACAATGTTCACCCAGTTCAACATCGGGGGCTGTACGATGTTATTGAGAAAGTCATTGCGAGAACGATCCCACTTTGGGATAAGTCCTTGAGCAAAAAGTCGTCGCATCAAAGAATCTCGTATGGAGAGGTTGAGTACGATGATTCGGTAGAACCAGAACCTATATATCCTCAAGACCCCGACGAGAACTTCGACGAAGATGAGTATTTTGACCAGCACGAGAAGTGGGAGAGTTCCCGTCCGATACGACTACCTGAGCCAACGGAATTCGAGATTTGCGAACATGAGAATTCAAATACAATCAACTTGAGCGGGCAATTCGGCCACGAGGGACTACAAGTGATTGTAAAGTTGGCAAACATTGAATTGACACCCGAAAAGCCTGACTATGGAGGAGGTACCTGGCACATCGAGGGTCAATTGGTCAGCTGGATTCATCTTCTCCAAGCACGCATATTACTAATCCCTCATTAGAATGAGCGCATATGTGCAACAGCAATCTACTATTATGACAATCACAACATCACTGAAAGTTCGTTGTCATTCCGGCAAAGAGGCGCCGACCTGGACGACATGAAATACGAGCAAGACCGGCATGAATTCCTTCAAGATGTCTATGGCTTGGCTAATAATGGTTACTGGAATGGAACAGAAATTACGCAAGAGGTTGGAGGCGTGGTTTGTCAAGAGGGTCGACTCCTGACATTCCCCAACTCTGTTCAGCACAAAGTGTCCCCATTTTCGTTGGCCGACAGATCAAGAAGCGGACATCGCAAGATCCTCGCACTGTTCCTCATTGATCCTTATAGGCGGGTGATTTCATCTGCCAATGTGCCCCCACAGCGAGGGGACTGGGCGCCAACGAACTTGAAGGATGTGAATAGTGTGCATTCACGGATTTCAACTAACTCGCCGGATACACCTGGTCAGAATATATCCAGTTCGATGATAAGCATGAAAGAGGCAGAAGCTTACAGACTTGAGCTCATGGAAGAGCGCAGTGTCCGGGCTGTGGAGCACAACAATGTGTTTAAGGATGGATCTTTCCACTTGTGTGAGCATTAGATGGTTCATTGGTAGCCACGTACGCAGGAAGGTTTCCATATCTGGAGAGCTGGGATTGGGCTGATACGAGGGCAGAAACAAAGAGATTAGTGGCGACCAATTGGATATATCCGAAAACAACGAAGTTCCTTGTTGGTTACTTTTTGCCAAGCGGCGTCGGACGACTCGGGTGCAGCTGTGCCAGCAACGTCTACATGGTCGATTTGAACGTGTTCCAGACAATTTCCATTCCCCAATGTCCAGATTACTCGAGATTCGTGGCCCTGTTCAGATCTGTGTCCCACACGAATTTGTCATGTCTAGACGAGCATAGAGCCTGATGTAATCGTATGGGCATGCCTTGAGGGAACGTTCCGTCAAGTTCATAGCTGATTTTAGAATAAACTGGCGGTTAGATCGTCTGAGACACCTCCGCTCTTGTGAAATGGTGGGGGTTCCCGCTTATCCGCCGTCAGAATTGGATATCCGATATTACGAATGTACAGATGTGTTGGCCAATAATCTATAGGTCACATTGGCATTCGAGGCTCAAAGACTTAAATCTAGCAACTCTCCCATTATCTTGTTCGGGAGTTCAACTATTTTCGAGAGCGATCATGACTATCACCACTACTGCTCCACCTCTTAATCATGCTTCTTTCGAGTGAGCCTACTGTGTGTTGCCACTGGATACTTACTGATGGAGAACGCTAGGCTCAGTGGCCCATATGGAGATTGGCGAGACGACCTTCACAATCAAGGCTATGCGATCATCAAGAATGCCATCGACCCAGAAACGGCCCTGGGATATCAGCGCAAAGCCCTAGACTGGCTCACGTCTTTCAACACCGCCCTCGACCTGGATGATCCTTCCACCTGGACCAGAGATAATTTGCCTGTCCAAAGCAAAATCAATACATTCAATGGGTATTGTGTCACTCATGAGAAATTTATGTGGGACGCTCGCATGGAGCCCAAGATATTAGATGCATTCGCCAAGATCTGGGGCACCGACGAACTACTCGTCTCGTTTGACGCGCTAAATATCACTCTGCCAAATCGAGCAGACAAACCGGCTCAGAAACCATGGCCCCACGTGGATCAATCCCCGATGCGTCGCGGGCTCCACTGTGTCCAAGGGGTTATCAATCTCAGCCATGCGGGTCCCGAAGATGGATCCCTTATGGTGTACCCGAGATCGAACAGAGCCACCGAGGGTTTCTTCGATACCGAAACCGATCCATCCACCTGGGAGCCAAAAGACATCCGTAATTTCAGTGTGGAAGAAATCCAGTGGTTCGAAGATCATGGTATGAAACCACACAAGGTACTTGCGGAACCCGGCGACTTGCTGGTATGGGATTCCCGTACTGTGCATTGGGGTGGGGAACCCACCGTCAACAGCAACACCATTCGAACGGTGATTTATGCCTCCTATGCCCCTTTTGAATTAGCCACGGACGAGACCTTGAAACTGAAGAGAGAAGCCTTTGAGTCGTATCAAGCCACCACTCATTGGCCCCATGACAATATAGTGAAACGGGATGGTGTGGTATATCTTCCGGATGGTCAGGTTGATCCTCGCAATCGATCTAAGCCATTGGAAGTTCCAGAACGTACAGATCGATTACTTCAACTAGCCGGAGTAAAATCCTATCGGTAAATTGAATAGAACTCGCAGTGCTTTTGGTTGTGTTTTTCCTGAAAAGAATCCAAGCGTCTTGATTATTAAGAGATGACTAGTGATACCGTTTGACCCCGCAGTGCACCCTTTTGATCAGAGCAAACATGAAATCGTTTGAATCTCGCCCTCCGGTGGATTATCCACGGAAGCGTGCATCAATCGCGTGTAATTTCTGTCGCCATCGGTAGGTTTTGTATCCTTTGCTTGGGATGTCACTAAGTAGAAATTAGGAAACGAAAGTGCGATGGTCAGAAACCAACATGTGGCCTCTGTACCGACGCGGGAGCTCAGTGTGTCTATCAAGAAAGCGACAGGTAGACTTCGTGACCTTGTGAAGGGGCTCCTAGATAGTGACGATCCAATAGGGTGCAGGATATCCCAGCCGAGATATTGCTTCGCTTGACCCATCTGGAAACCTTGATTGAGCAACAAAAGGACGCCATTACCGAACTATCGGCCCGAGTAGCCCAAGATCATCCGAGTCGGCCTACTGTCTATTCGTCACAGCCCAAATACGATTGGGACCCATCGCCGCAGCATGTATACGATAAATCATTCAGCCTCTTTTCGCCGGAGAACCCATACAGTCATGAATATACTTTTACCATTCCTCCCGAGCATCATACACCGACGGGAAGCTTGTTTGCATTGGATCGAATCAAAAATCTGATTGGTGACTATCCGGAAGACTTTTTCAAGCAGATAGAGAAAAAGCGCCCATTCAACAGCATCCAGGTCGCAGACATACCGCAGACCTTTGAACAAATCGATAGATCTCTACTGCATCCCCAGGTCACCAAACCTCTGATCAACGAGTTTCTCACCCATGTCCATCCATTCTTCCCAGTTCTCGAGCCACAACTGTTACAGATGTTCTTTGATACTTTCTCGACATACATCAAGGTCAACAGCATCCAAACTTCCCTTTATCTCATCATTTTAGCTCTGGGAAAGGCCTCGTCGAATCCTCAACGGATTTTCAATATCGAAGCGGAGAAGGATCTGAGTGGGATGGAGTATTTCGCTTCCGCATATCACTACTTGAACAAGCCGTTGATCACGCCCTTTGCAGGCGACCATCTGTTGCCCTTGGCTTTATTCTACGGCTCTTTGTATCTGCGTCACATAGGACGCCCAATCCAAGCATGGCAAATGATTCGCGATGCGTCCTGTACTGTGCAGATCTTGATTCCCGAGTGAGTGGTATTCTCTGATTTTGATTTTTATCATGATATTGATACAGATTGGGTACAGACTACGTGACATGAATACGCACGAAAAGCGAGCTAGCCTCTATCGAACTGCCTGGGGTTGTTTTATTCTCGAATGGTGGGTCTAGTCCTAGAGTTACCTCTCATCTAGCTAACAAACCACCTCGCTGCAGTGACGATCTTGCAGAGTTTCATTTCCCTTCCAGTAACATTGAACACCTCGTCGAGAGATTGCCCTTTCCTCGAATTTCGGAAGACAACCGAAACGGCCATCTTGTTTTCCTTTCAATGTGCTCGATTCGAAAGCTTCTCAACCGTGTGCACAGTGCTCTATACGCGAAATCTGACCAGGAGGATTTCCATGCCAGCCCTCCGCCTCAACGCACAAGTGACACCCCAGGGACAAATCCAACTGCCAAAAAGTATCCGATTACCACTCTCAAGACAATCAGTGAGGAGCTAGATCGTCAGTTGGAGGACTGGTTTAACTCTCTGCCAAATCCCATCCGGCCAACCTTGGGCAATACAAATTCCGCAGACCACCCTTGGGATACTTACATTCTCTCGCGGTACTATGCCACAAGACACATCATCTGCCGCCCGAGTCTTGTTTTTGCTGCTCACACTCAGGGCGGTACGGTGTTGCCGGAGTTTGTTTACGCGAATTGCAAGAAGTGCGTCGATAGCTGTCGCAAACTTGTCTGGGCGGCATCGCCTCTTATGCGGCAGAGGACACACTCAAACTGGCACAGAATGCAATCGTAAGCTCGTCCCTCTGCTTTCAACTTTTTTTTGGCAAATTTGTGAAGTTCACTTGCTTATTCTACACATCTAGATTGTTGGCTGCCATTTTCACTCTCTCGACCGCAAAAACCTCGCCGGCTCTGGAGGCACTTGTTCCGGACTTCGATGACCTGGTGAAAGAAGTGATTGAATCCATTGAACCGTGGGCACAGTATTGCGAAACAGCGGATACCGTCGTTAGTATGATGAAGACAATTCGCCAGAAGGTGCGAGTTTCAGTTGGGGGAGCTTAGTAGAAAGCCTCCCTGTACATGGGTAGATATACGTATTCTGTTACTTTACATTTACATGTATATGGATTTGACTGCGCGAAAGATCGTGGAGGCTACCATATTAAGCCTACTGAATATACCGTTATTTCAAAGTTGTCCATGTGTTATCAGTAAGCCCGTGATTCCCCAAGACTGATGAACCCCACGCGGGGGAACTTCGGGAAAAGATTCAACTTAGACAACACTTCACTTGAAGAATATGCCTCCGCCACGACTAACAACCCATATTAATTCCATTCATGGCGTTCGACTGGCAGGGGAGCCGTCTACCTGGGATATCCAGATTGGATACCCTGCAGACTCTCCACAGGGTACAGTCATTTCTGTGACCCCTCATGAATGCTCTACTAAGAATGGTTTCGACTCTCCTCTGGCCCTACCAGCCTTGGCACACCCTCACATTCACCTCGATAAAGCCTTTATCCACAGTGCACCTGAATATGCTCCATTTCTGCCTACAGTCGGCACGTTTCAGGAGGCTTTGTCCTCCACGACCAAAGCCAAGCAACAATTCAGGCATTCTGATATCATTCGAAGAGGAGAATGGCTTCTTGCTGAGTCTGTTGCATCAGGTGTCACTGCAATGCGAGCATTTGTGGAGGTAGACCATACAGTCCAGCTGATTTGTTTAGAAGCTGCCGTTGTTTTGAAAAATCAATGGAAGGATTCGTGCGATATCCAAATCGTCTGTTTTGCGCAAGATCCTATATTTTCCAGTGAATATGGAGAACAAAACATGGACTTTCTGAAAAATGCTCTTCACAAGTATTCGCAAATCGATGTTATTGGGACAACACCATACGTCGAATCCAGTCCCGAGGCTGCAAAGCAAAACATCGAATGGGCGATTGATCACGCCTTGAAATTGAACAAACACGTCGACTTCCATCTCGATTACAACCTCGATCCAAACAAAGAAGCCCTGGTTTGGCATGTCGTACAGACCCTCAAACAACGAAACTGGACTACCCACTCAACAAACAAACGCGTCATGCTTGGTCATTGTACACGACTGACACTGCTCACGGAGAACGAATGGGCCCGACTGGCAACTGAAATCCACGAAAACGAACTCCCGGTCAGCTTTGTGGGCCTTCCAACAAGCGATATGTACATGGCATCATCTCCCAGAACAAACGCGGACTGCAAATCTCCGCAAGATCGTCCGAGAGGCACGCTACAAGTTCTAGAGATGATCCGGAAATACGATTTGGACGCAGTGATTGGAGTGAACAATGTTGGCAATTCATTCACCCCATGGGGATTGCCCGATCCGTTATCATTGGCTTGTCTTGGTGTGGGAATCTACCAGGCTGGAAGTCAGGCGGATGCGGAGCTACTCTATGAATGTGTCTCGACACGAGCCAGGGCGGCTATTGGGCTCTCGCCTTCCCATTCAGGTTTGTGTGTGAAACAGGGGTGCCGACCGGATCTGTTATTGGTTCATCATAGAGATGACACTGGGTGTGGTGTGTCTCGGCCGAGGACGAACGTTGCGGAGGTTGTGTGGACTCCGCCGGGGAGATTGAATAGAGATGTGGTTTTTGGTGGACGACTGAAGGTTTCGCCTCTTGCTGTTGCGGAGTCTGACGCTCTTTATCAGTTTTGATTTCGTCTCATATGACAGTTGCCATCGAAAAAGGTGGTGATATGTACATAACGGTCAATGAATGGGATCATCCATGCGAATTCGTGATCAGAAGATATAGATACACGCATTTAGCGAATTGGAAATTCCAGATTCGTGCAGCATCCATTGAATTCCTGTTCAATTATTAATAAAATCGGCGGACACCGATCTGGCATCATAGACTCTTGAAGATAGCCCTCGAAGATCAGGGGAATGAGAGACCCCACCTTGAAAGGGATGGAGGTTTAATCGGTTTTCTTTGGTCGCAAGGCATAGAATTGCACAGGCAACAGATTGAGAGACCGTGGGAAACCCTTCTGAAGTTCGGACTTCACGATTTCCATGCCAGCCGCTTGGAAGATCTGTCTGAATTTCGCATCTGTCCTTGTGACACTGCTATCCTCACTGTCGTACACATCCTGACCCGCGAAATGGGTAGACAAATTCTCCTTGAGAACCATAAGACCGTTCTCAGTTAATGACTTGCGACACCGCACGGTATAGTCAATGAGTTGTGAATCCGTAAGGTGGCCGACACACCACTGGACCCAGATCAAATCATATTTCTTATCCGGGGTCCAATTTTCAAGGCCACGCGTGTAGATAGTTCCAAAGACACCGTCTCGTTTCAATTGGCTGTCTTCCATCACTTTTGTGAACTTGGCTACCGGCTCTACCGCATCTACCACTTCACAAACATGGCGCAGGAAGCCCTCTGTCACCCGGCCGATGCCGGCGCCACAATCCACGCCTTGGTGGAATTTGCCCTCAGATTGGACGCCTGGGATTAACCGGCGGACCTTGGCTAGGAAGGATTTAGACCCTTGGAGGTCAATGCGTGACACTGAAGGGAACTCCCCAAGCATACTGGCTGTAGTGGCTGGAACACTGTTCCAGTATTTCAAAGAGGCGGCAGGGTCGATTTTGGAATCAGCTGCGGTGTTTGAGTCTGTCATGTCGGAGGTTTTGGCAATGCTGGCCTGTAGAATTGCTTATAATGATTGAACATCCGTTAGAGGCCGAAATGTCTTCGATTCAATGAGGGTATCATGAGAAAATCTATATCTATCTCCATCACGTGATTGCATCGCTGCAACGTCCAACGTCCGTACTCCGTACATCGATGCATATTATAGATTCTATTTACAAATGTGCCTTACATACGTATGATTGGTCGCTTCTATCTTTATTGTCTCAGCGCTAAAACCACCGGGAATATGTTCTTGGCAATTGACCTTAATTGACCCTAATTGACCTTATTCTCCTAGAAATGTGATATAAGAAATCAAGACTTGGAGACTGGGCTGTGCAATGATCGACAGGGATAAAAAAGAAAACTCTGACCCTGTCCCCAATCTACCCTGAAACTTGAGATTCAGGGACTGAGATTACGTGGAAGCTGGGGCGACACATCCGTTGAAACGGCCTTTTGATTGGAAGTGCCGTAGCGTCCCCAGTTTGGGTGTAAAGTGCCGATCGTTCATAAATCATTTCTTTCCCCTAATCATTTCCCTTTCAACCAACTCTCTTCTCACCACAGTCATTCCTTTATACTGTCCTTTTTGTTTCTACCATGGCAAACGAACGATCGGATGAGCGCAAGCTCGAGAGTGGCTCTCCTGCCCCTAAGGACAACGGCCTCCACCCCGGCTTCTACATTGCGTGCGTACCACCCTGAATACGGCCTTCGTGTCCAGAACTAGAACTAAAACCCGACTTTTTAGCCTGTGGATTGCTCTGAGCTCTAGCGTCATCTTGTTCAACAAATGGGTTCTTGCGAGCGCTAAGTTCAGTATGGACCCCTTCTCTGATCCCCTATTATTCTTTGGACTTCGCAGCTAACTATGATTGCTTCTAGACTTCCGTGAGTTCCCCAACCGATTGAGTCTTGACCGCGGAGAAATCGAATACTGATATGAGATACCAGCGCTCTTCTTGACGACATGGCACATGGTGTTCGCCACGGCGATGACCCAGATTCTCGCCCGCTTCACCACCGTGCTTGACTCGCGCCACAAGGTTCCCATGAACCCGGCCACCTATACGTGAGCAATCCCGATGATCCGACATGGAATAATGAATGGCTAGAATTTGACCTGAATTGTCGATCGCTAACGGTGGATTTGTGCAATACAGGCGCGCCATTGTGCCCATTGGTGTCATGTTCAGTTTGAGTCTGATCTGCGGTAACCTGGCATACCTCTACCTGAGTGTTTCCTTCATCCAGATGCTCAAGGTGCGTTTGACCCGGGAACTATGGCCTCGATTTCCATCTTGTGCCATTCCCTCCAACGCCAGACTCGACTTAATACTAATACCATTTTTTTTCAGGCCACTAACGCTGTCGCAACCCTTCTCGCTACCTGGGCTTTCGGAATCGCTCCCACCAACCTGAAGACTCTCGGCAATGTGGCTCTCATTGTTGTCGGTGTTGTGATTGCCTCGTTCGGCGAGATCAAGTTCGAGATGGTCGGCTTCCTCAGTATGTTGTTCTCTGGTACATTTGATATTCAAGGTCTAACAACCGTATAGTCCAGATTGCCGGTATTGTCTTCGAGGCCCTCCGCCTTGTCATGGTCCAGCGTTTGCTCAGCTCCGCCGAGTTCAAGATGGACCCCTTGGTCTCTCTGTACTACTACGCCCCGGCCTGTGCCGTCACTAACGGTATCGTGACCCTCTTCGCTGAGGCTCCCCGTCTTACCATGGGTGATATCTACGGCCTTGGTATCGGAACTCTCATTGCCAACGCACTGGTTGCTTTCCTTCTTAACGCTTCTGTTGTTTTGCTGGTAAGTTATTTCATCTCCTGAATCATTACCATTTCTCACTAACACACCAATAGATTGGCAAGACTTCTGCTGTTGTCCTGACCATGGCCGGTATCCTCAAGGATATTCTCCTTGTCGCCGCCTCCATGTTCATTTTCCGCGACCCCGTCACTGCCCAGCAGTTCTTCGGTTACTCTATTGCCCTGGCTGGTCTGGTGTACTACAAGCTCGGCGCTGAGAAGTGCCAGAGCCTTGCTACCGATGTGCGCCTCCAGGTTGGTGAGTACAACCGCAGCAACCCTGCCCGCACCAAGGCTATCCTCATTGGTGTGCCTTGCGCTCTCATTCTGTTCGTCCTCTACAGTGGTAGCGGTGCCTCCGCCCCTGCCGCTCAGATTACCCACTAAGCACGAACGCGCATACATCGGCGACCTGAAGCAATCGACGGAAATTTGGAACACGCGGAGCACATTCTGCGTGGGCTTATTGTTTCACGAATCCAAGCTCGGATAAATCAATCCGATGCTTATGTTAAATTTTGATAAAGACGATGTCTTGTCTGGACAGGACAGAACATGCATGTAAAGTTAGGGGACATAGACGATATCTGGCTGTTCTCGATGGGGATAGGTTTTATAATAAATGGTTGCATGAAATCGATATAAAGTACCAACTATACATTGATTCCTGATATCTTGTAGAGTCCAATAATTCAATGTTCCATTTGCATGTATCAGGTAGACGTATTTAACAAAGGTGATGCAGCGTATCATATTATTATTACCTTTTTATGGATACCGTTTGAAGAAAACACCGGCAAAGCCAAAACAAACAGCCTCGACGGCAAAAGTACCAGCAAAGACAGAAAGACCAACGACATACACCGGTGAGTCTCTTGCTGGAAACAGCGCACTCCCATATAACTGCGCCAGCGCAGCAACCCCAGAAACCCACGCAAGCATAATTGCACGAACATCACGAGTAACAGAAGCCAGCGCTGCAGTAAAAAATGAAAGAGCCAGTGCGCTTCCCCCGTCCGGAGAGTCATGTTAATGAAGCACAAAAACACATATCGAGCAGTATTGTCTCGAATACCCGCTGTAAGAGCGAAAAACATCATCCCGACTATCATAGCACCTAGCAATAACCGACCCCTAGCATGGGGGTTGCGGTCGGCGAACCAACAAATGGGGAGAGCCGCAGCCAGAGGGGCGATGTAGAGCGGAGCAGTCATACTGCGCGGCTGTGGAGGTGTATCCCATGTCGTTGACTAAGGTTGGATAGAAGTATGAGATAGCTGAAGCTCCCAAAATGGCCATGTACCCCGGGATCAATATCCAAGTGCGCCAATCTGAAAGGGCTTTAAGCAAGAGGACAAATATAGAAGTGGGTTGGGCTTTTGAGTCTCCTTGGTCGGCGATTCCGTCTTCAATGAGTCTCTGTTGGGCGAGCTTTCGTTCTTCGGGGAATAGCCTACGACTGCTGGTTGGGAAGTCGAGTAGAGTCCAATGCACGATCAAGCTTACCCCGGCAGTCGCGACTCCTTCGACAATGAAGAGCCACCTCCAGCCTCGGATACCGTGTATGCCATCTAATGTCGATGTGATAGCTCCTGAAATTACGCCGCCAAAGGCTCCTGATAGTATACCTGCGGTCAGGAAGGTGATGAACCGTTTTGATCTGTTTCTAGTCAGTGATATTTCATGGCTGTGCTATTTTGAACAAATATACTGCTCATTCTTTCGATACCACGTGGAAATCAAGAAAATCACAGCTGGCTTCGACAAAGTGAAAGTGGATTTATGGGATGCTATTCAAGTGTCACTCACACTAACCCTGCTTCGAAGACCCCAAGAAGAAATCTTAGGGCTATCAGTTGGCTCTGATGGTGGACAGCTCCTATTGAAGCTGCCACAGATCCCCAGGCAAACGTGATTGTTGGAATAAAAACTGACGGGCGAGTCCGACAGAGAATCATGCTGGATACACACTTAGCATTTTCCATGTGGAACACAATTCTCTCATGTTACTTAGATGGCACCGCAGAAATAGTATAGCCAATTACCCATACTATCACAGCTGTATAGTATTGATGAGATGTGAATTGTAGATCCTCTTCCATTCCGGCAATTTTTCCAAGGCCAATGTTTAATCTGTCCTAGTATTTTTCTTAGCAGAAAGTAGCTGGCAATTGCTAGATTAATTTACCATGTAGGAGAAAAGGTAGAGAATGAAGACCGAAGGCATCAGGGAGAGATCGATCTTCCGGATGAGCTTCTTCTCGGCGTCTACTTCGATGATCCCACATCCGTTATTCTCAGTGTGAAGACCTTGGGCTTTACTGTGTTCGACAGGTGTAGACATCTCGGTGATGGTTGGTTATGTTGCCTGGCAGGTTCAAGGGGGTTTTATAAGGGAGAAAATTTTCTACGACCACCATTCCTTTAGTCTGGACGTAGCGGTCTTTTGCTAAATCCAGGAAGTTGACAGTCCACAAGGCATAGTATTGTTCGATCTGGGGTAACATGTCGGGATTAGGTAGGATTTAAGATATTGTCGACTCGATCTTCAAAGCCACGAACATTCCATGGCATTGTTCGTGTCATAGCAAAGCCCAAATAAAAATATCCCGTCAAAATCACTACGCTTAGAGCTATGGTATGTCTACATCTAGAGAAAATCAACGACTATATACATACAGTCAATAGTCACCTAGATATATAAATAGCTAGTTGAAGAGTATTTGTGTATTGCACCTCCATTTTAATCTACCAAGTATTTAGAACAGTTATTCTTCATTGTAACCGCCTGGCTAGTTATTCGCGAAGTTGACCGTTTTTGTGTTGGCCGTTTATGGAAATGTGTCATTGTTGCGCGTTCGGGCCCAGACATGACCCCAATGTCTTGAATCTCGCCTTCCCCAATATTTGAACATCCTTTGACATTGACCAGTGGCTTTGTTTTGAATTTTCAATCGCCCAAGCTAAAAGCAGCAGAACAAACCTTTGGCCATGGCGACGAACAGAGGAATTGTTGTCATCTCAGGAGGGAGCGCGGCGAACAATCTCGTCGACGTATTCAGCGCCGTGCGTGAAAGCAAAAATTGTCCACTGAGCTACATCATTCCAATCAGTGACAATGGAGGATCTTCTTCCGAGTTGATTCGAATATTCGGTGGGCCTGGGATTGGTGATGTTCGGAGTAAGTCCAACACGAGAATCTTTCCGAACTCGCTTGCTAACTTGTCGGACAGGTCGATTGGTACGCTTGATTCCGGATTCGCCAGCAAATCCTGAAAGGTCAGCCGTCAAAGCATTGTTTAACCATCGGCTGCCTGCGGAAGCAGGCATCGCAACCAATGAATGGCAGTCCATCGTTGATGGCACGTCTGCCCTGTGGACAGCTATCACCCCCGCAAAGAAAGAGTTGATACGTTCATTCTTCAATGTACTGAATCTGGAAATCCTAAAGCGAGCCCGACCACCATCATCAACCTTTGACTTCACCTCCGCAAGTGTGGGAAATCTTTTCTTGACTGCCGCTCGGTTGTTCAGTGGGAGTTTCGAAAGTGCCATATATCTACTCGGGAGCATCTGTGGTGTCCCATCAGATCTGGTACGCGTAATTCCAGCAATAAACTCCAATTTCTCCCATCATATCTCGGCATCACTTGCGGACGGAACTGTCATTGTCGGCCAGAACAGTATCTCGCATCCAAGCGAGGCGACGGCCCTCGAGCATAACCCCCGCTCCAGGAGACCGAGTCTGCTTCTTGCTGATGGAGATGATATTGATTACACAGACTCCGAAATGTCGGACCCGACGACATACGAAGAGGACCATCTTCCCGGATCGCTGGCAACTCTCCGCAACAAGAATATCAAGTTCAGTAAATCCGAGAACGAAGATTTGAGTTCCAGAATCACTCGCATCTGGTACATCAACCCCTATGGCCAAGAGATCCGGCCACCCGCCAACCCACGAGTGCTGGAAGCAATAAACGATTCTCAGGCTATCATCTACAGTATTGGGTCTCTCTACACGTCAATCATTCCTGCTATCGTTCTACGAGGCGTGGGCAAAAGCATCGTCTCCAGTCCAGCCCGACACAAAATCCTCATTTTGAACGGATCATTGGATCGGGAAACGGGGCCTCCATCCGCGCCATTCGCTGCGTCTGATTTCGTGGAAGCAATTGTAAGTGCGGGAGAGGAAAGCCGTGGACGTGGCCCGATTGTTCATTCTCGACATCAAAGCGAAACACCTGCGACGACTTCAGTGCAAGATAATGTTCAAAATTATAGAGCCCTTCCATATACCAACTATGTGACTCATATCTTGCATCTGGAAGGCCCGGGGACGCCACGTGTGGACCGTGAGCGACTCACACATATGGGCATTGAAACGCTTCGTCTTTACGGGCGAAAGATCGTGGCGAAGGACGGTGATAAAGAAACTGTGGTGGGGATGCAATATGATCCTAATGCCCTTGTGCAGGCCATCGAGGTAGTGTTGGGGAAGAAGGGGGATGCAATGGTTCGGGGGGCTCTGGGAAGTGCGCTGAGTCGACGGAATACACTCGATCCCGCACGAAGGGACCGATCGGATAAGCAATAGTATCTGGTGGGAATTAAACACTGTATTATAAACTATATCGATATACAACTACATCTACACATCATGTAAATCAATAGCAAGAAGAACTCCATTCGTCAATCCCAGGTTGTTAAACCACAGACCCAAATCGCTTATGCAAAATTTCAATAAATACCACCCATTCCCATGCTCCGATTCGCAATGCCGCAGGAGTCGAAAGAAAAAGAAAAATTGGAAGAGCCGGAGAAAACCCCGCTATAAAGGTTCTATGGGTCAGATACGGGTAGATCGCCTCGCTTTCTCGTCTGAAACAACAGCGGAATGAGATTCCTAGTCTTCCCAGGCGTCTCCTTTCGTGAAATCGGCGTGCGGCACACCGGGCAGGTACCCTTGTGCTGTTTCGAAGAGTCACCGCCGCGTGTTTGTTCGCTCATCTTCAAGCAGTCGATGATGCACTTGTGACAAAAGAGATGTCCTAGAGATGAGAAAGTCAGTAAAAGCCCTAGCATGCCCAAACCTTATACAGTGGAGAAACCAAAACATACCACATGAGGTGCTCGTTGCGTCCACAGGCGTCTCCATACAAATGGGACATTTGTAAGCCAGTATAGCGGATAGCTTTGAAATTCTTTCTTCTTCAGCCTGAGCTTTAATGGCATCCTCCTGCTGTTTGGCTACTGCCCGGGCGAGTGCGGCTGCACCCGAGTCGTCAGTCATATCGATCGTTTCTATAGGCTCTTCTTCGGAGGGTGTCGAGGAGGATGTGCCGCGCTCATCGCTCCAATGTCTACGGCGCTTGACGCCACGGGGAAGAGATGACTGTGCATGTTGGGACGAGGATGCGTGGGCCGAGGCGCCAGGTGGGGAGGATAATAAAGAGATTGGATTTTGCTGGGGTGCTCTGGTTGTCAGGTCGACAACCTCAGGTGTGTTTCGGCTCATTGTGACAGAAAAGAAAATATCAGTCTTTCCAAGAGTATTGTCTCAGTGTTGAACGAGGATGATAGTCTGGTATTGGAAAGGAAGTCGTCTGCAGCTCTGTGCTGCCATATGGGGGGACGTGGACGATGTGGAACTGTTGACCGATGAAGGGCCTGTGAGTTTCAGAAGATTGAGTCCAAGGCCCAAGGCAGCTATCATGGGTTTGAGCAAAAGAATATAGCAGGATCGGAGGTCTCTTCAGCGATCAAAGCAGGTGATGGCGACAATGACAGACGCATCTTATCTGACTGATCATGTGATGATAACCAATCAGATAAGGCATACTGCCGTCTCTAATTATGAGGCGGTCAGCGCTATAGTAGAGGGGGCTTTATCGGAAGATTATTACACCGAGCACATACTCCCGATATCACGTGATTGAGTTTCACTAAAATGAGAGTCTAATCACAATACATTTGTCTATAAGTAGAAGGCGGTGACCACATGTGGGAAAACAATATTCCGAGCTGCATGACGCCCAGATCTGAGATATCGCGATAGGGAATGATGTCCATCTTCAAGACATACTTCTTTTTTTAGGATTTTCTTCGGGCTTCCAGTGCAGCCTAATGGCTGTGGCCATACTTCTATCATGACACAATACTGCTGAATTTTTATTTTTATGATGTTATCTTGGAAGTCCTCCCGCATTCCTTGTTCCAGGGGTGCCGCGAAGAGTTTCTCGCAACTGAGCTCGCCGGTCTTGGTTAAGCTGCCATCATGGCACCAATTACACAGAAGTCACACAAGACTTTCCTCTACCTCCAGTGACAGGACTACTACAACACGATCGCTTTCTGGTGTGTACTCTGTCTTTTACGCTTTTCGATACGAAAACAAAATAATAATTCCTGATTTCGCATAGTCCTTTCCTCGCCTAGATTCAATGACATCGGTGTCCAACAGCTAAGCGACCATGTCCATGCTCAAGTCTTCCCAAATAAAGGTCGCATTCCGGACCCAGAGTTAGTCGTACTTTCGAAGGATCATTTGGCTAGACATCAGCTCCTGGGTAAATCTCAAAATGGTGCCGGTCCTGTCGCATTCGACCTTCCCGCTCTCAAGGGGCAAACATTGGACGAGCATTTCTACAAACTCGGAATGGATTCTTCCGAACCATATCTGACATACGCTAAATCATATGCGGCTCTTAATTGCCCGGCCAAACCACGCAAATGGGTCAAACGCAGTGGATGGACGAAATACAATAATGATGGCACTTCTGAGCCTGTCGATGCCCCAAATGAATCAATGTTAACATTTGACACCGAAGTCATGTACAAAAACAATTCATTTGCAGTCATGGCTTGCGCGGTGAGCCCGACAGCATGGTATGCATGGCTGTCGCCGTGGCTGCTCGGCGAGTCAACAGATGAAATACAGCTGGTACCATTGGGAGATCCCACTCAACCCCGTATCGTGGTTGGCCACAATATTGGCTACGATCGAGCCCGAGTCCTCGAGGAATACGACATGCAGCAGTCCCAAAACTTCTTTATTGACACAATGTCACTCCACGTCGCAGTCAACGGCATGTGCTCACAGCAGAGACCGACTTGGATGCGCCACAAGAAGAATCAGGACTTGAGGGACAAAATTTCGAATGAGCACGATTCCGTGGAGCTTGCTGCACTTCTCGAGAACAACATGTTGAGAGAAGAAGAGGAAGAGCTTTGGGTTGGACGAAGCTCGGTGAATTCTCTGCGCGATGTAGCCAAATTCCATTGTGATGTTACCATCGATAAGGCGCAGAGAGATCTCTTCGGTGAACTTGACCGTGACTCTATCGTGGGCAGACTGGAGGAACTTCTCGACTATTGTGCCGCCGATGTTGCCATTACCCATCTTGTCTACCGGAAAGTTTTCCCCAACTTTCTCGAGACTTGCCCGCATCCTGTCAGTTTCGGCGCTCTTCGACACTTATCAGCTGTCATCTTGCCAGTCAACGAATCATGGGAAGAGTACCTTGCCAGCGCAGAGGAAACATATCATAAGAGACTTGACGATGTTCAGTGCAAATTGCTGGCACTATGCGACGAGGCATTGAAGTGCAAAGACCAACCAGACATTTACGCGAATGATCCTTGGCTACAACAGCTGGACTGGTCCGGCCAAGAGATCAAAATGGTGAAAGGGAAGAAGAAAGGCGATCCTCCTCGACCGGCAGCCAGGCAAAAGAAGCCAGGAATGCCCAAGTGGTACAAGGACCTTTTTGCCTCAAACAGCGCGGAAATCAACCTGACGGTGCGAACTCGCATTGCACCTATCTTGCTCAAGCTGTCATGGGACAGCTACCCTCTTGTTTGGTCTGACTTGCACGGATGGACTTTCCGCGTCCCCCGTGATCAAGTCAAACAGTATGAGAATCAGCCAGTCGTTGTCTGTGATATGACCGAGGAGAAGAACACTGAGTTGCGAGACGATAGGAAGGCCACATACTTCAAAATTCCCCATAAAGACGGCCCACAGGCCAGATGTACTAATCCGCTTGGCAAAGGATATATGCAATATTTCGAGCGTGGCATACTGTCATCTCAGTATGAACTTGCGAAACAAGCGCTGGACATGAACGCGTCATGCTCCTACTGGATCAGCGCTCGAGATCGAATCAAGGGTCAAATTGTGGTCTATGAAGATCAGGTTCGAAAGGACGGGGTGAAAAGTAAAGCAAACGACAATCGCATCGGATTTATTTTGCCTCAAGTCATTCCTATGGGGACCATCACCAGACGTGCTGTGGAAAATACTTGGCTGACTGCAAGTAACGCGAAGGCCAACCGCGTCGGTTCAGAGCTAAAGGCCATGATCAAAGCACCACCTGGCCACTCGTTTGTTGGAGCCGATGTCGACTCCCAAGAGTTATGGATTGCAAGTCTTGTCGGCGATGCCTCATTCCAGATTCATGGAGGAAACGCAATTGGCTTCATGTGCTTAGAAGGTTCTAAAGCTGAGGGGACGGATCTGCACTCACGAAGTGCGTCGATTCTGGGAATATCGCGTAATGATGCCAAGGTCTTCAACTACGGCCGAATCTACGGAGCAGGCGTCAAGTTCGCCGCTACTTTACTTCGCCAGTTCAACCCGTCTCTGACCGAAAAGCAGACACAAGACACTGCTAAGAACCTGTACAAAGAGACCAAGGGAACGCGCACTTCACGTCGCCTCTTGAGTGAAACGCCATTCTGGCGAGGTGGCACCGAATCCTTTGTGTTCAACAAGCTCGAAGAGTTCGCGGACCAGGAACGACCTAGAACCCCTGCTCTCGGTGCTGGGATTACTGAGGCACTCATGCGACGGTTCATTAACAGAGGCAGCTTCATGACATCCCGAATTAATTGGGCCATTCAGTCGTCTGGTGTTGATTATCTTCATCTCTTGATCGTTGGCATGGACTATCTCATCCGACAATTCAACATACAAGCCCGGCTAGCCATCACTGTTCATGATGAGATTCGCTACCTAGTGAAAGATGAGGATAGGTACCGAGCCGCAATGGCTTTGCAGGTTGCCAACGTTTGGACTCGTGCCTTATTTTCGCAGCAAGTGGGAATCGATGACCTTCCCCAATCCTGTGCCTACTTCTCAGCTGTCGACATTGACCATGTGCTTCGCAAAGAAGTCGACATGGATTGTGTGACACCTTCGCACCCCCACAAAATTCCGCATGGTGAAACGCTAGATATCAACCAGCTCCTAGACAAGAATCAGGAAGCTTTCTTGGACCCTTCAATCACACCGCAGTCGCCTCCCACCCCCAAAAAATACCCATACACGCCACGGGAGTCGGTCATGTCCGCGTTCCAAGCTTCTAACGACATTGATCTCATCAAGGCCCAGATCACCAAAGATGACAAGGAACTCCGCGATATCATCAAGGAGAAGACGCGGGCAGCTGCCAGCACCAGCGCTTCTAGCCCTTCCGCTCCTTCTACCAAGCCTAAGGGCAAATATACCAATTGGACCTCAGCAAAGCCCCAGCGGGCGGTACTGATGGACATGGAGTCAGGTCTCTACCCCGACTTCCACAGTCCCCCTAGGCCTGGTTCTCATGGGAACAAGCAGCCCCAAATGGGATTCCACCGCCCTCCCTGGAAACCACGGGCAACAGCCCGAGCATAATGCTGTTGCCCCCTTTTTTTCCATTCTCGCTCTTTTTGTATTATTCTTGACCCCCTATTTTTACTGTAATTATCTACTTCCCCATCTTGTCTAACTATTGTGGATGTTATATCTGGAGTGACTGGAAGCCAGCATTGGGACGGCGTTACTATATGGTGCATAGTGAGGTGATGGAATGAAAATCGTTTACATGTACTTGTATGAATCAATTATAACGAGTTCCCATTTCGCCTACACATCCGCATGTGCTTGTATGAAATAGAGTACTTCGAGGCTGTAACCCGTGTCTCCCTTAAATAAGATAAGCTACGGGTACTCCACCTGAGCCCCTGCACCGGAAACCCCTGTTTCTCCTGTTTTTTTCCCTGCCCTGTATTTCTTCTCTTCTTGCGTTTTTACATTCTCATATTCTTCATGATTTTTAAGTCTTCTCATGTTCAAATATAACATTTCCCTCTGAGACGCGTTTCGTCTTAATTATCTCTGCAGACGCGGCAGAAAACGCCCCCAACGACGTCATATCCCCCACGCAAGTTCGACATGTTCTCCCCTGAGACTGTGGTGTCTCAATGAGAGGTGCATTGATTATACAAACATACTGGGTATATTTCTGCCAGCCATTTGCTAGAATATCCCCCTGGCCCAAGTTTCAGATCATTGAAGCGCAGCGCATCGAAGTTCGGAGCCGATGAAAACTCGTCATTCTACAGATGCGATTGGATGTGCGCATCTATATAAACCGTAAATATGAGCGTACACTCGCTTGATTACGCGCAGCCCGGTGTGACACGGTCTGATGTCGACGTTGAGGCCGGCCGCCCGTCAGTCGGCTCTCAAGTCTCTCCAACAGGAAGAGAAAGAGAGGGATCTGCGTTTCCTGGATTCAGCTCAGCAGCACGAGTAAACTCAACTGAGACGACAAGACGCCGCGCTAGACGCAATACTGCCCGCTCATACCATCCTGAAGGGTTCGCACAAGATCCCAATTGGCAGCCAGGAACCGAACCTGGCATTGACCCAACGAAGCCGCTGCCACCCTACACATCTGAATGGGCATCCAACATACCCGCGGACCTACACCGACGCTGCCAGATTACGGTGGTGGACTTCTCACAACATGAGATGCGACAGTATGAACTAGACAACGACACATTGGAACAATTTTTGGAGCGGGAGAAAGAGCCCTGGGTGCAATGTCGGTGGATCAATGTCAACGGATTGAGCTGGGATGTCATTCAAATCCTTGGAAACCATAAGAGATTACATCGGCTTGCAATTGAGGATGTGGTCCATACCACTAATCGCACGAAAGCGGATTGGTACTCGGACCATGCTTTCGTCGTGCTGACATTGCAAAAGTTGATGAAGATACAAGAAGAGGACTCTTCTGATTCGGAGGATGAGGAGGACACTCCAGCCAGTCGATGGAAGTCAAGGGATCGGAAAAGCTCGGTGGTCAGTGACAAGAGCTCGATCTCATTGAAGCGACCCACAAAATGGAATGTTATTCTGGCGGCATTGAAGGACATTTTCCGGATCAGACACTCTGGGCGCCAGGAGCGCCAGGATAAGGCAACGTATGGACTGAGCGTGCGTCCTGGTGTCGGACAACCTTCAAAGCAGAACTCCCACTTTGGAAATGTTGGAACCGCCACAGAAACGACTGCCAGGAGTCTTCAGCGATATCGCGGCGGTCCCAACGAGGATCGAATTGAGTTCATGGAACGTCATGCTGCACTTGCCGCCAAAGGACTATGTGTCACTCTGGAGCAAGTTTCGATCTTCCTACATTCCGATAATACGGTGACTTCATTTTTCGAAACGAGCGCGGATGACATCGAGGCGCCGATTGTCAGGCGTCTCACCTCGCCCGAGACTATTCTCCGACAGTCATGCGATGCCAGTATGCTTTTGCAGGCTATTCTTGATGCCGTGATTGATCTTGCCATTCCAGTCACGATGGCTTATCAAGACGCCATCGGAGACCTCGAACTGGAGGTCCTGACTGATCCAGACATTGAACAGTCAAAGTCTTTGTATATCCTGACATCTGAGATTGCTGTTCTGCGGAACTCCATGCAGCCCATGGTGGCTGTGATTAATGCTCTCCGTGATCACCGGTCTGAGCCTGTCGGAACACCAGGCTTTGGTGTCTTGCGGAATCCTCTTAGTCCAGGTGTGGCTCCTACGGAGCCTGTCGATCCCCGCCCACATGTCGGAATTGTAACGCCAAATCTGAAGAGTATTGGAGGCACAAGTGTTACGATCAGCTCTATGTGCCATACATATTTGGGCGATGCCCTAGATCATTGCATCACCATTGTTGAAGGGTACGATCAGATGCGGCGCAATGCTGACAACATGATTGACCTCATTTTCAATACTATTGGTATGTCATTTGGCAAGCCATGAAGAAACCAAGACTAATATGCTGTACAGGTGCCTACCAAAACGAGAGTATGAAGCAGCTTACTCTGGTAACTTGTCTTTATCTTCCTATGACATTCTTGACAGTATGTATAGCTTGACTTGATTAAGAGAATCTCTCTGACAGTTCCAGGGTTATTTCGGAATGAACTTCAAGACTTTCTCATCAATCGAACACAATGAAGGGTATGCCTTTCGAAGCTTTTTTTCCCTAGACATATTGCTGACTTCGGTAGATATTTCTGGAAGATTGCTGTACCATTTGTCTGCGCTACCATTTTCCTCCTGATGTAAGTTCTGATATTCGCGTCGAAAACAGCCAATACTAATATCATCTTCAGGCGCGACAAAATCCAGCGCTACGCTGTTATGCTTGCTCAACGCCGTCTGATTGTCAGTTCGAGGAAGCAGAGACGAGAGAGGAAGAAAAAATAGATCGTGAACATCCTGCTGCTTACTGTTCTAAGTGCAGCATTGATATATCGCTGTATATAGGTGTTTTCGCCCGAGACTTTGTTATTAATTGCATACATCTCCTTGCTTGCAGACCTAGTCGGGTCTTGTATTACTATTTTTCTGGAACATTAATTCAATCATTTGTTGATAGTATGACTCCAGCAATCATTGTGAATTCCACTTCGTTCGCATCGTGGCAACAGTTTCTATATTTTAATGTACAAAGAAGTCACGAACGGTCTTAATCCCGAAGTGTATTTAGACAGATATCATACACGGCACACATGCTCTTACTCTAGAGACTTTCGTCGGTAGGCCGAGTAAGCCTTCCATGGAAGTCTCCATTCTGACCGAAGCAACTCCGGGCTGAAAACATCAAAGTCTTGCTTTTCAAGGCGATCCAACCACAAGCGTGTGCTGACGGCCGGCAGGAAAACGCCAAATGCTCGGTTGACCTCATCGAGAGGTGACTCGCCGCTCCGAGCACCAGGGGTAACATCATATTCATGACCCTCTTCGCCCTCATGCTCAAATTCGTGGCCAACATCTTCTCCAGCCTGGATATTAGTCAACATTTGCTGCGCAGTAATCAAATGATCGCTTGCACGCGTCGCAACAGTAAAGACAGCGTCTTTAAGACCCTCGGCTTGTGCTCCATACCGAAGGACATCCTCCTCCCTGACACCGGTCTCTGCCATAACATCCAGAGGCAACATGACAGCCCCCTGCTTCGTACCACCTCCTATCGCGGAACCCGCAGCCCCGCCAGCAGGTGCTTGAGCAGGCGGCGGAGGGAATGCAACAAATGGCAGTCCACGCAACACAGCCGAGATTCCCACAGCCTTTCCGATATGCGACGCAACATGGTCCGCAGTCACCGAAGCCATGGGCAATGCCGACAGGGTGAGGTACATGAGAGTGGAATATGTATTTTCGGCGTAAGACTCGAGCGCGGCGATATTTGGGTATGGGTCGTTTGTTAAAGTTTGCTCCCGTGAGTTAATTATACGGGTGAGCCAGCCCTTGCTTATCCTTGCGCGGCCCTGCGTGCGCTCGTGGAGTTCAGAGATGGCGGATGCGAGTAAGATGGCGACGGGTTCTTTTGGTGGCGTTCCGGCGAGAATCTTCGTTACGGAGTCGCGCCAGAATTGAAGTCGCATCAATCCGATTGTGGGGGAGGAGGTTGTGTCGGGGATCATCGAGAGGGAGACGTTTAATGCGCGCAGCGCAATATAGAAGGATTGCGCATGTCGTGGGATGAAGGTGCTCAATGTATAGGAGGGGCGGTCATATTTTCTGGGTATCGAAAGAGGAATATGTTAGTTTTCGGATATGTTTCCATTGACGGAGCTTCAATGGGCTTTGGAGGGCCATGGGGACGGTGTTTCATACGAGAGGAGAGCAACACAGTATTTGTGAGCGCCTTGGACTTCTTCTGCGGTGATAGGTGCGGCAATAGATTCTGACCGGCTGAATTGGCGTTTTTGGGATTGAACTCTTGGTAGGTGAAAGCGACAGGCCCTACTTGCCTGACATGGCCGAACTGTCCTGAGAAAAGACATGTTCAATATGAAGTTGACAAGCTCTGGGGAAGAAATTTGATGTAATCGGGGCAAAGGCATTGGCCGGCCAATCTTTGTCAGCGATGCCTGGGCAGCCCTGAAGGACTAGTTGTAAGACAAATATATCTTTCGAAAATTATAGCAAGTTATAGCAAGTTATAGCAAGTTATAGCAAGTTATAGCAAGTTATAGCAAGTTATAGGAAGTAGGATATTCTATCTCCAAAACAAACACAGTTTCTATGACTCAAACGGCTTGAAAGGTGTATGCGCGTCGATAGCAAATCCAATTTACATTTCCCCGATCCGCCTGACTTCGCGTTTCTCGGCGCGTCTTCCCTCAACTTTTTTCATCCGAGCTCGATGGTACAGCCAATATGAGCGATGATGTAGAACGCCCAGCAAAGAGGCAGCGTTTCTTCACGGATGCATCTTCGCCTTTACCCAAACCAGATCTAGACGCGTCCCTGCCCTGCCCAGAACACGAATATCGCGCGGATCATGGCGCCGCGCTCGAGATTCCGCCACATCGCATCCCAGACAGCTCTCCTCGCTTGGAACACGAAAAAGAACAGCCGCATACACTAGTTCAAACGACAGAAAGCCTAGGGCTACATAATGCGGACGCTGCGTCTACTCCTTTTTCACGCCAGAATGGAGTAGACCAACAAATCGAGGATGTGACCATCAATACCACCACAGCAGCCACAAATGCAGATGGCTTCGATGTCGACCTTTTCACCAGTATCGTGGGAGAGCAACTACCAGCTGATTCAATCAGAACCATTCAATCGGCTGCTTCCAATAATATCGAACGAGCTGTTAACATATACTTTGATGGATCATGGAAGAAGCCTGCACGTATAAATGGCAGCGTTCCGGCCAGAAGCCGGATAGGCGCTCAAGGAGCACAGCCTAGCCTTGAAATGCAAATTGAAAGTGAATCGGTACTCCGACACCAGCCACCACCAGCAAGATATGTTGGCGCATTTGGTGTGGGAGGATGGGCAACGCGAAGTGGCTTGGGATTTCTCAAGCATGGAGACCCGGTCAACATCGAACGCGCACGCTCCCAGCCAGCAATGAAACGTGGCCGAGGAGGCAAAGCATTTGTCAATCACAAAAGTGATGTTCTGACTCGATTCACGAACACTTCCGGGCAAGAAATCGGAAGGCTACCACATGAGACCGCTGAATGGGTTTCTACGCTGATTGATCAGAAGATATGTCGGTTTGAAGGTGTCTGTGTGTTTGTACCTGACAGAGTGCGAGTCAACGATACCATATATTTACAACTCCGAGTCTACTTGCGAAAGGAAGCCTTCCAAAGCGGGGCGCTCGCTGCTTTAAACGCCAATGACAACAGGTCCACTGGACTGTTCGAAGAGAAGGAGAGCACCGAGGAGAAGAACCTGCGACTACGTCAAGTCGGTCTAGTGAAATTATTCCACGAAATCAATCTTCATCCCACCTCGACCAACCCGACTACGGAAAAGCACAAAAGAGAGGGCATTCTCCGTGCTGCTGAGATTGCAGAGCAATACGACAGCACGAAGAAGGAAAAGGATAAATCCAAATCCAACAAGGATTCCAACGATTCGTCGGGCGAAGACGACAGTGAGGAACTGGAAAAAGATCAGCTCGATACACTCTATCAAAAGGCTCAATCATTTGACTTCAACATGCCAGCGGCAGATCCAGCACCGAGCTTTGCCCTTGATCTGCGCAAGTACCAGCAGCAAGCTCTTCATTGGCTACTTTCAAAAGAGAAAGATTCGAAGCAAGTTCGAGAGAAGTCCATGCATCCATTGTGGGAGGAATATACTTGGCCCAGAAAGGATGTTGACGACAAAGATTTACCGCAAGTTAAAAGCATTGACCATTTCTATGTCAACCCGTATTCGGGAGACCTCAGTGTTGATTTTCCTGCTCAAGAGCAACACTGCCGCGGAGGAATTCTGGCCGATGAAATGGGTCTGGGTAAGACCATCGAGATGCTCAGTCTGGTTCATTCGCACAGAATCGAGCCTGATCCACAGGTCTTGAATGGTCTCAGCTCAGTGAATGACCTTGCCAGGATGCCGAACTCTTCTGGGGTAGTGCCTGCGCCGTATACTACTCTAGTCGTCGCCCCGACATCTTTGATCTCTCAGTGGGAAAGCGAAGCGCTGAAAGCCGGGACGTTGAGAGTTCTTGTTTATTATGGGTCGGACAAGGCTGTCAACTTGAGAGATTTATGCTGCGAATCCAAATATGCAACAGCTCCACAGGTTATTGTGACCAGTTACGGCGTGGTATTGTCAGAATTCCGCCAACTCGCCCTCCAGTCTGCTCTGGGACCCAGTACAAATGGGGGTCTCTTCTCTGTGGAATTCTTCCGAGTGATTCTTGATGAAGCTCATGTGATCAAGAACCGCCGTTCAAAGTCTGCTAAAGCATGCTATGAGTTAAAAGCAGCCCATCGGTGGGCACTGACTGGCACACCCATTGTCAATCGCCTTGAGGACCTCTTCAGTCTAGTCCGTTTCCTCAAAGTTGAGCCATGGAGCAATTTCTCCTTCTGGAAGACGTTTATCACTGTCCCCTTTGAATCCAAAGAATATGTGCGTGCCCTGAACGTCGTGCAAAGTGTACTCGAACCTCTTGTTCTTCGGCGGACGAAATCGATGAAAACCCCAGAGGGTGAGCCATTGGTTCCTTTGCCCAAAAAGACGGTCATTATTGAGGAAGTGGAGCTGCCGAAGCAAGAACGAGAAATTTACGACTGTATATTCACCCGAGCGAAACGAACTTACAACGACAATGTCTCAGCTGGCACACTGTTGAAGTCTTACAGCACAATCTTTGCCCAGATTCTCCGTCTTCGTCAGACCTGCTGCCACCCCATAATGACACGCAACAAAGACATCGTTGCAGAAGAAGAGATCGCAGCGGTAGCAGCTAATGCAACCAATGAATTTCAAGATGACATGGATCTTCAAGAATTGATCAACCAATTCACAAGAGAAAACGCGAACGCCGAATCTCAAGATACCCCTGGGACAATGGTCAAGTTCACTGCCCATGCCCTTCGGCAGATCCAAACCGAGTCCAGCGGCGAATGCCCTATTTGTTGTGAAGAGCCTATGGTCGATCCAGCAGTAACAGCTTGTTGGCACAGCGCATGTAAGAAATGCCTCGAAGACTTCTTACAACACCAAATGAACAAGGGCGTCGAGGCACGGTGTTTCAACTGCCGTGCTCCAGTCGACGGAAAGAATACCTTCGAAGTAGTACGACATCCGTCCTCGAATTCAATGTCTTTTGGAGACGAAGCTGTAAATAGCACGCCACCAACCAGTTCTCAACCTGCCCCACGAATCTCCCTCCGCCGCATACACCCCCTCTCTCCATCCGCTCACACTTCGGCCAAGATCCACGCACTTATCAATCACCTTGGACGCATCCCTGCAAATACCAAATCCGTTGTCTTTTCCCAATTTACCTCCTTCCTGGACCTGATCGGCCCACAACTTTCCCGAGTTGGAATCTCGTATCTCCGCCTCGATGGCTCAATGCCCCAAAAGGCCCGTGCCGCTGTTCTCACCGAGTTTACAAAAGCAGAGAGCTTTACCGACGATGACATCGTCGACATGGATGATACCCCAGGGAGAAGTGACCCTACAAAGACTAGCGCTCCCACGCCCTCGGCACCAGCCCCTACAGTCCTGCTCATCTCCCTGCGTGCGGGCGGCGTAGGCCTTAACCTCACAACCGCAAGCAATGTCTTCCTGATGGATCCGTGGTGGAGTTTCGCAATCGAAGCACAAGCCATCGACCGCGTCCATCGAATGGGCCAGACACGCGATGTCAATGTGACTCGATTCGTAGTCAAAGATTCCATCGAAGGCCGCATGCTGCGTGTGCAAGAGCGTAAAATGAATATCGCTGGCTCGCTGGGTTTGAAAATTGGCGGTGATGATGGTGATTCTGATAAGGGGAAGGAGAGACTTGAGGAGTTGAAAATGCTGTTCGAGTAATTAATTATATGGCTTCAGGGCTGCTTTTGTTTACAATTGGGATACCCTGCTACGGCGTGTGGATGTCAAATGCTAGATACCATATATTTCCGATTTAAGAGACTTGGAAACCTCATCTGCTTTTATTGAATTTTGATACCAATATTTACATGGAGGATTTTGGATAATTTAAGTACAAATTGAAGCACAAATGGATATTAATACACTTGAAAGCAGAAAGAAAAGCGCATGAAATAACAAGCTACATGATTCAAAGACATCAAAAACTAGCCCCAAGCCAAGGTATCGGGGGCTTCGTCGTAAGCACAACTGCTGTTAGATCCAATCTAAACGAAGGCATTGCCTTTACTTGCTCGAATGGTGGAGGTGCTTCTTGACGCTCTCCTTCACCTTTGACATGGTACCCTGCTTCCCAGCCTTCTCGCTACCATGGGAAGACTGCTCGGACTTGTTGCTAGCAGGGGACTCGTTGCTCTTCTCACTATCCTTGGATTCACTCGAAGAACCTGGAACAAAGAAAACCGTTAGTACTAACCATAACCAATACCCCCAAAGATATACGGCGGGCACAGGAAAAGGGAACCATACTCTTTTCAATGCCATTATCCTCAGCCACAGGCTTCTTTCCCTTCGACTCCTTCTCAAAGGCCTCGGCAGATTTTGGCGCAGGACCCTGTGGACCCTCAAGCGCCTCCTTGCTCACGTCCTGAGGATGCGCTGGGCGGGCAGTTTCGCTGCTCTCGCCATCTTCGGCCTGCGAGGTGCTGCGCTGTTCCTTTTCCGAGTTGCCGTCGATGCTTTCGCTGGATTCTGTTACGCCGCTGGAAATAGGCTTGTTTTCTTTGCTTTCGCTGCTCTCTACAGGCTCGCCAGACATGGACAGAGCGGGAGTGATGCTGGTGCAGGCGGTGATAGAGGTCGGTGCTTGGGGAGTAGTGACGCTAGTAACCTCGGTTTCTCGGGGCTTGGATTGCTTGTTGTCTGAGATTTGCTCCAAGGGTGCGGTGCTGATATCTGATTTGATTGCGCCAGGTTGCTCTGTGGGATAAGGCGTTAGGTATATTGGACATATATGATATATCTACTTAGCAACTCTTTGGTTGAGCTGTACTTACCATCGCGGTTTCCACCGTCATAGGGATCTGTGGCTCCTCCTTTGCCTTGCACACCGGAGATGGGCTCTTCGCCGTGCTGCTGGGCCTTGGGGGAGTCGTTCTCGCCCCAAATGGCAGTTGAAGCAGCGGTGACGTATTTGTTGACAGTCTCCATGATTGTATGATTGTATTGTAGTTCAGTTCAATCTATGAGGGTAGAACGTTTCTGAGATAGAGGATACTAGGCAGATGTGGTAAAAGAGAATGATGATTGTAAGATAATGTGTTGTTGTTTTGCTAAGTGGCGAGTGGATTGGACCCTTATAAACTCTGGTCAGGTCAAGCTTTCAGAACCCACACGGGCCTGGGTCGTGTTCAATACGTCAGTGTTGGGCTACGGTGGCTTGCGCAAGGATCGCTCTCATCCCATTTGATTCCACTGGTTTTTCAATGGCCGAATGATATCCCATTTGATAGATTGGACTGTCGAGCGAGCGGCGATCCTCTGGGCCTATGTCATAGAGTGACGTCAGTAGCATGTGTCATGTGACCTCATACTACAACAGCCATGGCCATAATATGACAGAACTATAACTGTACAGTGACGGCGCATAAATATAGACACCTTAAATTCTGCTAGTCAGGCCTCCACTAACAAAAGACAGACAATACCGAGCGCGGCATAGCTACATCAGGAAGGCGGTAGTGGAGAGGGTGTAAACACAGTAAGTCACTACGCAAACCTTAGAACCTTGGAATGTGTTAACACCCTTCTACTACCGCCTTAAATTAATATACCGCCTATTATCTCTTAGCTTTCTTGGTGAATATTTAATAGGCAGAATTTAGGGTGGTAACACTTTTGCGTAGTGAGGTGGTCAGCTCGCTTACCGATTACGTTATATATATGTAACTAGTTAACTTATACCTACAGTGACACCGTAATTTTCCCTTTCCCTCTCCTCATCCCGTTCTCGATCGCCGATATGAGTGATAATATCGATTTTGTTTCTCCAAATGCCCCAGACCTGCCTAGTAAAGAGCAAGTTAGATTGCTTTGCACTAAACAAGATCGGAGGGAAAACCATTTCATCCACGTCCACAACAGCGAAAAGTTTTTTTATCAAATATGACGTCCCTTATTGCGAATGGAAAAATCAACAGTTTTTATTTGATCGGATTGGGGCAAGCGCCGCTATTCGTATTCCTGAAATTTATGCCGTATTCGGTATATCAGATAGACTATATCTGATTATGGAATTCATTCAAACCGACTATATTGCGTCCGATATACAGAGAGCAAGAGCTATATCTGATCTTGTTTCTATCGAGGTCCCCTTTAATATAACACCGGGTCCCGTTGGCGGGGGTATATCCATATGAGAATCTTTTGGGATAATCAGATATCGGATATTGCCTACCCTTCTATCCAGGACCTAGAGGGTCATCTTAATCGCGTTTGTATCCCTAAGCTTCAAGACTAAATAGTTCTAGAACTAATATGATTTATTTTAGGTCTTAAAGGTCTTTAAACCACCTAACCGAGAGGTAGAGTATATTGATTTCAGCAACGAGAGAATGATCTGCTGTTATACAGATCTTAAAAAAGCACATTTCCTAGTTGATACAGACGGCCAGCTCTGGGTGTCCGCGTTTCGTCAAGTCAATTTTCTTCCTGAGACTTTTATGTACTTTGCTCTAGGCAAGCAATTAGGGGGAGACCCACTCCCCCTGAGTACTATAGTATGATTCCAATCATACCTACTCGAAACCTCAAAGGACTTTCCGAAGTAAGACGATGGTTTCTACATGGTAGCAGTCGGCATTGTAGGTAGAACCCCCCCCTTTCATTTAGAGGATTGTCTTACTAACAAGTTTTTCCTAATAGATATCAGAGATTGAGATCTTTCAAATGTTGGCTAGGCGAGTAGCTGGAAGGTGGACCCCGAGCGATGTACTCGAGTATTGGCCATCTATTCTTATTAGTATGAGTCGTTATATTGACCGAGAAAACCAATATAAAAGCTGCTTACCTTGCTTTTGTATTCTATAGTTACTTACCAGAAACTAACTTCGTTTCGAAAGGACACAACACTGTCTTATATCCGAAAAAAGTAGCTGAATGCAATTTAATTAGAGAGCTATTAGATTCAACCTTTTCTATCGGATTGAATGTCAATTGATGAATATATCCATAGTTTCTTTCAATTGGAGAGCTACTAGATTCAATCTTTTCTATCGGATTTATTGTTAATTGATAAATACACAAGCGTAGACGGCCGCTTCTGCGGCCTTATGATGTCTTTCTTACAGGTCTTTTTAGTGGTCTTTTTAGTGGTCTTTTCAGCAGTCTTCCAATAGCCTTCACAGTGGGCTTCTCATTTTTTCTTAGATATCTATAAAATAGTTTTCCCCTTTCCAGTCTATTCAAGGCGGCAGAAAAAGGCGGAAAGAGCATACTCTGTGCAAGCGACTTTTCTATGTATAACTTCTGATCTATAGTTTCTTTCAATTGGAGAGCAATTGGATTCGGCCTTTTCTATCGGATTGAATGCCAATCGATGAATATATCTTAGAATCACTCAATCGTTGATTTATTCATTTATGCAGTTATGCATTTTTTGATGCAAACTCCGTTGGCCTACTGGAGTTGTATTAGACACGGAGAATTATATAGTCTGAATGACTTCCGAGGTTTGATGTTGGCGAACTTAGATACCTTGCTTACTATGGAGCCCGTTATAATAATTCAAGTATTTAAATTTTCTGCTGCTAGTACGACATACCGCTTAAGGGTAAGAAGCCACAAGGACAAAGAGCGTTAAACAAAATTGATAGAGTTAAACCTAACCGAGTGATTCGTTATACCTATCCGATATGGTGAATGCAAAGATATTCATAGAACTAATATAATCAGGCCATGGCTAATTGACCATTATAGTAACAGGCGTAAACATATCTAGACCAGATCAAAATACCTAACGCTTGCAAGAAAAAGGTCAAACTCAAACGAAGAAAGAACAAAGAAACTCCGTTGAAACGAATAGGCCAAAAACAAATCTAATCATGAGGTCTCATAGGCGTAGGAGTCGAAGCTCCTTCCTTTGCATTTGGATTCAAAGGTTGCGTTGGATCATAACCGATGCTCTTAACGATTCCCAGTCCTTTCGTTTTGCCCTCACGGAAGAGGACACGGTCCCCGGGGGCTAAAAATTCAGGACGCTGGACGAATCTGAATGCAACTAGCGCTCGATCTCCAGTACGAATGAAAGGGCGGTCAATGTCAATGACTGAACATGTCTGACTGACTGCCCCAACATGAAGCATAGCCTGATATTTAGGCTTAATGGTAGTTGCATGAGAAAGTATTAGGACTGATTATCATTAGCATGTAATCAATCAAGGCTAAATGGGCGACCTACCCTCCGCGACGAATTCCCGATACACCTTTGGAGGCTCCTCCAGCTTTTTCAACACTACCATACCTTTACGCACTTCCTTCCGGCGGACGCGCTTCAGGGCGAAAGATCCAGACTGGCCCGCAAAACAAGCATTCACCTGGATACGCTTGCGCTCAATGGACTTAATGACTGTGGTGGTGAATTGGCCGAGCGAGTCTGGTCCTACTATGACCGAGTCTCCGGCATGAATGACACCGGACTTGACCACACCCGAGACAACTGTGCCCACGTGAGGAACAGAGAAGGTGTCGTTGATCAGGAACTCGAAGGCTCCTGCAACGTCATATTGACCGCGGTGAGGTAGAATATTTAGGAAGGTTCGCACTAGGTCAAGGTTCTCTCCTGTGACATTGGACACTTGGAAGATAGGACATATCCGCTGGCTGACGAATTGCGTGGCCGTGTTAATGGTCTCCTCCATGTCCTTGACGAATATTGGAATTTTGCGCGCGCCAGGCGATTTGAGAATCTTGGTCAGCTGGGACAGGGTCTCCTGCAGAATATGGGGCGGACAAATGTCAATCTTGGTGACAATGACCATGACAGGCACATTGAGAGCCAAAGCAATACCCAGATGCTCTTTGCTCATTCCGATAAGACCATTATTGGCAGCGACCATCAGCAAACAGTAGTTGGGGCTGCTGCTTAGCATACCGAATACAGTGGTGCGCAGATACCGCTCGTGGCCTGCCAGGTCGGAGAAGGAGATGACCTTAGCAGAGCGCCTACCAATGTCTTCCCAGGAGAGCTTTCGGCCCTGTGAATTGCTGACTATTTCTCCTCGGCTGTCGAAGCCCATGATCTCCAACCCGACGGAGCTGGTACGCCCGCTTTCGATCTCGTGCTTGTGGCGGAACAGATTCACTCGCGCACGCCCACGGCCATCGTCAAGACCACCTTTCACCAGCACTCCTAGCATAGTGCTCTTGCCGGCATCGACATTCCCCACTACTGCAATCCGGAGCTCCGCCATCTCCTCGATGTTGTCAACGTGGTGGCGCACGAGGACCTTGCCCCAAGCGCCCTGTACACGGTCATTGCTAACGGGCGATTCTTCAGGGCCTCCGACGTTATAGGTCAGTAATACTCGGCAGTGAGCTGGGATAGTCTCAGCCGCCTCGCGCAAGCGCTGCAGCGCCGTATTCCATTGATTGAGATCAAAGCCCATGGATTCACCACCGTCTTCTAACCCCAGGTCAAACATGGTTTCTCCATGGCCTTCATCGACTCGAGTTTGCAATATCCCAGCGAGCACCTGCAAGTTGTCTTCAATGGCATCACCTGTACCGAGAAGGAGTTCCTTCAGCTTGGCTATTTGAGGGGCATCGGATAGCCCTAGCTGGTCGAGAATGTCGAGCTCTGCATGGTCCTCAAGATCGCGCGACACGCTGGCGGTGGAGTATCCGCTGTCGCTAGGTGCAACTTGGCCAGAGCGGTGGGCTTGCTGTTTATCGGCATACTCGGCGAATTCACTGAGGGCCTAAATTGAAGATCATGTAAGATGAGGAACTTGTGACATGTTCCTTGGAAACACATACGACTTCACCTCGTCTGCGCTCCTCATGGCTCAGTTTCCCGGTTACAGGCATTGTGTGGAGTTGGTAAGTTCAACCGTGTCGACTGACGTGCCGCTTTTTGGGGTAAGTGACGTTATTGGTTGGTGGATCGGATCGCCGTTATTGTTGGCGGATGTGAAGTTATATTCGAGTGATCATAGTTTTCTTTTGCCCAGATGAACAAAAGATAGAAGGATATTGTATTAAATGTTTGAATAAGTGTTCAAGTCGAAAGTACATTGTAAGGGGGGATGGGGGAGCTTTATCGATAAGTCCACGGGTTGGAGTCACCAGTTGAGTCATCGATCAGACCAGCTCGCCTATATCAGCCGCATTCACCTGTGACTTCATATAGCATACACTAGGAAGAAAGTCGAATCATAAGGAATACTATGACTAACAATTGCACAGCCTGCTCAGGCTCAGGCTAGCCGCTAGATCCAAGAGGACTAGTATGGATGATCATAAACCAATTTTCATGGTATCGTTACCTATCTATGTTGACTGCATTTTGTGGTATCTCGTGTCCTTCCTAGTATTGTTCCCGTCGCCGGACGCCTTTCTCTCTATCAATGGCATATCAAGCCTGTCACGCCTGGGGGAGATCAAGACGACGGAGTCTCCTAAACAGAAATCAGCAACCCACTCAAAATATTCCATACTTGCACCGACTCACCTCGAACAAAAAGCATCTCTTCTTGTTTCTTGATAGTCTATATCGAGGAACCCAGATTAGCCCGTGTCCATGTAAATTTCCCGCATGCACATGATTCCATACCCGCAAAGTCTCCTCCTCGTTCTCATCCTCTTCCACCACGTAGATCGTCTCTTCCACGTCGCCAAGGACTAGGTTGCAGTGACTATCGTAGGCCTGTCGACACAAATCATAGTCAGTAGTTATTCCGAAGATCGTCGGATGGGGGGGGAGCTCACATGAAGGCGGCCTTTGAGCTCACGGTCACCGCGCAGCTTCACAAATACAATCTCATCGAGGGAGAGACGAACAAGATCCAAGGGTTCCGAGACGGATGGACCGCCGGTATCTTCATTGTCGGCCATGATAAAAGGGTGATTGGATTGGGTCAAAGGCAGGTCCACACGCACGCAGAATCAACGAGCTTTGGCTGATCCCTAATAGGGTTTAGCGTCTCACCTGCCAAGAAATGTGATGAGTCAGCAATTTACCCCGGGTTTTCAGGTTTCCAAGTATCCACATGAGATCTATACAAAGTGGTGGAGCAGGAATTGGAGAAGTATGGGTGACAATGTTTATAGTATAAGTTGTCAACCACAATATTGTAGTAAAATCAAATAATAGTCTGGCCTAATCACTCGTGCAGGGTATCATGCGCTTACTTGTTCTGAAGCACAACCTGCATAAAGTACCCTGCCAAAAGATCGGGGTCGAAGCGCACACCTTCCCCTCATTTAAACCCCTGGTGATTTCGTGTTCTTTGTGTATTTCAATTTCTAACATTAATCTCTTACTACTCTTTACTTATGCGGCGACTTTCATTTGCTGAGAAGTTCGCTTCTCGTTGGAGTGTTTCGTCTCGGTCTGGAGACGGCATAAAGCCCAGACAATGCCCCCACACACCGTCATCTCAGTCGTCCGAGGCAAACACCTTTTGTCGCAACACTTCCAAATATGACGGCATGGGATAGTTCAACACAAAGAATGATAAAAACTGGCTATCGCTCTTCCGTACGGCAATTGACTACAACAAGTCAACGATGGAGCAGCGAACTCGCTGTTCCACGGCCTGCGACTTTCGAACAAGAGATTCAGATACCTCTACCAGAATGGAACTCGCCTGCGGAGGAGGCGCAGTATAGGGCGGACTTCTTCCGAGCCCTTCAAAATGGACAACCCAACCAAGTGCTAGAAGCCATGGTCGATCCACGATCGGTAGAACTAGTTGGATTGCTACCGCCAAGCGTGTTTATAGAAGCCTTCCACCTCCTATCCCCAGCCAACTTTGTGATACCATACCGGGAGCTTCACCATACGCTGCACGGATGGGGTGTGCTCATGGACGGGCTCAAAACCTTGGAGGCGACGTTCGACGACTTCACGACGGACTTGCTTATGATCATCCAGTACAGATCCGCGGCTGGACATCCACCTCAACTATCCGAGTACACTCACCTCCTTGACTGTGCACAGGCAATGGGAAATGGCCCCCTAGTCAACGCGCTTTGGGATGGGATGTATGCCAATGGTGTGACTCCCGACGCAACGTGCTATAACCACTACATGTCAGGACGGATCTGGGACCACTGTTACGTGGGAAAAGAAGCATACAATACTCGCATTACCCCTCACAGCTACAAAAAGCGGCGCATGGTGGATCCAAATCCTGGATATCGTGGCTATGCAACGGCGTGGAACAGTACCAAAGGAACTGTGCTGGATATATTCAGTCAGATGAGCCAGGAAGGGCTCAGTGGAGATGTACAGACATACATTAATGTCCTCCTCGCATCGGCCCGCGTGGGCGATACGAGAGCTACCAAGAATGTCCTCAAGACTGTATGGAACGTCGATGTTGATGCCATCTTAGATGAAAAGGATAACTCAATGCTGCCACCGGTTACGCCTTACGAGACTTGGTCCGGTCTGTACCCAACTGAGGGTCTTCTTTTCGCCGTGGCCCATGCCTTTGGGACAACCAACGACATATACGCCGCTGTGAGAACAGTTGAATTCATATCTTCCTCATACAACATCACCATTTCAGAAAAGGTCTGGTCCGAGTTGCTTGAAAGGACGTTCACTCTCTCCAAAACACACAAGCGAAGGCAGGCTGAAGATGGGCGAATAGGCCAAGTCCCAAGAGACATGGTCCGTGATATGTTTCAAGTGTTGACGACGGAGTACAATATTCCCGCGACTATGCAAATGTACCGATTTATGACTCAAACCAACAAGATGGATGGCAATCTGAAAGCTTGCAAAAGAGACATGCGTAAGGCATATGATATCTTGAGCCGAACGAGGGCGAAACGAAAGGAGGCAAGAGACGCCGTTATGAAATGTCTACAACCAATCTTGGACAGCATGAAGCCACCGGCGAACGATCAAGGGGGAGAGCAGAATCCAATCAAGCACCAACGACAAAATGGAGTGGAGCCAGATCAATCACTATTTTACTGCCCCCCTACTCGCTGAAGCCATCAACGCATATGACCTCCTTCAGCTCGAAGTCTATCAGCAAATTTATCAAATGCAGCGCATAGCCTATTCAATGATTACCACAAAGCAGTGGAGGGATGTATCATTGAAAGCCTGGGAACTTCAAGAGCGGCCCAAACTACTGGAAGAATGGAAAGACTTCCTACCAGAGCAAAATACCTACGAATATGAGACGGCTGGAACAGTCGAATTCCTAGGTAAAACGATGGCCAAGAGCACCCACATGAGCCAGCATGGCCGCATCCATGCACGGCGGATGCCAGATGGGTCGGAGCTGTTCCATCCGAGTGAGCCTAAGGTCCTCGATGATAGGATATTCTGGGAAATCGTACTTTATGATTACCCCCAGCTAGACCGATCCATTTGGCCAGTCAGTCGCATCTATTCTTTCCAGACCAAGCGCAGCCAAGAATTGAAGGATAAGCTGCGCAAACTCAATACGCGAGTTCATTACCCGGACGATCATCATTTGTCGCAGAAGAACAATCCTTCCGCTGGATTTTATGGTCGCATTCATGCCCTGGGCTTTGATGCTAAACCCCAGAATTCTATCTTTTGGCGGGATGGTAATCCTTGGTGTTCATGAGAAGAGCCTTTTCCTTTTGTACCATTCTAAGCATTTGCGCTTGACGTCAATCAGACATGATATCCATTTATGCAATCCTATGAGCAGTACGATTTTCTTCTTCCGTTTTTCTTCTCTCTCTCGATTCTTCCATAGTGAAGACGTGTATGTCCATTATTAAGCCCCTCCAGGTCAGGTATAAGCTTTGTAAGTTAAATAGTAAATATGAGTACACAAGAAGGCACACAAGCCTCAAGAAATCATATGCAGACATGAAGCGTGAGATACCAACGCAAAGGGCGATCGGCCAAAATGATACAAGATCTGAGCAAAAGCAGCACAGATCCAACGCTAGCCCTTCATCCAGGGCATAGCGGCTCCTAAACAAGAATAAGGAAATAACCAGTCACCTAGACCTTTTCCCGTTGAAGGTCATTGACAGTCATATATCTCCCAATAGTAATCCACCCCCACCGGAACCAAACCATCTGGCTCTTATGACAGATGACCATAGCGGACTGCGCAATCAACCACTCATTTATCGAGCTAACAAACAGCAGCCGCACAGGACCAGCCGCGGCATCCTTCTGCCTCGAGCCCGTCAACCCAGCAGCAAGATTACTCCACACACCAAGGAACATGGTAAGCGGCGCATCCAGCACACCCGCATATTTGCGGAACACGGACGTCGTAGTCAAGGTATACAGCGTGACAGGGCAAGTAAAACCAGCCTTCTCCTTCATGAGGGCGCGGATGAAGTTCACAGCGCCGTGGTACAGCGAGCGATGGTTAGGATGATTACTGATGCCATGCTTGTCAAAGGTAATGATGACATCGATAGTAGCGGTAGGGGCCTTTTTGGGATCGACACGCTTGCCGGGCAGCTTCTTCTGCGCAGCCATTTCCGGCGCGAAAGCCGAGGCCAGCAGCGACGATATCTGGCCCTCGTCCCAGTCCTTGTCCATTCCATCCGGGAAACGGTTCAAGTCGTCGACTATGAAGACGTCTGATTCGCTGCGCAGACCGAGCTGCTTGGCTGATTTCTGGAGCTCTTTTTTGCGCGTTTCGCCTAGGCCATCTGCGTCGCCGCTGCTGAGACAGAGGATCTTTAGGTGGTTGCCGAGCTCGGGCTTGGTGAGAGATAACACGGTGGGCGCGAAGAACATAGCTTCGTCATCTGGGTGTGCGATTAGGAGGCAGATGCGTTTGTTTTCGAGGCGTGGGAAGGATCGTGTGAAGGGTGAGGAGGAGGTTGATGAGAAGGTCCAGAATATGAAGACCGCGGTTATGGCTACTGCCAATGCGGTCCAGTTGAATGAGGTCGACATTGTGGTGTTCAATTGGTGTGGTTGGCGGGTTTGGATGGGTTGTCTGGAGATTTCGTGGGGTTCCTAGTTCCGGTTCTCCGTTGTTCCGAGGATCGAGGGTCGATGTAGAGTGGGGATACAGATTGTGCTGCTCGATTATATTATTTCTGGGGCTGTGGTAATTGGACCGAGACTGGTGCCATGTGGTGCTTGATTGTTATGTGGAATTGTTTATTGAGTGGATCAGAATAGACCAATTCCAAAGCATGTGTATGATGGGGAAATGCGAATCATCCCACTCGTGTTGATGCAGGGGTCAACTACTTCTGGGGATAAGTAACAATGAACCCCATGATGCTGGAGCAATCTCAGAAAGAACACGGTGGCTTGAGCTCCCATCCGGAATAGGGGAAGCTCAAGTGATTCCTATGACGATCCATCACCGGGTCACGTGTCGGCTTTCTATATGCCGTATACATGAAGTATTCGTACAATGCTTTAACAGCTTCTCTTTCTCTTCTCTTCTCTTCTCTTTTCTGCTTGATCGGTCAGTTTAGATAATATGATATGAGAGTGACATTTCTAAGTGCTCCGCACAACCATGTCTTGCCCATCAAATATTCTTGGCTACAATTTATGTGTAATGTCAATTTATTTGTCCCTCGCGATACATATGTGATGAAGATCTAAGAAAAGCAATTGAGAAGTCTATCTCGTTTCGTCGAGCCTGAGTAAGGAACATCAAGCACAAATATCCTCACCATCAGTCATTATCGGAAGTTATATATAGAAAAGTCTCTTACACAAGGTATGCCTTTTCCACCTTCTTCTGTCGCCTACCTATAAGAATGGAATGGGGGAAGATTATCTTGAAGATATCTAAGGAGAATATGTGAGAAGCCCGCCGAAAAGACCTATAAGACATTGTAAGACCCCATAAGCGGCCGTCTACTCTCGTATATAGGTACTAACAGAAAGGAAATATAGTAGTCCTTGCAATTATACATAATGCCTCGTAGGAACATGATCTTGCTTCTGCAGTGAATATTGAAAAGATATACTGTCACTAGGCCATTTACAATACATCCATTTAATGGTATGTCCCTGAGAGTCGGGTTTCTCAACCGCAAGACTGACCCTATACGTGCCCCGAACCGAATTCTCACTTGTTATTATATCTATTATCTATACTCCGTATACGGAGGACCTGAGTAAGCATCTCCCTCCTTATAAACAAATTCGAGTCTTAGCAGTAATACCCTTGGACAAACTAGCCAAGACCAACAAGTCCCACAGGGCCGCGCCATTGAGGAAAAACAGGATTAAACTTTGCTCTAATGTATCAAACTGCCTGCTTACGGTTCTATTGAAGATCTGATAAGACCTGGGACGCCAATATAAAAGGGTTTGAAATTATATTCTTGAGTCATACAAGGCTTAAACCAAAGCTACATGCGCCTCGTATCATATCGCTTGGGTCGGCCAACAACGATACCAACATATAGTTCTTGTTTTTGATAGACGAGCCTGGCCCAGTACCAATACTACATTAATTCTCGCGCCAAATCTTGCCACACCGCCAGCCAAATCGAAGACATTGCAATATCAAATCGGCTAGCCGGTATAACGATCGCCTCACTTGGGCACTGCCAAGCTAAATTTTAGCTAATTGTTACCCCAAGAAACGGCGGTCTCCGACGAGAACTAGAAAAAAAAAATCGAAAGTACGGTTTCTGGCCCCATCAAAGGTGGATGCAATTCCACAGCGCGATACAATCTGTACACATACATTCTTTAAGCCAAGGGAAAGAACACCCAGCGCAGAGAGTGAACCAAGGACAAGACGTTACCACAGCGGGCCGTGAGGCTAAAGATCTCACGTTACAACGGGCCGAGTATAAAGTTCCGAGTGGATGACAGAAAATTTCTGCTTTCCCGCGCTTAAGCGGACCCGGCCATTCTCCGGGACTTTTTCCATTTATATTGAATCTCAATCAGTTTTAGCTCTGCGGGTTTAAATCGCACCATTCAGAAATTCAAATAGTTGGAAAAAAAGAAAGTAATTTCGGAGTTACACAATGTGCATCACCTCTGCTTAGGGCTATCTACACTGTCTTATGACGAGATGGCGTTATTCTTTGGCATATGGCTGAATGTGCGGGAGCATATTGGACCATATTTCTCCACGATTGTACTTTGTAATTTTTCTCGAAGGAGTCAAATTCGGCGAATAATTAGACAAAACAAACGCTGAAAAAAGGGCGGAGAGAGATCGGAGAAGCAAGCCGAGATCGCCCCGAAACAGGAAGTTCGCCTGAGACGTTTGCCGATGCCCCTTTTAGCAACAATTATTGGCTAGTCCATCCGACGAGCCACCGGTCGACAGCCACTGATTTGCGATCGTGATTTCCGAGCCGTTGATCAAGGTTATTGACCATGACTATTTTCTAGCCTCGACATTGGTATACCTCTTGCGGCCAGTCCAGGGAGAAAGAGCAAGGAGATAGCATGGACCTACTTGATCCGTCGATAACTTGATCACTACTTCTTATTACCTAGATCAGGACAATGTTGCGCATCATACAATAGAGCTGAGCTAGGTAGATCGATCTACCTCTACGCAAATCATTAAAATCTCCGATGCAAGAGCTGACGTGCCCAGTGCAAGAAGGCACCCGAATGGCATCACCGTAGGTCTCCAAGCCCGAGACAGGTACAACGCACGCTATGGCGTGATCACTATCCTCAGCTCACTACCAGAGTTCCGAGGAAACGTCTCATCTGTACGGGTCCATACAAGCGGGCGAGTCAGGAATCCTGACCCGATGCACGAGCCCAAATAAGCCGCAATTCTTCAAGCTCCTGCATGTACACCACATGTCCGTGCAGTTCCAGTACCTGGGCACCCTGCGCGCGAGCTCGATGCTTATAGGTGAGGATGAGCGGTTACCTCCTGACGACGTTGTTGTTGTTAGGTAATTAGTGTACGTGGCGGGGATGATGATTCGCTATGGAGCAACCTTGGGAGCACGGATCATATCTTGACAGTGAAAGGGCTAGAACCTTTTGTTTTTGGATGTTCATTGTTCAGTTTGATATCTGATAGTCGAGATGCTTCATGTCTCTTCAATTTCACGGATCTCTCAGACCCCCGCAAAAGTCAAGGCTTGCAGTGCGGGGTAGAGGGCGTACAGGATAGGCGAGTCCCGTGGCCTCAAGAAAGGGACTGCTTCCCGTCCGTAAAGAGTCAAATCCACCGTAGTCCACTTTTATAGATCAGACGACTGAACAATTTGGGCGGTCAGAACGAAAAAAAAAAAGGAAAAAAGAAAAAATTTTCACGGTGGAGCTCCGTGAAGGGTCCTTTTCCATCGCGTTTTGTTATCCCAATGCGGAAAGGTGGATTGGCCATATTTAGGGCGACGCTAGTCGAAGATCCTCTGGAACCTTGGAAGGAGATGATGGCCGGTACGGTAATGACCCAGTATGGTATTGTTTGTCATTTACCTAGGTCTGGACATGTGGAATGTGTGGTCCATGACTGTCATTCTAACGCCATCACGCCACGTGATGGCTTGGCCTAACCTTGGATTAGCTACATCTGCTGTAGTCCAGGAGATATTGATATTAATAGATGTTTACAAAATATGGAACTCGACCATGAAACATGATACGCAAGTCGTGGCATTTCTAACCTAGGAAGTCAAAACACTACTCCGTAGCAATTAAAAAAAGACACCTCATCGGGCACATCTCCGTGTGTCCCGTCGGGCTATACGGTTATACGGTGCTTGATAATCTCAAGCCGGGGTAGTACTTCCGTCTTACTCTACAAGTATAGATCCTGTCATTGGTCACATTGGTCACATTGCCTACGTTGTATGTGATATATACCTAAGGTTTCAAGCAAAGCCCACATGCTAAGCAAAGCCATCTGCAATCTGTTGTATTCACCATACAAGCCGATTAGGCCATCGCCAACCTATCCGACCGGTTTAGCCGAACCGGTACATCGTGAGTCATTGCGCACGGCCGTTTTACGAGGGAGCTAAGAGTGGCATCATGTGCTCCCATTGACTGCCCTGATAGGGTCTAGCTCGGATTTTTATTGATGGTTCCTCTGTAATCGAAGTATAATGTATACACTGTTCAAAATGTGGGGTAGAAGTCAAAGTCAGGCGATGGCAAATTTGAGGCGTGTAATTTATGTAGTTTATATGTGTCCCTATATCCGATATTCTAAGATATATTATCTGGGCAATGGAATAACGTCTTAGGCCTGTTTGATCTAAGAAACTTTGAATACACCCATGCCTTGAATGAGGCATACACGGGTAGAATTGCGACTTCCAAGGTTCAAATAAGCCCGATGATCTCAGAATAACAAACAAATTGAATCAAAATATAGGGACCTTGGAGGGGTCAGATCACGAATGCAGTATTTTTGGTCATGACACAGTATGTGTATTGTCAGACTCCACAATGACGCTGTCCCACGCCCCACTTCCGAATTCTTTTCTTTTCTTTTCTTTTTCTAATTGAATGCGCCGGTACCTGGCAAGTGGAAACAGCAGTGGAAAAATTAGAAAAAAAAAGAAAAATTCCAAAATTCCAAAGAAAATTCAATTTTTCCTGGTTTACTTTTTAGTTTTCCACGGATTCAGTGAATTAGCACATGATTGTTCTTGCCATTCAAAAGCGGCGGGTTGCGCACTGAACAAGCTGAAAATCTTTTTTGGTAGATCTTCCCATACTTTTTCAGAGAACTATTATGTGCTGGATTGCTTCATCTGATTCTCAATTATTTCATCACCGTACTGCCTCTTGAACATCGAGATCCTATCACATCTAATTGGACCTCCACACCATAGCCAAGATGCCGGGCCGTCTGATTCCCAACCTGATGAGTTCCTTACACTCATCAGTCACCTCAACCCCCAGTCACTCCAACTCCTCGTCAACCGTCTCCGTCAATGAGATTCCCGGACATGCAAAGAAGCCAGCTCACAAGTCAGATCGCGCACGATCCCCAGACCGCCGTCTATCCTTCACCATGGATCACTTGATTCATCCTCTCCGAGACCACAGCAAAGAAAAGCGCCGCAGCTCAGGACGGGTAGCACGTTCCAAGGAGCGCTCCAGCCATGAAGTGCACCCACCAGCGGCGAAGCTGGATGTTCTGATCGAGTCCCCGCCACTGGTCTGCTATGGCCCGCCTGCCAGCTCTACTGGCGCACTCTTCTCTGGACGCTTGCGCATTGCAGTCCCTGAGCTGACTGATGGAGTCATCTTGAGTCAGTTCGATGTACGGCTCGTCCACAAGACCACCACCAAGAAGCCTGTCTCCAATCACTGCTCCCACTGTGCTAGTCGCACCGAAGAGTTGACCCAGTGGAACTTCATCACCGAGGATCTTCACCTCAAAGGAGGGGATCATGATTTCCCCTTCAGCTACTTGTTCCCTGGCCATCTTCCTGCTTCTTGCAATGGTGTCTTGGGCCAAATAGAATACTTCCTACTGGCGCATGCACGCAGCATCACCGGAGAGGAATATAGCCTCAAGCTGCCTCTGGACATTAGTCGGTCTTTGCTTCCCGGGCCAGACAAGTCCTCCATCCGCATCTTCCCCCCACTAATCTCACTGGCCGCATTGTGTTGCCATCCGTCGTTTACCCAATCGGAAACTTCCCTGTCGAGATGACCTTGAGCGGTGTGGTCGACAAGGGTGAAAAGACCCAGACCCGCTGGCGTCTTCGAAAGATGATGTGGCGCATTGAGGAGCAACAGAAGATTGTATCCACTGCATGCCAGAAGCACGCTCACAAGATTGGCGGCGAAGGCAAGGGTGTTTTGCACCAGGAGACTCGCGTCATCGGACACAACGAGGAGAAGACTGGCTGGAAGACCGACTTTGACACCGCTGGTGGTGAGATCACCATGCAGTTCGATGCGAACATCAACCCGGCTGCCAATGCCGTCTGCGACATGGATGCCCCGGGTGGTCTGGAAGTCAAGCACAACCTCGTCATCGAGCTCATCGTGGCTGAGGAGTTTTGCCCCAACGGCAACACCCGCCTCATCACTCCAACTGGTGCCGCGCGTGTGCTTCGCATGCAGTTCCACCTCCACGTCACTCAGCGTGGTGGTCTTGGCATTAGCTGGGACGAGGAGATGCCTCCAATCTATGAGGATGTCCCCGCAAGCCCCCCTAGTTATACCAAGCCCGATGGCGCCCACAGCTTTATTGAGGACTACAATGGCTCTCCACTCCCCGACTACGAAAATCTGGAGCGCATAGATTCCTTGCGACTGGACAGCAGTTCTACTCGCTCCACCATCTCCTCCAATCGATCTACACACGGCCGGTTGCCACGCTTTACCACTGACGACCTCGTCACTGGGCAATCGCCTGCTATCTCGCCTGTTCCCTCGCGCGCCCCTTCTCGCGCCCCTTCAATTGACTCCTCCCGCCAATAAAATCTCAAAAACTCCAACATCCTCTAATCAGCTGTCTTGATTATCGTTCTCCCATTATGACTTGACGATTCCCACGATCAACCAAAAAATTACCCAGTCACAACGCCTTTTACGTTCTACCATAATTTCTTATCGTTTTTTTCTTTCTTCGTGGATTTTGATCCTGTTTACGCATTACTTGAATCCTATCTCGATGGGCCTTATGACCCGCGACGAAAAGCAACTCGGCCATGGAAATAGTCAGGCTGCCACGCTTTTTTCGCACGGGTCTTGTTCCGCCAAGTTTGCATGATACCCATTCACATATGTTCTCCTGTGCATAATTCTTTTCTTCTACTACTTGTTCCTCGTTTTATCTCTGGATGGGTTGGTTATGGGCTCACAAAATATCCACATCTCACTCGCATTCGGGGTTGACTTTTAGTTGACGAATTTTCTCTCCTCATTGATACTTAATCAATTCATGATCATGATCTACAAGATACTCAATTTAATCTTCGTAACTATACCTACCGCTTAACATACTGATCAATCGAAATGCTATCTACCAACTCTGTTATATCAACTCGTTTGAAGATGTACTACTGGACTGGGCGATATACACACCATTTTGGATATCTGATATACTACAAGTCATCCAAACCAAATAACAAAATGTCAAGCATGGAAAAATCCCTCTATAAATTGTCTGATCTACTGCTCGAATTCTCTCCTTTAATATACATACTTCAACATACACGAAAGACACAAACACCAGCCATTCTATAAAACCCACATCAAACCCCCCAACAATCACCATCCCTTCCACGGAACCCAAGTTTCCCGAACAATATCCTGCTCATCAACAACATAATAAGCATAATGCATAGCAGCCGTAATGCAAGCATGCTGAATATAAAGCAAAACCTTATCCCCAACAGTAAACGCATCCTCCACCTTATCCCCATCACTAGACTTCGATCCCGTCTTCTCAACAAGTCTGTGCGTCTGATCTGACTCCGCCCACCCCAGAATCCCATGCTCCTGCGACATCCGCACAACGCTCCACTGCGCTCGATCAACAACCACCCCATACCCGGGGAACTCGCCTGTCTCTTTCGAGAGCGCGATAGTCCCCGCGTTGATGAGCGCCTCGTTGCGATCGGGATACACGCTGCAGACATCAGCGAGAATGCGCACCGCCTGCTGCGTCGGTTCCACGAGAGACGTCGAGACTTGCTGCAGGTCGTTGGTTGGGTAGTTTCCTAGCGTCTATGTCAGTTTCTCCGGTTTCATGTCCTGCGGTAGACTACGCGGGGTTGGTTATCACGAATCAAAACATACCAGCATGTAACTCCAACTCCATCCCCTCGAGCAATACCCCCTGGAGTCTTCTCACCACGTGTGCTGTGGGCGTTGATCCCACCGACACCACGACCCTTCGATTGGATTTCCCGTCGACCAGGACTCTAGCTGCTTCCGCTACGCCCTCGACTTCGCTCTGGAGAACCGCAGCTGCGGCATCCTCCGTACGACATGCATATGAATGCCCGGCATGGCAGTAGAAACCGTATACGGTAGCTGCAGACGATGACTCGATGCGCTGGATCAATGTTGGGAGGGATGGTGAGTCGGTGACCATTCCTGCGCGCTGGGAGCCGACGTCGATCTTGATGAAGACGGGCCATGGCGCTAGGGGAGAAGGCGATTTGGAGGCGTAGGATTCGAGGAGATCTACCTGTTGCTCGCTGTCGATCATTAGGATGATCTTTAGGGATTCGTTTAAAGTCTGGAGGAAAGGTAGGGCGCTGGCTGAGACGGGTAAGCCGTAGAGACACTGTTATGGGGCTTAGCTGATGCAATCTCATTGAAGAGTATGTCCCACAACGCACCTCGTCTAGTTTGCCTTCCTTGACTAGATCGAGGCAACCCCGGATCTCGGATAGGGTTGATGCGACGATGCGACGGTGTATGCCGTCGCCCAGCATCATGCGAGTCACCTCAGTACACTACATGTCCAACGATATTAGTACATCGCTTGAAGGTCAATGTTGGGGTGGAAACGGTACCTTGAGTGTTTTGACATGGGGCCGAAACTCAATTCCCAACTGTTTGACATCATCTAGCAAGATCTGGATGTTCTGCTCCAGTACGGGCTTGCTTAGGATGAGAGCTGGGGTAGGAAGCTCGGAGACCGAACGGCCAATGTAGGAAGCGTGATTCTGCAGAGAATAATCCATATTTGACAGGTTTAACAGAATGAAAAGGGGTCAAGGACAGAGATCTCGACGGCGGATTTATGTGAGCCGATAGTGGGGTTCAACGATAAGGCGTGGGGGCATTTTGTCTTGTGGGGATGGGAAGTTTGTAATGGACAGAAACATTGATGATTGGGATATTTAGAGAAGGAAATGTTCGAAGGTTGCATTGTTGTTCTTACACAGGTTGTGGTTTCGATCACTCCATGGAAAGGGGATCTCTAACAATTACGCATACATCAATGAAGCCCTATATAAAACCTGAATCGGCTTTGCGATACAGAAAAAGGAAGATCCATTTTCATTCCTTGTCTGACTATCGAGGTAAAACTCTCATTTCATAAAAATCATTGCCCAGTTAACCACATTTGCTGCTCACGGATAAAACACGCACGAAAAGACTTTGTATTGGCCAATGGGTTCAACTTTCCTTCATTTTCTCAACATTGGGTCGAGAAAAATTTGGCCAAGCACCGCAGCAGATCGTTTTGTTGTGGGCCCTCATCTTTGGGGGGGATCTGGGAACCAATATCGATAGAAACCCCTGTGTCGGTATTTAGCTTTGTATGTTCGAAATCAAACGAAGCCAATTGAAGAGCACTACCTGTAGGCTCTCTGTACACGCGGTATGAGAAGAGGGATAACGATTTCAATCCAGATGAGGGAAATGGCGTATATGACGAAGTTAAACCGGAACCACATCCAGAAATGCCTATCAATGATCTCCAGGGCATTCTCATGTAGATGAAGGAAGACTTGTGCCCGATATTGCTTATTGACAGCCGAGGATATGGCAGGAGCTTTGTGTTCATATCCAATCGCTTGTAGTAACAGGCCTGTTGAACGACTACGAGAGGTCAGCATAGTCCACAATGAGAGTGATGTTTGGAAAGCACTTGCAGCGAGGCAAAAAGCATGAGGCAAAGCACACTGGCCATGCAAAGAACAAGGAATGTTCCCAGAAATGCCATGTTGCACCAGTGGTGAAGATGTCAAGAGGAAACTCTTCTCCTCGACGAGCTTCATGGGAAAGTTTGACAGGCACGTGCTCCAGCCATATCAAGCAGTGGGTTTTGGGTAAGTGCGACTTCACATCGGAATGATTTCGTGAGCATAGAAGACAGTTAGGGAAGATAATCAATGTCCGCTGGGGCAACGTAGTCAAACCAAACTGGGGACGTTGTACATGAAAATTTGTGACGCTCTGAGACTGGAATGTTATATCCTGCTTAATGTATAAATTTGAGCTTTACATAAGCGTTACTTTTGTAGACCTCAGTCCTTTTGTTCGATCCAAGTCCTAAGTCACATAGTCTTGTACGTTCAGAACCAATGGGCTGGTAGCAACAGTCAATTCAAATCAATCAGTTGGTGATGTTGTCTGTCTGTGGGTTACTTCGAATTCTTCATAAATGGTGCATCAGCCAACGCATTGGCCTGTATCTTCCAAATTGCCTTGCCCAACATCACGAGTTCCAACCCAAAGTCCGCGAGCAATGTATCTACAGATGGGTCTTCATCCAAGACCACCTTGCCATATTCTTCATCGGAGGCAAACGTAGCAACCCACCACATTATCTTCCACCGCTTGACCGCTTCAATAGCCTCTGGATGTCGGCTGTCAACATCGGTAGCAACCATGTAAAAAGATGATCGCTTAGCGTGACCGCTCTTTGGCTTGAAAAGCCGGACCGACGAGATCTTATGAAACGTCCAAATGAGATTCACAGTATTCCATGCTTCAAGCCTGTGCAGAAGAACGACTATGGTGCCACCAGGCTTCAGATGCTGAAGACTCAGAGCAAGCTGCGTGGTGACCAGTCTTTTTGCTTCCCGGCTCTCTCGATAAGGGGCGCGTGAATGTTGTCTCAAAACCTGGCCATCACATATGACCAAATCAAAAAGCCGGTCTTCCTCAAGTTGTCGGGGCAAAAAGTTCTCAGCGTCTTCATGCCCTTCGGGGATCTCGCCTGCATCCATGTCGACAGCAAGCATGGTCACGTCGAGAAACACTCGCTTGAAATTCAAGCCACTTGGCAGACGGCTTTTATACCCCCCACAGGAGGCAGGTAGGCTGAAAGCCAGAGCGTGTGAGCCTGGGTTCTTCTTCAATGCTATCTCAAGGAATGCACCAGGGGCCATGCACATGTCGAGAATGGCAGGTGGAGTTGAATCAACTCGTTGGACTTTAAAAGCATTGGTTTCTGTATCGATTTCGCGTCCTATTGTTTTCATCAACTTATGGAAGTAAGCTGATGTCGTTTTGTCAGACTTGTCGGCATTTCGGCGCATTTTCGCGAAGTATTTATCGCCTTCCGGGGCTTCCCATCCCTATTAGCAAGATGGTGAGTATTATGTATGTATCATATATGAGCTGGTGTGACTGACCCTCTTTCTCACCTCACTGAGCTCTCGGAACTCTGGACTCTTTTCCAGCAGGTAGGGTATAACGGACTTGCTTGTTTCGGCAGAATCTTCTGTAGATTCCTTAGTCAACTGAGGGTCGTTAGTCTGGCTCTCAGGCAGGAGAGCAGGGACTTCCACCTGTGCTTGACTCAAATCAACTGGCGCCATGATTTGACAACTAGACTTGAGATTGTTCCCACCAGGGTCATTAGTAGGGTAGAGAATAGGTGGTTGTGAAATCAACCTATCCTGAGTATGGAGATGGTTCATATTTATGTGAATTTAGATTATTTGCTTTGTTGTTTGCACGTCACATTGCGTAATGTCTGCATGTGTTTAACACATGCCTCTACCTAGATTAGGCCTCTACAAAGCCCATAAGGCCCCCATTGAAGCCCATCCCGCTGTATTAATATTATCTCGACATACATAAAGTAGCTGATTAATGACTGTATTTTACGTATGTTCCAACCTACCTACCTAGGTATCCATTCACTTAGTTATATATGATTTTCATCAAGTTTGATTCCTCTCCATAAATCTACTTCCTCTCTCCTTCGTATTTCTCCCCGTCCTATTATCACCACTGAGATCGTTTTTATCTTTGAATTTACTTACAGATTTACAAGGGAGGAAGAAAGTGAAGAATAAATAGCTTTATATTCAACTTTTATGGTGATTGAAATACCCAAAAAAACCAGCAAAAATGTATTAATTATGCAGTGGTAATAAATTGGTAAGTTTGTATTGTTTGATCAAAAACGGGGGCCCATTATGAGCCTCAATGGGCCCTGTGGGCTCAAGGTGTATAAGCCCATAGCCCAACCCATTAGTGGGTTGGGTTGGGTTGGGTTGGGTTGGGTTGGGCTTTGGGCTTTGCAGAGGCCTAATCTCGATATACTAGGACGGGGATCCAAATCCATGTGCTAATCTCCAACTTGCCGGAAAAGCAGGTATAACCAATCTGTAGGCTTGAGTCAATCATATACACGGGCTTTTCACACGCAAGCCCTCATTTAAAGATATTATGGGTGCGGTGATGGCCAGGACATTTGGTCTGCTTGGGTACAGCATGCTTAGGATTACAGGAAAGTCTCCTTTGTTTTAATTTCGTTGATCAAGTCATTTGTGCTTTTTATCTGTTTTTGTGTATGAGATCTCATGAGTTCACGTCGAAGTAGAGCAAGACAGAGAAAAGTCAACAGCAAGGTGAGCCATGATCGAAAGGCGCTAAAAATGGTGAGACAAGGATATTACCAACTCCAAAAATGAAAACTCCACGAATGTTAAAACATGACAAAAATGCCCCTCGCATGGGACTCTCGCAATGCAGGAATGGGAAACGGGAAAAGAAAAGTGAAAGTTCGGCATGCTGCGTGGACGGACTTGAGAGACACGGAAGATCATTATAGTCCCTCGCCACGAAGAAGGCGCCGAAGGATTCCTTCTCCGGGACCAACAATCTGACTCTCGATTTCCTGCTGGGAAACGAAGCAGACAAGACCTTGTTCGTCAAGGGCCTTATGGGGAGTCGAAGGCGCACCAGATTTGGAAGGTGTACGGCGTGGATCCGTGCCGCCTGCGACAGTTCCGCCTCGGCCGCGACCCTGATACTCCCCAACCAGGCCCATTGTTTCCAAATTGCTGAGAACGTCTTTGAACTCAGTAGCGGTCAAGGGGTGAAGAATGTTGTCATTGCGGCATAAAGCACAATATGTGTCGAATGCTTGCTTGATAGTGGGAGCAGAAGAACGTGACTTAGAAGGCGTACTTGGAACTTCAAGCTGGCGACGTTTGCGTTCAAGTGCGATCAGGGAGCAGATAGCGGCTTTTTGTTGTAGGTTCAAACTTTGAAGTCGTTGAACAGTGCCCTGGCCAAAGGCTGCGGATGTGATTCGGGCAATGTGGGCGATGCTGGCTCGGGGTGCCGTGATGACTGTGTAGCTTGACATGGAAGTTGGCTTCGGAACGGTGTTGACTTTGGCAGGCGAAGACAGATTGGCGTTCTCTCCCAATACTGAAACGTTATCGGCTTCCTTAGCTTGCTTATCCAACTTTTGAAATGTCTCTTGTTCAATGACGTCGATTGCCCGTTTGATCAACTCAAAGGCCTTGCGGAGATCGCCTGTCTGCGAGGCTACCTTCTTGGAGCAAAGTTGGATGGCAGCTGGTTGAACAAAGGGGACAAGCTTGGGGTCGGATTCTGCTCCAGCAGGGAGCAATGAGCGAAGACGATTGGTCATGACGTTTGCGATAGATGCAGCACTGTACGGCAAGAACGGCAGCAAGCGAGGCTTGAGATTCTTCGCCTTCAGCTGTGGGAGAGATCGGTCAGTCAAATCAAGGGCGTTAGCGATGCCAATTAGCATCAGCCTGGACTCGCTTTGCAATGACCACTCGAAAAGTGACTGCAAAACCCCTGAATCACCATTGAGCAGGTGGTCAATCTCGTCCAAACTGACCAGGAACAGATCTTGCCCTTTCTTAGATGGAATGAACGTGGATTTTAAGCGATCTCCCTCGCTCTTCTTGAACATATCCGAGTCCCCACAGAAATCTTGGACCAGTCTACTGTAAACATCACGAGAAATTCGCATGCTTGCACAGTTTACATGTGAAACTCTGACGTTGGAAAGGTCAAGATCTGCACACACTTCCTGGACCATGGCGCTCTTTCCAGTCCCTGGGGGACCGCTGATATAGAGGCATCCTCCTTTCTGAGATTCCATTCCCTCTGTGATAAAAGATACCAACTTTTCCCGCTCTGCATCGCGCCCCACTAAACGGCCGGAATTGGAACCCCGGGCGAACAGTTGCCTGGCTTGCGAATACACCGAGTTCACAATTTTGGGAGTGGCACTCTGCCTGGGGGTCGGGGGAAGATCGGCATGGCGAGGGGTGCGCGGTGTTACTGCCTTTGCTCCGACCTGCACTCGATGCCTAGGGGTGATGGGTGATTGCGGTAGATCATCTCGGAATCGCGATTTTGAAGGAGTCTTGAACTCGAACTCAATAGGTTTCGTAATTTCTTCTGCACATCCGGTCAGCGCTGCCTCAGACGCACTACCCAATTTTTCCAGCTTACCATCTACTGATTTCGAGACGGTAAAATGCGAATTGATCTTGACTGGAGATTTGAACTGGTCATCGCGCAAGGTATGCTTGGAAGAAACATTCTCCGGGACTGTCTTGCTCTCGCCATTTTCTTGATCAGGTTCGACCGCTTTATTTACAGTTGACCTTGTTCGCCGTAACGAGGTTGGAACGGTATCCTGTTGGTGAGCTCGGGGAGCGACTGTTCGGCGCTTGCTTGCGGTTCGTACCGGCAATGCTAGAAAGGTCAGAAATCGAGGATAAGGGAGGAAAGTGGGATGGATAATCTTACCTGCTTCCACAGCACGAGTGCGCTTTCCTAAGACTGTTCCTGCCATGGCTTGACGTAAACAAAAAACAAGATAAGAACAACAATCGCAGTTTCCGTTGAAGTTAGGAAGAATGTCAGGAAAGAGGGCCCAGCGCCCAGTTAGGAAATGTAATTGGCAAGCTCCACTGCTGGGGGCTATCGTGCAACGCGCTGGACGCGTCGCGCGTGCTTTGGTCGGGCATATCTACCACTTGTGCACTTCTTCGGGGATTAGTCAGCCGCGTCACTGGTCCCGGGGCCACCTCAGGTATCGATGATAGTCTCATGTGCGTTCCGAATCAAAGATGACGAAATTCTTTCAGCCTACATGAAGCTAGACATTCCTTTTCTGTTTGTATTTTCCCCTTAGTCCTCACCAACCTCTTTTGTGGGACCTATAACATAGTGATCTGCTGGTTTGCAGTAGTTTGCACCAAATCTCGCTCCCCACATAACACAACCTCCGAGTCTTTGCCCCATTTATACTACACCTAATCATTCAGTGGGTATCCGAAGTCAATCCTGTCTAGCTTTCATCTCTAAGACCAAATTCTTTCTCAAGGAACCTCAGACGACACGCTGCCACTATGGAGAACGACGTGATAGCTCAGTTCACCGAAATTACCGGCTCCACGCCGGAGCTGGCTATACAGTATTTGCAGATCACCGAGTTCCAAATTGAACAGGCCATGCAGCTTTACTTTGAAAGTGGAGGCGCACCTTTAACCGGTGAACCTTCTCAGCCTTCTCGTCGGCCTGGGATCCCAGACAATTCCGAGGTGGTGAATATTGACTCGGACACTGATGACGATACCCCCCAACACTCCGCCCCGCCAACATTCGATGACGACGAGGCTATGGCTCGGCGGCTTCAGGAGGAAATGTACGGCGGTCCAGGTGGTCCAGATAATGAAGATGAGGTGAGGGCGCCGTTGGCGCGGACAACGGAGACTTTGGTGGGGCCCGGAGCGGACTATGACAGTGGCGACGACATGCACGCCAATATTCTCAGCCAACTACGAGCTCGTCAACGAGGAGGTAGGTGCTGTTTGGTGGTTTCGAAATTTCTACTACCTTGAACTGACACCTCTCTCTAGGCCGGGTCGGAATCTTCAACCAGCGAGAGCCATCTTCGATATGGACCGGCGGTGATGAAACTCGTCGTGAAGAACTCTCTGCCATGACTGGGGGCGCATCGGATACATCATCCAAATCCAATATGCTCGCTGAAATGTACCGTCCGCCTTTCGAGATCATGTCACGACTGCCTTGGGATGTGGCGCGCGACGAGGGAAAGGAAACCGAGAAATGGCTACTTGTCAATGTTCAGGATGCATCAATTTTTGACTGCCAGGTTCTGAACCGTGATTTGTGGAAGGACCGTGGAGTGCAAGATACCGTCAAGGAACATTTCATTTTCCTGCAGTACTCGAAAGATGACCCCCGCGCGTCTTCCTACCTCCAATATTACTTTCAGGGAAGCGACGTCTCCGACAATTACCCACACATTGCTATTATCGACCCTCGAACTGGTGAACAAATGAAGATCTGGTCTGGACCGCCTTTGGTCAAGCCCGCCGACTTTCTCATGCAACTTCACGAATTCCTGGATCGCTACAGCTTAAATCGCAATGTGCGTAACCCTGTCGCCAAGCGCAAATCCGACAAAAAAGACAAGAGCGTTGATGCCATGACCGAGGAGGAGATGATGGAGATGGCAATGAGAAACAGCCTTGGGGGTGCAGCAGAAGCTGGTCCGACACTCGAAGACCCCGATGACTTGACGCGCAGTACGGACAATGTTAAAGGCAAGGGTAGGGCTACCGGTGAGGAAGATGTCATCATGGACGAACCGGAGCCCGCTGCCGTAGCCTCCCCATTCGCGTCCATCCCCAGCGATCAACCACACACTGAACCTGCTGCGGACCCGGCCACAACTACACGCATCCAGTTCCGACACCCGTCTGGTAGAGTCATTCGACGCTTTTCGTTGTCTGATCCCGTTCAGAGAATCTATGAGTGGCTCAAGGCCGATCCTCCCTTGGAAGATAAGGCCGGGCTTGAGTTTGACCTGAATAGCATGGGACGCAATCTCATTGATCAACTTAACACCAGCATTGCAGATGCAGGACTGAAGAACGGCACTGTGATGATTGGATATGTGGAAGAGTAATACTCTTACTGTCTTGATCTTTTCGTCTTACCATCACGCTGCAATGTTTTCTAGGTTTCTGTAAAGGCGTTGATGGAAATGAATTGGATCCCGTGGGATCTTACCCTTTGTTCCCAGGCTGGGATTTGTCATTTCCGGGGGTATCTCTCAATCTAAGAGGCTTTTCAGTTGTTATTGCCAACCTTGAGGCCTAATACCAAAGCTTGCCTGGAAACCATACAATGAATCATGATAATCAATGTGGTACCAACTTACGAAACATGAAAACAAAGATATGTATGGAGAGTACCGAAGTAGTGTAAATTTGTAGAGCTACTTCTGCATAAGGAGATGGGAAGAGGTTGGAACATTAACATAGGATTAATTGGTTTGATGTTCCCAATAAGGAAACCGGTTATACACATCACTTTTTGTATTGCGGTCTCACAAGTACTTTTCATGTCCAATCTTTGTCTGACGGTTTCTCTCAAGAGTAGTGAGGTTGGGATATGAAAGAACTAATTGTTATTTAGCGAAGTCGTGCGATCTATATAATCAAGGTGCCTCTATGTAGACTTTATACAACGATGTACAGCGACCTGCTCTCCGATCGATACAACCCCAGAACGTAGCAAGTGTCATATAATTCTTATTTTTTTATGCCCACAATACACAATTGACGATTATATCAAAAACAAAAGTACAAACATGCTTCCATTCGAACATTCCCACTTAAGAAAATATCAAATTTGAGAGTTGAAATGATGGAACTTCCAGGAGAGAATTGGATATGGTGTATCCTAGCATCTGACTCTCAATATCAAGTCCAATTGATAACTTGGAGCCTTTCCTTGCAACTCGACACCCGGAGGGTACAACGTTGTTGGACTCGGAAAGCCATAGATACACCGCCCCCAGATAAGCAGCGGCAAAATAAGCCCCCCCCCGCGTCGATAAACAAGCAAGGGCAGACGACATGGATATCCCTGAGAAATCCGGGGCGTGAGATGAGTTTTGTGAAGAGTATGCCACAAACGATTTGCATTCTCACAATCACCCTCGCTGCACCTGCTCCGATTGAACAATTGTCTTTGTTTACCAGTTGACATCTTATCAATGAGCACCCAAACCATCAGCACCCGTCTCTTCTCTTCTCTCTCTCCTTTGCAGTCTTGAAATCTTGTAATCCCAAAAGGCATTCAAAGGATCTTATCAATATCAGCAGATTGATCGGATTGCAACGCTATTCCATCCCAGGGAGCCACCCCGAGTCCACTTCCAGGTGCCGTCATGTATGGCTCAACCCCACACTCCGTCCTTGTGATAGGTGACTGCCAGTCATGAATCTGACAATCCTTCATTAGCATCAACATATTGAAGCTTGATTTATGTCTATCGTTGTCCTCCAGCGACTTGGATAATTTGCCACAATGCCACCTCCCATCGATCCAGAAACCATTTACACCAAGCAAAGTTGTATCGGTAGGTGTTCCGGTCCTTGGGCGTTGGTAAGTCGTGAACTTCAGAAGATTGCTGACTGCTTTTTGATTTCTTAGGCGGCGGAAGCTTTGGTAAGGTATTCAAAGGGCAAGTCTAAGACCTTCCATATCAACGTCTTGGTTCAACAAATCGCTGACCTAATTCGAATGATTAGTCTGGATAGACGCACTGGAGAATCAGTGGCTATCAAAATTATTGACGTCGAGAATGCCGAGGATGATGTCGATGATATCATCAAGGAGATTGCCATCTTGTCTGAGCTGAAATCACCCTATGTCACCAAATACCATGGCTCATACTTAAAGGGCTCTCACCTGTGGATCATCATGGAATTCTGCGCTGGTGGTAGTTGCCACGGCCTCTTGCGACCAGGTGTGATCCACGAGGAGTACATTGCCATTATTCTTAGAGAGCTTCTGCGGGGGCTGGACTATCTCCACAGTGACCAGAAGCTGCACAGGGATATCAAAGGTACGAACACCTCAGTTGATAGAGAGGACGATTTACAGTAACTGACACTTGTGATTACAGCTGCCAACATCCTTCTCAGCGCGAGTGGTCAAGTTAAATTGGCGGACTTTGGCGTGTCGGGACAACTGTCGGCAACGATGACCAAGAAGAATACCTTCGTAGGTACTCCATTCTGGATGGCTCCCGAAGTTATCAAACAATCTGGATACGATTACAAGGCCGATATTTGGTCCTTGGGTATCACGGCAATTGAACTGGCCTGTGGTGACCCGCCTTACGCCGATATCCACCCAATGAAAGTGCTGTTCTTGATTCCCAAGAACCCGCCCCCAACATTAACAGGCGACTTTAGTAAGCCTTTCAAGCAGTTTGTTGAGCTTTGCTTGCGCCGGGACCCTAAGGAGCGTCCGTCAGCCAAGGAGCTTTTGGAGCATCCGTTCGTGAAGCGTGCCAAAAGAACAAGCTACCTGACAGAACTCATTGAGCGCGCCGAACGTTGGCAAATAACCCATCGAGGTCAAGAAGACGACGACGAATATGATGAGTATGATGACAGAGAAGCCGACCAAACAGCAAAAGACAGAACTCAGGAAAAGGAAGACCTTTGGGACTTCGGCACTGTTCGTCCTGTGGGAAAATCACATGCCTCCCCTTTACGCCCAGTCACCAAAGGGCCAGACAGCAATGCGCGAACAAATGAGACAGAGGAGTGGGATCTGTGTGATGCAGCACCCCAACAAGCCGGAACAACCCAAACCCAATTACACGCTCAAGTGATTCCAGCAGAACCAGCAAACCCTGCTTTCAATGTTTCTCCCACCAAAACCCCCCTCCCTCCCTCTGCACCATCTTCCCCTCTCAAGCAACGCCCCTCCCAGACTGTACTTCCTCCACGCAAAGTCGTGTCTCCAGTGGCTACCAAAACCGCAGTGGACAGCCCTTCCATAAGGGAGTTGAACGGACAATACACACAGGCAACGCCTCAATACCCAGGAAAACTTGATACAACTTCTCCAGCCAATTCTGGCTCCGTGGTTAGTAACCAAGGCACCCCTTCCAAACAATCCTCCCTCATTCCCCTTCACGACCAACCCCGCACTCCATCTGGTCAAATTCTGCATAGGCCAACTCCACTTTCTCGCGCCATTGCTGATTCTCTGGGACAAAAGCCACAATCTCCGCGCATTCCTCAGGCTGCACTACCTCTGGGACACCAACCACAGTCCCCACGTGTTCCTCAGATTGCTCTTCCAAGACATACAGATCCACTGCAACAAGGAAAGCCAGTTTCCGGACTTAAGTCTAAGCGCGCAACAGCAAACGTAGATGACCGTGCTTTTCCCCACCGCTCCACCCCTCCCACACCCACTTCCAGCGAGCAGAAGCGTTCCCCCGACCCCTCCCTGAGGCTGAGCGGGCAACTGCCTGTGGAACTGTGATCCTCCCAGCCCTCCGTGCAGCAATGGATCGCCGCCGCAACCACCTCGTCCGTCTCGAACCCGGACGTAACCCTAACGACCCCCCGCCTACGCCAGAACAGGAGAAGGACTTCGACCGCAGTGTCCGCATCCATCATGGTCTGGAGAAGGTTGCCGAAGACATTGCTCGAGCTTTCAGTAACCTCCACCACTGGGATATGGAGAGTCCTGTCGACATGGGTGGTGGTGTTGATGCTGTTCTTGACGCATTCCTCGAGGAGGTTCTTGTCCGGTTGCAGCCCAATACTGGCGTGTGATGGAGGCGTTTGAATTCTGTTTTGAGTAAAGACGAGCGTTCTCGATGGAGTTCGTAAGCCCTGTGCTTTGTATGGTGTCACTCGCTTTTCTTTGTTTTTGGAGGCCTTTGTCTCAAATGCTTTCGTGTGTACGTTGTGTGTAGTAGTTAATACTTCATATGGGTCTCTTATCTCTGCTCTCACTTCTTGCTCTTATTTGTATGACTATTCGATTGATTATGGTGTTCTCGCCTACTCCTCGACAAAGGGACTCGCTGATTAGGGCGCACGTGAGAAGACCGATTGCTGGGCAAATACTGATCTCATCTAGAATTTCCCCTGCTCTATTTAAAAGTCGGTTACTTCTCATCACTAAGTGTTTCAAAGTACCTATTTTGTACAGGCAAAAACAATCACTCAGTGAGAATTAGAGAGAATTTTCATCTCACAACCATGGAAAGATAATTTACAAGATGTCCCTATTTTTGTCTCAAGAATCGGTAATAATGTCAATTTCCAGTCTGTTTCATTCATCTCCCGGGGTCTTTATCATCACTGAGCTCATCATTCTCCAAGACTCTAGCCATCGACAGTCCCCACGCCTCGGCTGTCTTCTTACTTTTCACAAACCACAGGAATAGCTCGGCTTCATTTTCTTTTTGCAACCCTCTTCATCGAGGATATCTTGCATATGACTTACCGTCGTCCTAGACGTCGTCGTTGGTAACACCTTTTTTTCAGCTTGGGTCACAAGCTTATATGATTCCTCCAATCTCAAAAGCTCCTCAGCCTCGGCCTTTTCGCGTCATCAGCACGACCTCATGGAGTTCAGGCGCAACTTAGACCCAGGAAGGACTAATGATGTCAGGATACCACTAATTTATCCAAGCAAAGCGGCTGAAATGTGAGGTCTAGCCATGAATCTCCCCACCGCCTGAGATTTTGCATCTTACGCCAACATGAGGATGGAGCTTCGTATTACGTTGATACTTCCACCCATTGAGCAACACACCCTTTCCCACGCACAATGGCTCTCCCCGACATCCTATGCCTCATCAACCCTACTCACAGTTACTCTCTCCACTGCCTTGACTCCTCAAATCAACCTGCTCTTCCTCTCCATATCCCATCATCATGCCGTGTAAGCCCTTCTCACCGCTTCTATCTCCCTTCGGCAGGGCAATTACTTCGAGTCCAAATCGAAGGTTCATTGCTTGCTTTTTAAAAGCTCCTTCCAGGGGTTTCATGGCACATTACCCCCAGCTTTCCTTTGCCTGGCGGTTCCAAGCTAGCAGAGCTAGCGTTCCGGGCAATCTACCACCAAAATATACGGCCGAATGGCACTGTGGACATGATAGTGCGGGATGAATACAAAGGTTGTTTGGTAGAGGCCAGACCAAAGGGAAAACTTATTCTCATACATGATTCTTTCTTCGATAGCCTATGCTGACACCTTTGCACTATAGGATGAGAACATATTCATCGAAATTGAGGTAAGAAGCAACAGCCCAAGGCGTAAACGAGGTGCATACTGTGCGCCTATGATGGTCGGAAAAGCCAATCAGTCTCCGGCGTCGGGATCAAGTAGTTGGTGATGTTGAATTCATTCGCGTTGGAGGAATGACCACCATCGTCTACTGAGCCAGGTGGAGGCGCGGGGCTAGCGTCCGTCAATCCATGAATCGACATCGGATTTGGCACAGAATCTGAGATCTCCAATTGAGTCGACGTATTCAAGTCAGAAGCCCGAGCAGGAGGAACGCGGGGTACGTTGAAGAATCCAAACACATCAAGGTACTCGAGCTCGTTGGGTGCCAAGTTGCGGGCGGGAATTGACGCTAGGGGCGGCCGGGGCTGGTGGCTCTCGCCAATGCCATTGTCGGCAGGTGATTCACGTGGTTGACGCGAGATCAAAAAGTCCAGGTCAAATGCACAGCGACGCATATCAGCAAGAATTTTGACTGTTGAGGGTGTGGATCGTTCGCCGTCTATGGCAGTCGATTGCTGATACTCGTTGTACTCATCCAGGACGCGTTGGAGGATGCTGCTGTATCGCTCCGCGACTTTCCAGTATTTTCCCAACTGGAATAGAGTGTCCACGAAGAAGATGATATCGGGACTGACGGTATGTGCAATAGTTGAGCCGTGGACAAGAAGTAGGCGTGCTGAGACCCAGAGCGTAAAGGCAAAGGGCGGGCCCATCTTGTCTAGCATGTTGTGCTCTACAACGATTTTTGTGACCGACAGAATGTTTTCGACAGCTAGCAGGCATCGCTGGCTGGCACTATACGAGGGTGTAAATATTGGAGACCGGGTTGTTGGGTATGCAGCCGAGGAGTGCAGACGAATTACAGCTCTGAAGCGGTTGACTCGTTAGCTGCCTGGAACATATAGACAAGATGTGGAGTACTCACGTTTGGTATGTTGCATGCAACTGCACCCAATCGCTATGCGGAGCCCGGCCATGCTTGGACCCACTGAAGAGTCGGGAAGAGTTTTCGTAGGCATACTCCGGTGGGAGATTGAACTCCCATGATGTGAGTTCACTGTCAAGTTTGCGATAGGTAGCCTGCCAATCCCCGACATCAGAAAGAGCTCCAATATCTACGGGCCGTTTCAAGAACAGGTGAATCCGCGAGAGGATACCCAAGATTTCAACATAGAGACCGAAAGACCCAACGTTCTCGGCTTTATTGAGATAATCCGCACGGTCACTGGAACATTGGAACCAACGCGTCTCAACGGGCTGATTCCTCACAAAATAATCATCCTTACAAGGGAGTTTGCGGTCGATATCTCTGTCGTCCAAGGCAAAATTGAACGCCGTCGCAAGGGTGGAATATCGGTCCAGCAAGTAGACCATCCAGAATAAGCGGCGCCTACTCTCATCTTCGATCCAAGAGTTAGGCTCCGAAAGAGTGACAGCCCTCAGGGTGTAGATCGAGGGATAGATGGGATTAATAAGAGATGACTTTGATTCCACAGCCAACCCTAGCTGAACTACAGACCGGGTAATCAGGGCGAGTAGCTTCCAACCAGGCGGCCCATTAGAAGACCCAACCAAGTCAAGAGCTAAAATCACAAGTGCCTGAAGTGCCTTGACCGAGGAATTTTCCAGGCCATACAAGACAACCTTTTGTTTAGACGAGTCATGATAGCGTTTTCTGTTCTGGTCATTAAGCCTGTTGTCAGAGGAAAATCGCAGAGTTGTTGCTACGATTGCATATAGCACCATTCGGTCTGCCTCATCTAGTGGTGAAGGGCCAAAAAAGGTATCCAGGGTTGTTCGCCGGTGGAGGATCGGGCACCACGAGTTGATATGTTCGAAATAGAGATCTACCAAAGCATAGAGCAAATCGTACGGTGGTAGATCCAGATCGGGGTCAGTGAGAGATTGCTCTTGGCTTGAGTATATGTTGACAGGAACCTTCAAAGACGATTCGTTTCCTGCATAATCGTGATGTGCGGTTTGGGCATGTAACAATTGACCAACTGGCGCTACTGACATGTCGTGTTGCAGGTGATTATGTGAGGCATTCTTCACGGAAACGTCTGACGGACTGTTGGTAGACACATCCGCACGGCGTGAGGGCAGAGGAACAGCAGACCCAGGGTCGTTGAAGTAAAGAGCCGTACTGGGACTGGGCCCATGAATTGCAGACGGCTCCGACGGAGAGCTATATGAAAGAGGCCCCGCATGTGGTAGCTGGTGAGCCATTGAAGACTGGTTTTGCAGTATATGCATCTCAATCAGCCGAGCTTGCGATTGGATAATGTCTTCCAATCGATCTGAGGTACGAGTGAGACACAATTTCAATGACGAGCAGATTGCATATCAAGTTACCAAGTCGTTGTTCCAACTCCTTTCCATACCCAGCTCTTAGCCCGGGCTTCTTCCGTTCCCTATATTCACACTGGTGGCCATTTCGGGTGCACCAGCCACAACTCGGTTGTATTCGGTCTGATTGGTCATTGTTAGAGATATAAACATTTGGCTATAACCACATTGCGCCATACCGCATTTAACTTTTCGTTGCTTGCATAGTTCACATCTTTATAGGGCCCTCGGGTTAGTCGAGGTTATGTTTCATATAAACATAGGTAGCCGAGGTGATTCAGGTACGCACGAGACAGTGAGGGGCCGCTTTCGCTTCAAGGCTCTTGTGGAGCCATTGAGTCCAACATGATCATTTTCGGAGTCTGAGGAATACTCTGCACTCTGATCTCGGGTTGGGTCCGCGAATTGCTGATTGGAGGATGGGGTCTCCTGGGCGGGAAGCGCAGTGTTCGGCATTTTGATTGAGCGAGACAGCAATTCGCCCTATCAGGGACCGAGCATGATGCAAGGCCGATTCACGGGTGAGATATCCGAATAGGCTAGGACCGCCTTGTATATATTAAAATAGAGGACTTCTTGGAACCTTGGAAGGATCCCGATAATCATTGAAAGGGAAAAGAGAAGAAGAAGAAATGGTCGGGCCATGGAGCTAAGGCCTCAGGCAGAAACTGGGGCACCCCGCATTTTCCACTCTGGGAATTCCCCTGATTTGATTTCTCCTTTGATGTTGACGATTCAGTCAATAACAAAACCATTGGGATGGGCTTCAGTCATTGCTTTCTACAATCAAGAATAGGCTAAACAGTGGAACAGAAATTCATGACCAATCCCAGTCCACAGGGCAGTTGCAAAGATTTATTTTTGTATAGGGTAGGGCTCGGATTTGCTATAAGCATACTGCTTGCTTATAAAGGACCGTAAACTATCTACTCTGTACATCATACATGTATAAGCGTTGGGCTTTCCGTACTTTTGTCTTGATTCCTACGCGCTAAAGTGACCGGGCGCTATAACAAGCATACACATTGCAGTGACTTCGAGTTCTATACCCTCACTACGCCGTATGTAATATCAAGCTTTTTATTAGGCTGAAAATTGGCAGCTGCCAACTCTTTCCAACATTGGACAGCCAAGTGTTGCCAACACATCACTATAGTTCACGGAATACTCTAGGGGAAAATCGTGACCATCAGTGATCACTTCCCCTACGATTGCCTCCCGCCTTATATCAACGAGGATATATCACCAGATTGATAAACATAGTAAGTACTAGACTCATACATGACGTTGAATGCATATTCTCATCAGTTAGGAATATCTTAGTCTCCGTAAATTCGCATAGATATAATGATTGAGAATAAATCCGCGGTTGTGAGAATTCCCCAGATGGTACTTCCAAAATTCTGTCTCGAAGTTTCCAAGTCTCAAAGTATTAAGGGACTCTAACAAAATTCTAGAAGTATTTTGATCTCCACATATAGGCCGTATCACAATGAAAATAACATGTGCAACAAATTCTCCGAGTCGCCGATTCTCCGTCTCTCGGGGTAGCAATGCACCGAGCTCCCCTCGGCATGTGGAAATCGTTGAAATAGACGTGAATTCCCCGCAGTCATTGGATCTCTACTCTTTTTCTTTTTGTATCTTCTCCTGTGTTTTCCATTGAGACTTCATTTATATATCATGAGTTCAACAACGGAGTTCCCCCGCATCAAGGCTGTCCGCACCTTCATCATTGACGGTGTTGGCTCCGGCGGCGACTATCACAATGTAAGAGCTCTGAGATGTTAATCCTTCCCATACTTCATATGCTTACTATCCACACAGGTTAAGGGAGGCCACTGGCTGATCGACAGCAACATCTCCACCCCCATGACCAAGTGGGCACAGTTCCGTGGCTCGCGAACATCATGGGGTATCAATGTTTTGGGATCATTCTGCGTGGAGATCGAGGCTACAGATGGCACCAAGGGCTTTGCGACTGGTTTCGGAGGTCCTCCCGCATGCTGGCTGACCGAGCAACATTTCAACCGCTTCTTGATTGGCGCCGGTATGTATACCACGTCACATACATTGAACAATGAACCCTACTGACAAATTATACTTCAACAGACCCCCGCGATACCAACGACCTCTTTGAGAAGATGTACCGTGCCTCCATGTTCTACGGCCGCAAGGGCCTGCCCGTCGCCGTGATCTCGGTCATTGACCTGGCTCTGTGGGATCTTCAGGGGAAGATCCGCAACGAGCCCGTCTACAAGATGATCGGAGGTGCGACTCGGACTAAGTTGAATTTCTACTGCACCGGTCCCGAGCCTGGCTCTGCAAAGGCCGCCGGCTTCATCGGCGCCAAGGTCGCCTTGCCCCACGGTCCTGACGAGGGCACCGAGGGCCTTCTGAAGAACGTTGAATACCTGCGTCAGCAGCGCGAGAAAGTCGGCGCTGACTTCCCACTCCGCGTCGACTGCTACATGTCCCTGACTGTCAATTACACAATCCAGCTTGTCAAGCGCTGCGAAGCTGCCGGACTCGACATTGACTGGTGGGAGGAATGCCTTTCGCCCGATGACTTCGATGGCCAAGCGCTCCTTAAGCGTGCCCATCCCAGTGTGACTTTCACCACCGGCGAGCACGAGTACTCCCGCTACGGTTTCCGCAAGCTAATTGAGGGCCGCAACGTTGATATCCTTCAGCCCGATGTGATGTGGGTTGGTGGAATGACCGAGCTGCTCAAGGTCTCTGCCATGGCTGCTGCTTACGATCTCCCTGTTGTTCCCCACGCCTCCGGCCCCTACTCATACCACTTTGTCGTCTCCCAGTCAAACAGTCCCTTCCAGGAATACCTTGCCAATTCTGCCGATGGCCACACCGTCCAGCCTGTGTTCGGGAACCTGTTCTTGAACGAGCCTATTCCTACCAACGGCTACCTTGATGTTTCTGTCTTGGACAAGCCGGGCTTTGGTCTGGATCTCAACCCCTCTGCCCCTTTGATCCCTGCTGCTGCTATCCTTACACCGGCACCCCAGAAGTCCTTACGCGCACCCGACAGCGAGGAGGCGGCCAATGTCTCTACCTAAACTCGTTGTAATTACTTGTTATCGTTGTATCTCTGATTTATTTCATGTTTACGCATTATACGAGAGTCATGTACATACACATCGGATATCAGGATCCTCTAAATACCATCTCATACTGATTCCAATCTCCGGCTCACCATCAGGTTATACGCCATTAATTCACTACACTCTGTCTATGACTTTTCCAAAAGAAAAACATAGATATCGGTCTTTTGGTCCGAGACGACTGTCTAATTCAGCGCATGTCTGTAGCGGGCATCATGGTTAAGAGGCATGTTTACTAAGTAGGGCCTTTATACCTAAACCTACCTAGCTACCTCGTTAGTAGTAGGATCATCTTTACCCCCTTCACTGGATTGTACCATACAATATTTCAGGATACTTGCTCTGCCGAAGTTTGCTTATGTTTACCTGTAGCCAGAATTACGTACTGGATTTTCTTAATACTGCCGGGACTTTGGGACGCGGCACTGCAAGACGTTGACCAAGTGTATAGCTCGATGCGGTCATGGAGTAGTCATGAAGTCTTCGGCGCCCTGAACCATGTGTCCATGGCCAACGACAACAATTAGCCGGCCAATCATTTGGTAATTTTTTCCAAGACCGAATACTGATTATGAATTCGTACCACGCCGCGAGAGATACAGTGGCAGTTCGAATATCGGACTGTAGAGACCAGGAGGAGGGTTGAACCGGAGGTACGGGGCAAAGACCGCTTTGTGTTTTGCTAGCTAGTATCGTCGTAAGCAATAGGGTTGGACCAGTGAAGCTAAGCATTCACCTGGACGATGTACCAATGACATCATGGCCTCGAGGTTGTGACAAGGTCCCGCATCACGATCTATGTAATTTCTCTCTCCTCTTCTCGCCTGGGTGAAAACTAGGGATACCGACAGATCAAGATACGAACATCTTCGCTGCTACTCCCTTCAAGGAACCATGTCGCGTGTGTATCAAAGCGAGAGCGTTGTGTCCGAAGAAGGTGCCGAGTCGTTTCTCGCGCACCTTCCCTCCGGTACGCCTGTTTACCGTTACAACCCTCAGTGCGCTATGACAAGCCTCTTTCCTAAGTACTCGGTCGAAGATTCCTTTATCGTCTTGAAACACTTTCCGCCAGATATACTCGCCGTGTATGAGGAACGACTGCCAGGTCGCTGTGACTATTCGCCATCACTTGAGATTCTGATTATAACAATGCCTAGTCAGCCACACGAAGAAGCAGCGTCCAGTTTTGAGATGATGCTAGGGACGTTTGCACAAAAGATCAACGTCAAGCGACGGATTGCAAACTGCGGAGCGACTCGTGTGGATACCCCTGAGCGAAAAAAGCAGGCGGACCGATCCTGGAAGCCAGCCCTCCAAGGGAGAAAATTCCCGACGTTGGCGTTAGAGGTTGGATTTTCTGAAGCAACACAGAAATTGGAGAAGGACATCGCTTGGTGGATCAATGGATCGAAGGGCGAAGTAACAATGGGAATCAGTATCGACATCAAAAGACAATCTCAGTCTATTGAAATCAAATCCTGGACCCCAGACTTCAAAACATCAACACATGACATCTACATCACAGCAAGGGATTGCCAGGTTATTGATAGACATATCAACAACCCACCACCGCCTCGAATGAATCAAAGGATTCTCATCAAGAAAGGGAGAGATGGCGCTAGCCCTACGATTGAAGGGGGTCCCTTGACTGTACCATTTCACAATCTGCTATTGGATGAGCCAGGAGAAGGCGAGGGTGATTTTGTATTCACCGCGGAAATGCTGCTGCATGATTTAGCAGAACCTGTCTGGAATGCGATCGAAGACGCCGAAATGATCAAGGCCAAGGAGAGGAACACACATCGAACTGCGTGATCAATACAGCCTTGTATGAAGCTGGGCTTTTTATACAACTGCCCAGCTGGTGGAGACTCATCGTCACCCCTAAGCATCGATGATTCCATTCGATGGGGAAAGGCTCCATTGCCGTGTTCTGTTGAGGGTGCCTTTATTTTTATTTGCGCACATGTTATGATATCATTAAGACATTGGCAGCCGGAATGGTAATTGCAATTTGGTAGTCTGTGTTATCTGCAACTCTGTGACCATAAATCATCCCAGTGCTGGCATCGAGTCAGAATCACCGGGTTGAAGAGATCTTTCGACTTCAACCGATAAAACATCTACGTAACTCGTCGCATTTGACAGTCAAATATATGCCAGTCGGCCGGATAAAATGCCCAGTAGTAGATTGCCCGAGCCTGTGGCTGCTGTAACATTGGCTGATTCGAAAGTTGGTTTGGCAATGTTTGCGAGAGAGAGGACAGGGAGATCAGGTAGACAGGGTTCGTCTTCGTCAATCTCGATCAAACAATAGTCCAAGTCGTCTGATTTCAAAAACGACAATCTAACTTCCGGACAAGGAAATTGAAGTGATGAATGAGTTTTCGCCTCGTCCAGAGTGTGACTTGAATCATCACCAGAGGGTAAGGAATGGACAAGAACTTATTACGCTGTGAAATCCAGATCCTCGTGTACGAATCGTAATAAAGAAGCTTCCAGGGGCTGTCCACTCTTATATGGAGCTCTGTCTAGTTGTATAGAAATTCAATCCTTCATCCTTGACACTTATGAGCGATAGGAGAGTCAGGCTACTTGGCATATGTGATAGTGACTCAGGTATCGGCCCCTTGTAAAAGGGGGATTTGAACCCTGGCCCCTATACGTCTTCGTAGGAAGCCTCAATAAGAGGGAGCCGTTCTGCTAGTTTCGCTTCCAGCAGGTAAAAGGTGACAACGGTAATATCCAGTGCCAATGCCACACGTCGCATGAATCAACCGACAGACTTAACGCAAGCTTGACTCGATGTAAATAGTGGCTCTTGGAATAGACTGTATTTCCAACCAATCTTCCACTCTGAAGACATGCACAAGTTTTGCTAAAATGCTCGGTTCACAAACGGAAAAGGCTTTTGGTATAGGATGGAAGACCTTTTCTCCGCTCTTTGATCTCTTACCCTATGTTAGAATAATCCAAGTCCATCCCTGGCCTTGCAAATTGGTCATGGATTATGGATAATTCTTCCCACACTGGGTGGCATACGATCAGATGCGAGATCAATAAAACACCACAAGAATAGTCCATCTACTATGAAACACATTGAATTGAATACATTGGTCCCATTGGTAGACCCAACTAGTAGTCCCGAAGGCATTGTATCCTACACTCTATCTCGTTTGTGCTAATGCATCGCCAAGGTGGCAATAGAGCTTTGGGTACTGCCACTTAGGAATACTCCAGAACATGAAGGAAAACACCCAAACAAACCCAAAGACTCGGCTCCAAATACTTTCGTCCAACCATTTTAGTTGTGATTTCTTTCCAACCTTCTTCATGAGTGCCCGAAACAGCTGTGTCACAACAACCTCCAAAAGCCCAGCAACGAAATTGGTACAAAACCACCATATATCTAGTGGCCAACCACAATGGTCACCCAGCTGCCATGACACAGCAGCGTGAGACACACCAGAGAGAAAAAAGATAACAAATATAATCAAGACCTTGTCCGGCAGCGAGCGAGGCTGAAGAACAAGTATCTTGCGGGAAATACACTCACCATAGTTTGTGTAAGTCCGACGAACTATCTGGTGCCAAAACTTGCCCCAAAACCGCCGAATGGTCCATGCTTGGCCGAGTGAGCCGAAAATCGGTGGCCACTCAGATGGCTCATCAAAACGGAGTAAACTGACCGAAAGCAGTGAGAGTGCAGCGTGGGCTGAATCAAGCATGGCAACAGCAGAGAATGTCCACCACAGGACAAAGGCACATCTCATCAATGTCTCTCGGAGGGTGATTGGGACAATCTGGGACGATAAACGTCGAAAGTAGACTTGGTGTAATGGGCCAAACTCATCTATCCGGAGCGGGATAAACGCTGCAGGGAAAACATGGGATTTGATGTAGAAGTAAGCTCCAACGTATGCAGCGACCTTCCCTAATCGCAGCACTGTAAATCTGGCCAACGACGGCGAGCATGCGGCTGACTTTGGGATTTTGACAAATTGGTAAGACGTCCCCAAGAGAAGTGGATTGTTCCACAGCTTCAATCCTTTGTAGTATTTGCCTGGGATGTGAGGAGCAAGCTTGGAAATGCGACCCAAGTAGTCTCCGTCTTCCCATACTCGCAGGTCCTCAATAAATAGGAGTGATGTGGAGTGTCCCACCCAAATGCAGAGAAGTAGACCCCATAGACTGTTTAAGTCTCCCAGCCACCAATTTGATGTTGCGAAGGACACACCAGCTGGAATGTACATCAATGGTGATAGAATAAGTCTTTGAGGATGAGGAACATTGGCTAAGTGGAAGAAAGCACCGACGGAAAGGAAAAACGTTGTAATGGGGACTGCGATCGGCAGGATGGTTTGAGCAATTGAGGACATATTTTTTTATTTTGGCGCAGATGTGAAGTTCGATGGTGTGAGACGAAATTGCAGTTGAAGAAATTGCAGTCGAAGTTGAGGGAAAGCTGGGAACGAGGGTTATATAGCCCCAATTTAGCCCCAGGGCCGTACGTCAAGAAACTGCCCCCACGGCTTGCTAGTGGCTCATATAGGGTCCAATTCCAGTTTTCATTCCGTTTATCTTACTGATTTTAGTGACTAGAGATGGCTTTGCTTGAGACGCTATATTCAAAATTCAAATTGTTACTTTATATTACGGAACAATCGAGTGAGTAATGACGAAGTTTTCAAGAAATGATAGTATATTCTACCAGGCCCTAGAATCTTTGTCGGTAATATCTAAAACGGATTCTCGGAAACAACTATGAACACTCTCGCGCGGCCTTCTTCAAGTCCTCAAAGATACATTCCACCCGAAATTAACCAGACAGAGCAGCCTGAAGATCCTGCTTGTCCTGAGCAGTAAGACCGTGGTACTCGAGGCTGGCACTGCCCATGGGAACGGGAACGGGGCCACCAGCCTGTGCAGGTTTGTCGAGAAGAACGGTGGCCAGGTTCATGCAGGCGGGAGGAACGTTGTCGGCACGAGCGGCTAGGGGGAATGTTAGTCATGTTCAACGTTATCTGAATGGATTGGCTTACAATCATCACCGGTGCTGTAGACATTCACAGCAGTTCCCTGGTCGTTGATCTGCTGGATACACACGTCCAGAGCTTCCTGGGAAACACCAGCAGGCAAGCCACGCTTGTGGTCCTTAGTTCCTGCGGCAATGCCTCCGGAGATGGCACCTCCACCGAGACCACCGGCAACGGCAGCGATGACGGCTGGGGGAGCAGGGCAGAATTGAACGAGAGAGAGGACGGCAAGAGCGCCGGCAGCGGTAGTGGTGAATGCATGCATGTTGATAGAATGGAGTTTGGAAGAAGAAAAGCTTTGTTGTAGTAGATTGAGAGATTGTTGAGCTGTTGATGAGGATGAAGATTCTTCTAGAGGGGAATACCCATATTTATAGGCAAGCCCTCCACCCTTTGACTCTTCCAGTCTTGTACAAGTTCTCCAATATTTGGGTGGACTTGATCCAGATGTGACGAAGGATTCCAATGCGTCACACTCTTGGGGCCGCCGAGCATTGGACTCGCAATGGGTCACTATCCCTCTCGCTCAATTAGAGAGCAAAGCGCTGAAATTTCATTATCGAAAGTTTCTTCACCATGAGTGATTTTTCTCGGGGCGGTGCGCAGTGGACCCCGATTTGTGCCTAGAGTACAACACGGCCCATACCCATAAGAATGAATCTATGTAAGATAGATGAACTTTCAGTCCTTGCCACCATGGGGCCGACAAGAAGAGGGGCTTGCGGGCTAGAGCAAGGAGTGGGATCGACCAAACATGTAGTAGCTCTTGAGACGGAAAAGCAATGGTGATGTCAATAAGTTGGATGAAGCAGAGATGTATACCAAATCGAGTATACCGGCGTGGGAGACTCCAAAAGATCAGCGAGAGACGGGGGCTAAACATGGGGGCTACTATAGACTCTTGCAAACCAGACTCCACAGTCATGTTGAAAAAGGACAAAAGGATGAAAGCAAAGGGGGCCGTGATGCAATTAGACCTCATTCAAATGGCCATAACAAGGGAAAGGGAAAGGATTCGTACATTCGAAGATGGGGGCCGTGATGCAATTAGACCTCATTCAAATGATCATTACATGATGTATTCTTGTCAAGAACTTAGTCTCAATCCGATGCTTGTCTGAATATAAGAACCTCCATCTTCCGTCTTCCCATTCCAACCTCAACATCTACAATTCAAGAATCAAATTTACTTCATCCTCAAAAACACCAATCTTCTCAATATAAACAACCAACCTTTTCCGCCAATATGCACTTTTTTACCATCTCCGCCGCCATTGCAGCTTCCTTGAGCATGGTTCAGTTCTGTCCCGCTCCCCCGTTGTCCTGGGTCCCATCCTTGCTGGTGCACTGTGAGTACATCAGCAACCAACTCAAAATACCTTGCCGAAATCATGGCTGACAACTCTTGAAGTGCCGGCGAGGCAGGTGCAATTGTTGGCTACGGTGTGGGAAAGATCGGCAAGCGCTCCATTCAAGGCTCAGTCTTTGAGAAGCGCTCTGATGTAAGTCACAACCGGACTTAGTTCATGATTTCAGAATCATAGTTAACAGATTGTCAAAACAATAGCCATTTGAGGGTCTCCCTCAGCCTGCTGCTGATACATGCAAAAGCCAGCTGAATGGAGTGGAGGTCAAGTTTACTCCCACTGGCCCGGGAGCCTTCCGCGTGGACAATGTCCCCTCCGCTTGCATGACACTTTCAAATGTTATCTTAGGACAGGATCCTAACCAGCCTGCCCCCACCCCTCTTGGTAATTATGACCACTTTTCCATTCCTTTCTAGCATTGTGACTGACTTCAACTCACAGGTTCCGCTGCCCTGGGTTACTCTGGTCTTTCTGAAGACGATATCAACAAGCTTCAGGGAGCTCTCGAGGGCAAGGGCTACTAGAGTGGACTTACTGTGGATCTCTAGTCGAACGGAGAAGTGGGGTTTATGCGGCCTGTTTCAGTCATGTCGTTTTCGTTCTGAAGTGAGATCACTATGTATGGACTAGAGAATACCAAGAGTTTATCCGTAGAATAGCAGAGAGGCGCAATCTTCGCAAGTGGATCTCCCGTACCGCATAGTAGATGCTGTAATCATGATATATTAACCATTTCTTGGCCTTATGCTCCATAGTTGCAAATAGACGACAGGGGGCCAAACACCAAGACTTATCACGAGTCCATTCATTGAGAGAAGAGTCCACTCTCTCTGTGTGAAAAGTATGTCACTGTTCGCTGGCTACAGGATATATTCAGAAACTATAGTTCGGTTTAACCAGTACATGTAGGTGGTAAACATATGCATATACTTTCTCGTGGCGCCTACATCCTACCGCCACGCTTTCCCCACAAATCTGCGAGTAGCCCAATCAGAGAAATGGAAAGGCAACAACTGTTTTCCACGCCCAATCCTGCCGACGGCTAGGGCCGTAGTTCTCGAAGCCGCATGACGTATTGTACCTGGGCCTTCGATCATATCTTGAATTTCGCCCTGTTTCATTGCTAAAGCGTAACAAATTAGAGGCGATAGGCATATTCCAAATATATTAGCCCCCAAAGACCAAAGGTTTTTGATAAGCACTAGTTGATCCATGTGGGTCAGGGGCGCAGCAAGAGAGCATACCGGCATACCGGAGATCTAATTAATCCAGGTTCAGTAATTTTGGGCATCCGCGGGCACCTTGAGGATGGGTCAAGGTAATACTGAGCATAGGTACTTGTGATTTGGTTACGCTACCCATCCCCAACTCCTGCACCTGGGGGTAGCGTAATCAGTGTATTATATAATTGCCATTTACAAAATCATCTTTATCCCTTTATTGACCTCCCCTCTCCGGTCCTTCGGCCTATAGATCAAGCCTCATCCCCCAGCACAGCGGAACAGCAAGAAAAGCATATCCTGAATGATATCGTCGATAGAATAAATCTCACAAATCTCACCAATCCGGTGCGATCCAATAATCTCTCCAGGCCCCGTTGCCATTATCCGCATCTCGGAATTTATCAATCCCTCCCTCGACACCATTTTCACCCACTGTCCATACACCATTTTCAATCAGCTCTGTCCATCGTTCAAAAAGCCTCTCCAGCCTCTGCGACCGACGTTCGCCTCCAAACGGATGAAACCAGCCATGTTGAAAGAGTTCCGTGAATGAGCCCGATTCCACTAATCTCCCATCACTCATCCTAGCCCCTTCTTTGTCTCTAAAATCAGGTCGTAGGGCAAATGGAAGAAGGAGGCGGAAGCCTGCCTCCTCCGTATCATGATAATTTCGAAGCAGAGGTTCACTGTAGAGTCCCGTAGGGACAGGATCACCCTCGTTCATGGTTACATTCCCACTTGCTTGGGAGAATAAATATTTCATTTCCAAGTTGAGATTCACCGTCCGGTCTGGAGTTGGAAATAGTAGGACTGCTGGAACACAGTCCTCTTCGTAGGGTAGTGTGGTAAATCTCTGCAACCTCGCAAACTCCTCTTTATCATGTGGGACCTGTAGGCCAGGCGCGATAAACTTGAAACGCGGGGTCTTGACTCTGATTAAGAATTTACGAATAAAGCAGTCCTTCGGCACGGAAGCTACATCAAGGTCCTGGTCGGTAAAGAGGGGTGCAGAGATAGGTAAAAGTGATTCAGGAGGCATCCGAGATTCGACTGTATCTGAGTAGTGCTCCATAGCAGCTATGGTGCTATTAATCTGGGCATTGCAATAGGGAAGCCACGACCATAGACCAATTTGCGACCTTGACGTCGAATTGCACTCAGGCAGCCCAGGAACAACCCTGCCCAGGCGAATCATATAGATCCAGTGTGTGAGAATAGTCTCCAGGGGGAACCACATCTCCTCGTGTTCGTCGACAGGCTCCACACTTTCCGAATTCTCTAAGGTCATCGGGAACGAGGCCCGATTGAGCTGCTGATCATAAAGAACGCCGAGACAATGCGAGCCCAGTTCTGGAACAGTGTCATAAATCACCACGAATCGCTCTTTCCCTTCATCCTCCAGCTCGTTGTCTTCAAAAGGGAATGATTCATCGCAGAGTCTCATCTCAAGACCGTTAACCCAGTAGAAGAATGACGGCTCAGGATCATAGATTAAATCCAGGAAAGAGTTCAGGGGCGAGTCCAGACGCTCACGTATAGCGTCTATATCTTCAGCTGGTTGCCTAAAGAACCACCTTTCTCTGCCTAGCGCATCGAGGTCGGGTGTGTTTCTTCCATGGCGGGCCATCCAGCCATATGCGACCAGGTAATTATGTAGTCTGGCACAACGCTCATAATCGAGGGTGTCGTCATCATGGGCTGGATTCTCGTCGGAAACCAGAGCGTCCTCGATATCGAGGATTTGTTCTGGAGTGGTGTTCATGGCGATGTAGAGGGATGAATCTTTATAGGGTGGACTGTTGTACCAGTTGTGGTCCTTAAGGGTTCTTAGGGCCTAGTATATACACCGCTGCAGTGACAATCGGAGGTTCCGATTGTCCCTATGATCTTTTAGCCTACCTAACTAAGTTAGTGGTTAAATGCTCTTATGTAATCCATTAGGAATAACTAACTAGTTAACTAACTAACTAGTTAACTAGTTAACTAGCGGCCTAATTAGTTGCTATGTGGGATTACACAGTTGGTATGAACGAATTACCTGACTGGCAATCACGATCCTCGAGTGTTGGTATTTTTCACCTAGAACCTAAAATTATATACGAATACCGATGTGATAGGCAAAACCTGCTTTGAAAAAGTTGAAAATATGGAGATTTTTAACCGACATTTATGTAGGGCTCGTAAGATATATATATCTCTGCGCCTTCCTTTTATTCAGAGGATGGGCTCGACTTTCTATTGACTATTGAACTGGGGCACAATAACCTCACATAGGAATGTTCTTAACCTTCATCCTCGATAGTAGATAGGCGTTGACCTTAGAACAACTTGGACATTATAAGGCCGTTTACAGAATACACATATAGAGTCAATTGAGACCTTGGGGGCTAAATAAACCGTCTTGGCGGGATGTGGCGAGGGAGTATTGTCAGGTTCCTGGCGATCGTCGAATCTAAAGACCTATTTTAGTACTGGATATATTCATGCACTGCTTTTTCTAAGGATGCATGAATCATCACACTGAGTGGGGGTCGAGAACAAACCCATCCCGTTACTGAATCTACCTACATGTACCTGAAAATCACTCACCTCCTTCTCCCACTCTATCCTATTGGGAATTAAAAATGAAGAACGCTTTGCGCCTACTTTTCCACCAGACATTTGCTATTGTCTGGGTCGTCGCCTTAGTTCTTCTAGGCTGGGGAGGCCTATGCATCGTCACCGGCTCCAGATACCCCATCTTGGTTGTAACATCGGAGTCAATGGAGCCTGCCTTTCAACGTGGTGATCTCATCTTTCTTTGGAACCGCGACCAAGTCATTCATACCGGCGATATACCGGTTATATGGGTTCCAGGGAAGCCCCTACCAATGGTCCATCGGGTAATCACAGTCAACTATGAGGTAGAAACGAATGGGCATCTCAAGTACGTTTGTTAACTTGTCCTCAAACTCAAACTGATATTAACATCTAAATTTAGACAGATGATATTGACGAAAGGCGATAATAACGCCATTGACGACAGCTTCATGTATTTGCCCGGACGACCATTTGCCCTCCGCGAAGAAGTTGTCGGCTTGGTGTGGGGGTATGTTCCCAAACTTGGGTGGGCCAGTTTGGTTCTACAAGGTGGTCTTTGGAGATGATTTGATCGGCAAGCTTGGCGTCCAGTATTGTTGGGTCTACTGAATATCCGTGTGGTCATACATAGACAATTTGAAGTGGTGGGGTTTCCAAGACAAAGGGGCCAACCTTGGCTTGGTCCATGTATGTACACCTCCAAGAAGCCAACAAGCCACAGCCTGCACATCATCCTGAGCATATGTACATGTCAAATCATATAGAATTTAGAGAAAGATTGGGGATCGAAATATAGACATAGACTGATCTACCCGTGCATGATTGTTTAGGAAGCTAAGTGCCTCAGGTGCTAGATACCCGGGGGCCACACTAAGATGCGAGGGGCCAAAAGACATATCTTTACCTAAAAGGGAGGAGGCCCCCAAATTGCTAAACAGATGAAGTCTGCCTTGTACCTTGAACCACCTGCGTCATAAACCTATGTAACTAGTACGGAGTAGTTCCTAGGTCGTTAAATTAGAGCAGATCCCTTTGAAGGTTCCGGCGCCACTAAACTTACACTAAACCTTGTATTTATTATCTCATCAACCCACCTTCTTTTCTTCCCCTCTTTTGAACTTCTGAGCGCCCTACTTTTGATTTTATCTATACGGCAATGAAATGGAATCACTTACGCCCACCAAACAACCTATCGCTATCCGCCCAGAGCATGTTGCTTCATCAACCACAACAATCCAGGTGAAGCAACACAGCGCAAGCTGGTCTAGCGGCAACTTCACGATCTCAAGTACCACAACTGCCGAGGAACCTCTTCTAAATAAGCTCTTCAGTGTTGACGGCGACGTTGCGTCGTTGTCTCAGCGACGACATTTCCGCGACGCCTCAGGTCTACCCCTTTTCGAGATATCTCGGAAAAAGGTGGGAGTAACATGGTACCTTCATCTTCCCGGAGAGAGCAGCAATAAAGGAACCTCCTCGGAGCCTATTGCTACAATAGTACCGAAATGGAGCGCGCTCAAAGACAAATTTGACGTGCATCTCCGAAATGCTGCTGCAAATGGAGAAGAGACAGTACTGGAGGTTCGCGGACAGAATGTCTGGAAGACCAAGACATATGTTACTCACCGTGGGAAATTGGTGATGGTGGTCAAATTGACCGATGTGGCTGCGGTCTACCTACCTGGAAAACGGCCCTCGTGGGAAGTGGTGGTGGCAGAAGGGATGGATCTTTCACTGGTAAGATGGCCTACTTTCTGCCGCAGGGTTGATAGGGGCGGTATTGCTAACACTTGATAGGCGTCAGTCATTGCTGTTCTTTTAGCTACGGTGTTATACCAGAGCAGTGAGGCACGATCAGACACCCTTACCAACACAAGTTACTGATTCTCCAAATAGGCGGCAAAGGGAAGGAGCCGGCGAGTAATGATGTACCCGTTGAAGGAAACAATGCATAAGCTTGAATGTGAAGAAATAGATGAGAAGTGGGCTTAGCACGAAAGTACAAAGGCTACATGCATGTGGTGATCATGGTCATCTAGCGGACATAGCTAGGCATTGGCCAGTGGGCAGAAATCAAGAATAGCTTCGAGAGACATAATATTGTGTAACAAACAGTGACACGATTTAGAGGTACTCTGTACGCCAGATTTGCGCCAAAAAAACACCAAACAATGCAAATATTCCGAAAAATGTGACTTGTTCAATTAGTATATTTGGACGCCATGTCTCGCCTTTATTTAGGGGTAATATCTTGTTATAATGATTAATGTATAGCATTTCAATCATATTGAAAGACGCAAGAAAACACACTGTTTGGAAATTGAATACGAAGATATTCTCTAAGAAAGAGGTAAAACTCTCGTACAGACCTAGAATATATATCCGATATTGAACTGAGTATATATCGACCTGTATTCGACATCCACTAGTTAGATTTTTTTTTTTTTTTTGGAAATCAGAGCACATAGGTATAGGTATATAGTAATTATAATCATATATTTCAAAATTGAGGTCTTCATAATAAGCAGATGGGTCAGAATACAGCGATTGCAAATTTCTAGTTGAATCCCCTAGATGGGCTATGATGGGGGGCTTTGTGAGCCCCCACGAATGGGCTGTGGGCTGGGTTGGGTTTCGAAGGCTAAGCGCATAGCCCGCTACTGGTTAGGCCCTGTGCCCGGGGTCTACTTGTGACTCCGGAGTTGCTCCTGGCTAGGTGGGGATTTCCCCACACCCTCGGGGTAACATCACCGCGAAACACCGAGCTCATCGAGAATCCATCCCACCTTGCCCCAGATGAGATTTGTGGGATTTTCAAAGGACCATCCATTTACATCTTCAATGTCTTTCCCACAATTACTAGTTGGCAAAGTTGCCGCCATCACTGGTGGCCTCACAGGTATTGGAAGGGTAGGATTCTTTCAACTCCCGAATCCAAAAAGGGAAAAGATAAATACACTGACAATAATACAGGCGATCGCACTCGATTACATCCGCCATGGAGCTAAAGTCTCCATAAGCCACCTCGGCGGCGCAAAGGAAGACGCGCTGCTCGAAGCACTGCGTAAAGACGTGAACGAGATTGAAACCGAAGCTGCGAACACCCGGTTCCTCACGGTATCTGGCGACATTTCACAGCCAGAAACGGGGAAGAACTTCGTCGCAAAGACTGTCGAGGCATTTGGTCGACTGGATGTGTTTGTGAGCAACGCAGGCGTATGCCAGTTTGCCGAGTTCTTAGAGTAGGCTATACTCCCCCTCCCATCTACAAGTCCACCCCTCTTCTCCTATCTAACAACCCACCAGAATCGAACCCTCCCTCTTAGACCACACAATCTCGACAAATCTCTCAGGTGCATTCTACGCCACTCAAGCTGCAGCCCGTCAAATGGCATTAACTCAGTCGCCATCGGGTGGCTCCATCATTGGCGTAAGCTCCATCTCCGCTCTGGTCGGCGGCGCCCAACAGTCACATTACACGCCCACCAAGGCCGGTGTATTGAGTCTCATGCAGTCATGTGCGTGTGCACTCGGCAAGTATGGTATTCGGTGTAATGCGCTACTGCCAGGAACTATCCGGACGCAGCTTAATGAGGAGGATATGAAGGACCCTGTTAAGCGGAGTTATATGGAGGGTCGAATTCCGCTGGGCAGACTGGGTCAACCGCGGGATTTGGCTGGGCCAGCTGTTTTCTTAGCTTGTGAGGAATTGAGTGGTTACGTGACTGGTGCGCAGCTACTGGTTGATGGTGGGTTGTTCGTTAACCTGCAATAAATTCTTTTGGTGGCCCAGGCTATTTTATTTATGAATATACGTATTTCCAAGGCAAGTGAATTATTACTTCTATGCCTCATAGTAAATACAATCTCTAGATCTCTATACCATAAGCATGCAAAGCAACAGAACCCCATACGCCCTTCCTTTCTTCCTCAGACAGTCCCCTCCGTTCCAAAACCCCCTCCACCACACGTCTCCATCTACCCCAAGCGACATCATTTCCACCACCGCCAATATTGCAAACCGGCCAGTCTGATCCAAACATAACACGATTCGCGCCGAACGCATCAAGTATAACATCAGTCCATGGCTGCACGCGTTCAACAATAGCCCCAAAATCCGGCTCCGGCTCCGTCTCGAGCGGTAGAAGCTCCGAAAAGCCCCCAGATAGCTTCATATAAGTCTTAGGACTGACCGACGCCATCTTAGTCACAAGGTCCTTCCACTCAATGAAGTCAGACTGAGAGGGAAGATCATCCGCCTCCAAACGAAGATTCGGCTTGCACAAATGGTCTATAACAAGTCAGCGAGAAGAACCCAATCCCTAACCCCACCAACCCAAAAGAAAACGAAACATACTAATAACAATCGTCACACCCTCACCACCCTCTAAGCCCTCATAAACCAACCCCATCATCTCAACCGCTTCCCTCAACTGTCCCAACCCCCCAGACCTAGCATCAACCCCAAGATCAAAAACCAGCCCCTCCCTCCCCAACCACTTCAAACCCTCAACAAACCCATTCTCAAGCATTGTCCCTGCAGCCTTATCCTGCACTAAGTACCTCACCCCCCTCACCTTCCCCCAAGCCTCCCCAGTGCGATCCCGCACCTGCTGCATATACGCGCTCAGCACATCCGGTCCGCCGGGAACAGGCGCCCACGGCACAATCCCCAGACAGAGGTCTTTGTCGTCTGGAACATGGCCCTCGCCTGGAATGGGTGTACCGAGGGCTATGCGCGTTAAGAGGGAGACTTCGTCCAAAGCGTGTTGCCAGCCATGATTTGGTGCCGAGGGGCTTACTGAAGAGAGGCGGTCTGTTTCGAGGAAGATGAAGCCTCGGAGGGCGGGGTTGGATTGCGTTGCGTGACGGTATTCGTTTATGCTGTGTTGGGTGCCGAGGGGGTTGGTGGCGCTGTGCCAGGCGAGGGTTTTTAGGTGTGTTTCTGGGAATAGGTGGATGTGAGAGTCCACGATTATTGGTGTCATGGTTTGTGTTATGGTGTGGTGTAGTGTGTTGTTTGAGATTGTAATATGAAGATGCGGGGTTGGTATGATTGTGGCTTGGGGTTTGGAGCGTCGATAGAGAGTGAGATTTTCAAGGAGAACGTGGAGAAGCTGGGGGAGATGATGGGAGGTGAAACTCGGTGGTTCTTGGCCCGAGTCTAGAGAGATTTGGTGGAGACAATAATTTCCTTATAGAATGGCCATTTGGAAAAGCAATACAGCTTTGTTGCTGAATTCAATGTAAATTCTACAGAACTACACCGAAGAGTAATGCTATATGTTGGACAGAAAGAAATTCATATGCACGAAAAAGAATCAGGAGTATACATACACCAGGTGGATAACACCACGAGGGCAACAAAGGGAATGCATCAAGGAACATAAGAGGAATAGCACAGGAACAGAGGCAAGATAAAAGGGATGTGAACAACCCCTTCTGCAGTAACATAGCAGAAGGGACAGGGTATGTATGCATGCATGCCTAAGCAGGCATGCAGTAAAAGTTCAAGTTCAAAAGGGGCATGAAAAAAGACAAGAGAAAGTCAAGGTGAACTTTCCAATGAGGAGCGTAGCGTATATGACTGGGACGCGATGCAATAATACATATTTCTCCTCAACACACTGATACACTGCTCCCAGTTCGATCTATACAAAGTCTCCTCTGCATCCGCGAATCCTCAAAGCTAGTCATCCATAGGCTTGTCCTCTAGAGTGACTCTGTTGGGTTCACTTTCAGCGATGCTGCTTCGGTTGCTGTCTGTGCCACTAGCCCCGACAGCCGAGCCAGTGGGGAAGCTAGAGACGCTACCAAGGCCTGGCTTGCGGCTGTATCGTGCAGAAGAGCGAGACATGGAGCTGCGCTTCTCAAATTCAGCGGATGCTGCAGCTGGAGTAGGAGTAGGAGTAGGAGAGTCATCGGAGGCTGTTTCGGGAAGAACAGGAGGGGGGCTGGGAGAGCTCGAGTGGGCGCTGGTGCTGGCAGCTGCCGAGGCAGGAGACTCGGTATACGTGCCGTTGGTAACAGGTTCGGCAACTTGGGTGTTCACAGTAGGAATGGAAACATCCTCAGTCTCGGGCGGGGGGCCTTGTTGGGCGGTACATCTAGACTAGTACCGCGAGTGGATCTGCGATCTGGAGGGCTGCTGACATTGATCGGGAACCGACCTATCTCCGAAGCACCGCTCGAGCGGTCACGTCGATGCCGTTGGCGATTGGCGGGACTGGTTGCTCGGCTGCGGTTGACAATGGCTCGCTGGCGGGCTTCCATCGCCGCGCGACGGTTACTCTCGTCTGTGCTGATGGCGCGTGGGCGGTTGGAGCTGGAGCTGGTAAGTCCGAGCGCACTCGATTGGCGCTTCAATTCACCAAAGATGGAGTCTTTGTGAGCAAACAGATCGCGGATCAGGCGGTAGCTGTGGCGCTCGTTCATCGTCAGACTGCTCTCTATGCGAGGGCGGAGAATGCAAGGGGAAAAGGCCTGTGCCAACAAAGTGATGTACTCTTCGTCGGCCGAGGTCAAATCAATCAGGCGTGTGAAGTGAGTCATAATGGCATCAAGCGTAGCGATATTCACAAGGCGGAGTTGTCCAAGGGTGCTTTGCAGGACCTTGATCCGTCCTTCTTCCGTGGTCTCATGAGCAGTGGTGGAATAAATGGTTTTCACGATTTCGTAAACTTGTGAGGATACCAACGAGTCTATCAGGGGATAAGCATAAGCCTGTGTCAAGCCATTAAGAGAGCGACGAACCTGGCAATTCAAGAAGGTACAATCTGAGAACGCTTGCGATAACTGGGATTTCGAACTGGGGCAACACCGCGGCATAATCAGCTTTGCTGTTGTTCAGAGCATGACGAAGCTTATGCGTTGTGCTTAAATCGACTTCAGTCAGCCAGATCATTCGCCGTGTTTCATCGCCTTCTAGTTCAGGGTAGCCTGTATGATTTGTGAGCGTTGATTCCTTAATTCAAACATATTCCATAGATGTCTTACGATTATCCAGGTAGGTCAGGATGGTGGTCACCAGGATGGGAACACGTTTGCGGTCAGCACGGGCTCTAGCCTCAAGATCAACACCGAAGTTTTGTTCTGGTGAAAATTGAAATTAGTAGTGTTTTATCTGCGGGTGGTGACCATCGCTGTACCTTCAACGGAACCATAGTAGTTTTCGTATGCTTGGATCTTAGGTACGAATCCACCAGTGCGGTAGTTTTCCAACAGATATCTCAAGTCACCGAGGGGCTGAATTGTTTCTTGATATAGCATCATATGGTCCACGGTGCTCTGGAGGTTGGGAATGACATTGCTGATCGCGCCCGAGAAGTCAAGAACCACGGCTTTGATGGCTCTGAGGCGGTCCAGCTCGCACTGCTCCATATATTTGAGCTGGCCAATGACTTCTTCCTCCAGCCGGCAGCGTATCTGGTCAAGCTTGCGAACAGCAACCTTGTACCGTTCATCGGCTTCCGAAGCCTCTCTCCGGAGCTTCTCTGAGGGTGTCTCGTTAGGGTAAGGGTTGTTGAGGGGATTCCAGCCAGCCAAAATCTCAGAAACAGATGCAATAGGCGAGTCGCTGCCATTACCATCCTCGCTTGATGCCACTGAGGTGACACGCATGAGAGGTTTCTTTTTTTCTGGGATACCAGTGAGTTGGAAGACCTTGGGACGCCACTGATAATTCATCTTGGAGCTGTTGGCGAAGACATTGCCCATATTTCCGACCAAGCGAAGAAGACCGTTATCTACCATATCCTGTCCAATGATCTCGACTTGAGCGAGATTGTCGGCCTCCATGTAGGTTTGAATATATTGCGCAATATCCGCGCCGGTGGAGACATTCTGATAGGTACCAATAATGGGAACCTTTGCCTCGCCAAGCTTGATGTTTTCAAGCATATGGGTGAGGAGCTTTTTGATATGGTCGGGCGGGAAAATTCGCTCACCCAACTCGATGGGGTCTTCTTCGGGCTCTTCCTCAACGGGAAGAACGATTTTCGGGGTGGCTTTAATCTTGGGGCTCGACTCAGGGTCTTGGAAAGCGAGTTTGTTTTCTTCTTCCAGGTCCTCAACGACTCGACACTTGTTGAAGTAAGTACTGCGCAACTTCTTTACCAATTCCGCCTGCTTGGTGTGTTCCTTGATGCGGGACTGGAGTAGGTCATGCGAATACTGAACACGCAGGTCGTGCTGCTCGCTCCAACGGCGGAAGGGCGATACAACCAATTCACGGATATTGTTGGCGATCTTCTGGTGGTTCTTAGAGGCCTCGACCATCTCGGTGCGGATTCCTTCGTATGCCTATAGCAAGGTTCGCACAAGGTCAGTTTTCCTTCACTCCGGTTGATTTCATGTGTTTGAAACAAACCTTCCTAACACTGGCACCATCATCCTTGCCGAATCCCATCGCTGTCATTCTATCCACGCTCGGGGCGATATCTCCCATGCGGAGTCCATACTGCTCTTCTGCATCTGCACGCATGGACGCAATGCCCAAGACCTGCTTGTTCTCCACAACTCCCTGTTGCAACTTCCCGTACAGCACCCCCAAGCCCGACGCATAGTCGGGGGTCCAAAAAGAGTCTGAAAATCCGGGCATTGTGGCGGCTAAAAGGCTGATTCAGGCTGTCAAGCGGAGACACGTTATGATCAGCGTGAAAAGGAACGCGATCCGACAGCTGACGTCGGCGAGGTCGTATGGTCGGAGGAAAACAGGAATCGTAGAAGGGTGGAGAATGCGCGAGACTGAAGAGTCAATCGGAGCAAATTGAACGTCTAGCGACCACTGAGCTTTTGCGTTTGCGATATGACCAAGAACAACGAGGGCAGACCGGCTGGCTTGGTTGAAATTTTGAGATCCAGTCTTGACGTTAGATGAAACGGCGCATAGACCAAGACACCAATGACGAAGGCAGAGAAGATCACTTTGGAATGCAAGAGAAGAGAGTGCGCAAAGGTGTTAAGCGCCGGAATCGCGGAGGGATTCGAAGCTCAAATGAATGAAAGTCCAAGCGAATTGCGATGCAACTCGGCAAGCAACAAAAAACAAAACAAAACAAAAGACAGAAATGACTAAGATGAAGATGAAGATGAAGATGGAGAAGTTGGATTTCCAGATGGGGCGTCATGTGGCTCGTAATATTACGGGGATTTGTGTATATCTGAGACCAATCCAAGGTTTACCGCTCAGCAAAGGGCCCTTTTGGCTTACAGCGTGGCTGTTCTCCCCGTCTTTGAATCCACTTGGGCTATTTTTGGGGCTGAAAATTACACCGGTAATTGGAAAATGTTTAACTTCGGTTTTTTTCAGTTGAAGAAAAAAGGGGAGGGGAGGCTGGTTGTCTTTTCTTTACAATTTGTATTGATCTTATGGTGTTTCCAAGAGCGACGTGTATACTGTTTAATCGAAATGTACTCCGTATTACAGAACATACAGAACAGACAATACAAATATACTGTGGCACCTTACCCTCTAAAGCCGTTGATGACTTCCAGGGTCCCCCACAGCCAAGACTACAGGCTTGAGATGATCATCGTAAACATGGAATGTAGGTAGTGTAAAGGTATGAACGTTTCGTATGATATTCATAGACGGGATTATGGTATCGTGATTATCTTTAAACAAGCTTTCAAGCATGAAAGATGAAGTACATAGGGGTAGATGTTTAAAAAAAAAAAAGCTCAAAACATCCGCTTAACAGAAGAACCTGTAAACCTTCTTCCACGCGGGCCAGTCTTTTTGCTCGGCAATTTCCTGCTCAATCAGATGCTGGATGTCAAGGTCACGACGACCGGTGACCAAATCCACCTCGGCGGTGCGAACAAACTTGGTCCTGTACATGATCTTATAACCGACGTAGCAAATCAGAACAACGGGGGCAGCCAGGTAGACACTGAAGAAGTTTTTGGCAATCTCGCGAGGGGTCTTCTCTGCGTAACCAATGGGGGCGAAACCAACCCAGAACTGGGCAATCAGCACGAGACAGTT